AAAAAAAAAAAAAAAAAAAGGTCGGGCCAGTCCAGAGGGGGAGGGATAAGAAGAAAAAGAAGAAGAAGGAGAAGAAGAAGATAAATGATATAACAATACAAGAAAAAGAATGGCGGGAATTAATTAATTCGAGATCCGGCTAACTGTGCAGTCGCCCGAGTTTGTTTCTCCGTCTGGTTATTTGGCTTCCACTGGAAGTAAACTTCAAAGTATCCAAGTATGTATGTAAGTAAGTCAGTAAGTAAGTAAGAATAAGTATATACAATGGTCTCGTTCTTATCAGTGCGGGACGGGTGGTCCTAATATATCCACGAGCCGCCTTTTAGTTCTTTTTGTCTTTTCGTTCGGGGGGCCAATGGAGGAGTTCTTTCTTTCTTCTTTTTCTTTCACGATCGGGCAAAACTAGCCGCCCTTGGGAGAGCCTGCCTGGGTACCTGGCACTGTTTGACCTGAGATCATGATCGGAGATGTTCTGCTCTTTAAGTTATATTATAATTCACAAACTTTATACATCTTCTTCTGAGTAAGTATAACTCAGTATTGTTCATACTCAAGTAATAAGTGAGTACAGTCTTAATTTTCTTGAGTAAGAAGTGTTACATTTTAAACGAAAGAGGCTCTGGATCAGTGTATCACATCCACAAGGCCGATTAACCAAGTAAATAATTACTTAAGTAGATATCATAAGTAAGTAAGTAAGTAAGTAAGTAAGTAAGTATCGAAGTATCGCGTGAAGTATCGACGGGTGGAGCACTAGCTGTTCACTAACGGGGAATCGGGTTATAGGCAGTAAGTTTAGCTCTGCACGGGCAGCCAGCCGAGACAACCTCAAACAGTTGAGAAGTCCTCTTGATCTCGAGCTCCCGGCGGCATATGCTAGAACACCGACCGTTTCAAGGATTTGGACTTCGCATCAAAACATCTATAGATACAGCTACGTGCAAAATAAAGTAAAGTGAAGTCGAATAAAATAAAATAAAATAAAATAAAATAAAAATAAAAATAAAATACTTAAGGTATGCTAATCCGAGAGATACCTGCACGGCCATGATACTCTGCATACATACATCGCAAGGCAAGACCCCGTTCGGGTTCACGGCTAGACTCAAATCGGTCTATTCACATTAGTAATTCCATCCTTTTAGCTAATTCGCATGAATTCTATTCGACGAGAACGGCGAGTATCCCACCCTCGGCCGCCCTTTAGCCAGTCGCCGGGTTTAATACCAATCTTGATCTTGCGACCAACAGGCTTCCAATTCAGCTCAGTTCTGTTCAATTTCCAGATCGAAAACCAAAGATCCCGGAACCGAAGGCAAAATATAAAAATGCCGGTCGACCAGGGACTAATTGTCCCAGGCAAATGTAACGATCAAGTACATATATATTAGAGCTAGCTTAAGATCAGCTATCAAAAGCCGTTTTTGTTTCGCTGTGACTAAAACATACATAGTACTTACATATCATACCTGTGTACGGTATTCTGTCGTGTGCTCACTTAACTTAACTTAAGATAAGACATACGATATGATATGATATCGAAACAGGTTTGGCTGTTTAAACGTTTTAACTTTTTTTTTTTTTAATTAATTTCATTTCTCTTCTTAAAATTAAATATATCCACCGGTAACCTTACCTACAGGTACTGGTAGTGGTATACATACTTGACACTGACACTGACACTGGCTAACTGTCGGGACGATATACCAGATCAGATGCAGTTCTTCCATCCATCCATCTGCTAGTTGCAGATATACTTTCCTATGCATAAGTAACTGTAGCCCACATGATGACCTTCGACTTCATCCAGAAGAAAATGCAAGTCATACACTCCCAAGACCCGAACTTCCAAGATTTAGGACACCTTCCATTGCGGATAATATCTTCTTTTTAATTTTTCCCTTTATCTTTGAGGTTTTCTGTTTCAAATTTAACCGTTTTTTTTTTCCTTTCTTCCCTTCCCTCCTTTCTCTGCGGGAAGAGGGGAAAAGTACAAATTAAGACCCATGCAAGTCATCGTGATGCTCAAGACATTTCGGCAACCGACCAGTGAAAACCCTCTACCGAGCAAGGGCAAGAGATAGAAGCCGGCAAACGAAAAAGAATGAGAAAAATGTAGAAGGAAAAAAAGGAAAGAAAGCCTGCCAAAGGACCTGCTAGCATACTACTATGTACATGTTAAGATCCACATGCAAGCGTGTCCATCGCAAGGCCGATGGCCAGAAACATCAGTGAATTCCATACGGGCCTGCCATCCCACACGATAAGCAAGATCTGCCGATAGAATAAGAATATGACACTAAGTAGTGGCATGGGCGGGATGCACACGGTCACTGACCATGTATATGCGCATACATGATTCACTGTTGCTCCCTCGATGTCTCTAAACCATAGCTGGGGATCGATTAATCATTCAATCAGAGACATCCTCGCTGTTGGAAGTCACAAAACATCGGTCAGATATCGTCATCTGTGAACATGCTCCGTAATATGAGACCGTATGGCCGGTCGTAGCCGTGCCAGCTCTTCGGCATCCAAGAAATGGCTGCAGACGGTGGAAGCACACGATTGAGCTTCAAATTTAACTCGCGATCGGCTGCACAAAGTTTGGAACAGGCGGCTGTGAGCCTCAGCAGGCTGAATGAATATAACATCAGCCTAGCGTTTGGCACACAGCTAACAAGTAAGTAACTTTGTCAAACTACCTTTTTTTTCCAAAACTAGAACCAAGTGCAAGTATACACGTACACACACCTGCGAAGGTAATTTCCGACTGATGCTAGATGGTTGGCTCAGGTTCCTTATTGTACAACGTAACGATGTACGTACCTACAATCACTAGCTGTTACTAGTAAATACCTAGTCTAGTTGTTATAGTCCGTGATGTAATCATGACCACCAGAGCCAGCTAGGTTTAGCTGCCTCGGGCCTCCGGTGGCAACATCGACCCGATCTTAACGATATCAGGCATGCCCCGACGGCGATGTGCGACAGCCACTTCTAGCTTCTATGGTCAACCACTTCGGCATCGGCATCGGCATCCTGTCAAAGCTATCCGGCCTGCAGTGCTAGAGCCGAAATAATCTTTTACCATATCTGCGGAAAAGCTCGAGCCACAGAGCAGAGCTCTGCCAGGGCCCACCGGTCTGCGACACTGCCGTTGTAATTCCGGCCCAAAGGATCGGTGTAAGTCCCCACATGCTGTCATTCGTGATACAGCAACACCTAGCTGCTACGCACTCTTTTTTCGCACATGGCTTCGTCTAGGGTTCATTTTGATTCAGGGTCCGGCTGATCAGTCGGGTCTGGTGCAATGACCAGCCAATCGACAAATGGTTCTAGACTCGACCAGACCCGGATGCTAGACTTTCTCGCGGTTAAAACCGCTTGTCATCAAGAGGCTGCCCCCATGTTAAATACAATATATTATGTAAAAAGGGACCACTTTTGCAATAGACGCCGATTCTTTGTATTTTCAGGATAGTATTAGCAAGAACTATAGTAAATAAGAACGAAGGGAAACCCGAGAAATGCTCCAAACGAAACCATGGCACCGATGAATTGCTAAATTGACAAAAAAAAAAAAGCATTTGAAGTAGAACCCGGCTCTGGACGCGTCAACCCAGCGAAACGGAATGATAAATGTTTCTTCGAGGTCTTGCATCTATAATGCCAAAAATATATTCATTCTTGGGTCGGCTTCAATGTACCGATATTGATAACTAGGCTCAGCGGGGGCGTGACTAGCATAATATGCTGTGAGAACAAGATTTCCCGATGCGAGGCGGTGTGAGTATTCTGGAGTGAACACCAGATAGTTCCTACCACCGCCCGCCTCGTCTTCCCCCGCCGTGCCCGCCTCCACCGAACCTTCTCCCGCCTCCGACACCCGGTGGCCCTTCACCGCGTGTAGGCGGTCCTTCATCGTCTAACCGCTCCCCTTTCCTCCAATCGCCTTGTGGAATACTACCACCTATGCCGCCTCTACCCCTTATGCGAATGCCATTGGGACCCGGCGTCGGGCCACCTCTGGTTCCAGCCGATGAAGCGGACCCCGTAGTCACAGAGACATCAATCCAATCCCCAACCACAAAGCGAGCTTCATCCAAGCATAGTTTCTCCGACCCGGTTCCACCACCTGCTCCGTTCGCACTCGATCCCGTTAATGGAAGCGGAACATTACCCAATTCCTGGCTGGTGTACCGTCCCGCCTTTGTGTCGGCATAGATCAATCGGAACGAACACTTTGTAGCGCCCGAGGCAAGGGAAGGGAGGGCGGAAAGAAGGAGTGTAGTGAGCTCAGCAAGGGAACAGTCTTTCCATGTGTAAACTTCGACAAAGGAGGATGGCTGGGCTGTAGAACGGAAGTCGTCCAGTCTGTTGACAGGTTAGATTGAGTCTCAGTACTTGGCAGCTTAGCTAGATCAATAGGGAGAGGAGAGTATACCTGTGGAAGGAATTGACCTTGTAGAAAACCTTTAGAAGGAATGGTGTTGTGAGGTGACGATCGACTTTGATGGGCGTCGTTGAAGTCATGTTTTTGTTTGGTGATGGTCAGGGTGAGTGGTAGCCACGAGGGCGTGATGATCATGGAGTAGACGGGTCGCGAACTCGGGTTCTGAATTACTTGGAGATGGAATACCTGCCATGTACGCGACAGCCCAGCGCCGAGACTGCAGAGCCGCAATCGATTTTGTTCCAACAACAACAACACCATGCGTTGTTACTTCTGAAATTCGTTTGATAAAATATATTTTCCTATTGCGGCACTGATAAGATAAGGGCTCTGACCTTGTGTGCATCGAATGCTAGCAAGCAAACCCATCCAAAGGCCTTTTCCCAAATCCATCTGCAAGGTCACCTTCATTGTCGATAAACACCATCCTCATCAACAACCAAATACATTCAAAATGGTACGGCGTCAACCATCGCTATATGCGTGCAATCCAAAATAATAGCTAATACAATGTTTGGGAATACAGGCAGGAGCAGCATCTGGTGGCAAGAAGCCAAAGAAGAAGTGGTCAAAGGGAAAGGGTACGAACCGACATCCACCGCCGTGAAATTAGAGACGGGGACGACGAGGGATTCAGTGGAAGGCTAACACATGGGATTTCGGTCAACAGTCAAGGACAAGTCCGTCCACGCCGTCATCCTCGATAAGGCCACTACCGAGCGTCTTAACAAGGAAGTCCAATCCTACAGACTTGTTACAGTCGCCACACTTGTCGACAGATTAAAGATCAATGGATCGCTAGCTAGGAGAGCTCTGCGGGATCTCGAGGAGAAGGGCGTCATTAAGAAGGTCGTCGGTCACTCTAAGTGCCTAATCTACAGTACGTTGACTGCACCTCGAATCTACACCTTGGATCTGAACCTAACGGATGTGAAATTATAGCTCGATCGGTAGCCACTGAGTAAAAGATGTATTTCTTTAAATAAAGAATTCATTTTTTTTTGTCGCTTTTGGGCTCTTTTCCTTTTTTTTTATATTTGTCCGCAATTACGAATATGATACCGATCCGCATAACCCCGAATCAAGCACGACCTCCTTTAATGAACCCTTTCACGGCCTAGCTAGACTGGATCTATATATGCTTCCTCCTCCAGCAATTACCTCTACGGTCGTTTTCTTCTCTCGCTACGGCAGCTTCCATTTTCCTTTTTTTTCATCATTCATGTGTATACTGGGATAAGGCATGTCGAAGACAAAGATTTTTCGATTTTGTCCATTAAAAGATACATACTTCCTTAAAGCATAGGCGTGATTATGTTGCAACTGTAAATTGTTTTACAAGGCGTAATCTCTCAACGAGGTACCATCCCTCACCACACATGTAGCCAGTTTAGAGCTCATCAGGCTTATGCTCAGGCTCGGGCTCGGGCTCGGGCGCTTCGGTCTGAGCTTTCGTTGGATCGCGTACCAGATAACCCACAAATGTGTAGGTGTCGTGACTGGCAAAGAAATTGACCCAGTGACCCAATGCTTTCTGTACTCTCTCCTCGTCAATTCCGCTAACATCCCAGGTTAAATCATTTTTGAAATCTCCAGTAATGTATGCTCTACTTGCATCCCGACCAGCTACCCAAGGCCATCAAATGGCCAAGTTAGTCCATGAACACCATGATCGCGACGGTCACCTAGACATACCAAAAAACGAATAACCACCACCCGGACCGTATTTATTCCTCCCTTCTGAAACATCGTAGATTGTTCTGTTAATCGAGAGGTATATCGGCAGCGCCAGGTCCGTGCCATTGTATAATGCCAACGTAGCTTCGTCGAGATATATTGGCTTCGTCTGTAAATTACATTAGCATCATAGTCACTTCGGTGGAAAATTCGGCGTGGGATCATACAAAAGTTCTTTTTACGCCATTCCAATACTTCCTAAATATCTTGTCTTGCCCCCAGACATAGGAATCACCCATGATGAAGTAACTTAGCATACAAGTGAATACCGCAACCCCTCCGATAATACGGAGTAGATCCAATACCCCAAAGGATACATGGTCTTCCTCTTCGAGTATCTCAGCATTTGACTTCTTCCGTTGGCGCGGTGGTGTCGTCTTTTCGGAGGGCACGGCAGGTCTGGAATCCGGGGTTGCCTCGCGGGCTTGCTGGCGGGTTTGTACCATGGTTACGTCGATACCTTATATGCGTGCGAATATAATATATATAAACGGCGTTTAGCTTATAGGAACTCAGGCTTTGACAAAGGAGCGAAAGACTGCTAAAACTATTCGTTGGAATGATCCCCCTCGTGGGTTTTCCAGGATTCGGCGGTGGAAACACCCAATTTTGTGAACAGAGTATGGAAGATGTCACGCCCATCTAATGATTATGTGTTGGCTGGTGTGGGGAGAGAAGCTTTCCGTTCCCGATTGTTCCGTCGCTACTTGGCGCGGATCGGCCAATTGGTCTTGTATCATGATATTCAGGCTATTGGGATGCAAATGCGGCCATGGCTTTTGGTGGTTAAATTATAAAGCACCTGCACAGAATACTTGAAATATTTTAGCGTCTGCCCAATCGTTTGCGGGTGATTAGACTTTGAATTGTTCCATGTTTTGACAGAACTCCATTCCATAGCATATGAGTAGTAGGTACTGGTCTGGAGGCAAAACAGGTGCGAGTTCAAGTAGGTACTTAAGTACTTACTAAGTAAGTAAGTAAGTAAATGTAAGTATAAGGTCTATCTAAGGTACTAGCTTAAGTACTATAAACTTTATATATTTTGTATAATGCATATTGGTCGAACGTTGATATGCATCGAAACATAGCCCGGATACAGCAAAATATATTAAGAAACGTTCGAAACTGAATGCGACCTCTTCGTCCTATTTACCACCCACACCCTCCTTCTAAATCATATTAAGGTAGTAGTAGTCGCTTCACAAAGATTATAAATTAGCTTCAATTTTCGCGACCTTATCATGGGCCTGCGTGTACGCTGGTCTCTCTTTGATCCTATCCATCCAGGCAAAAAGGTTAGGATATTTTTCTTTATTGAACCAACTGCCCACTCTTCCAGCTGCACTCTCAACGGGGAAAGATAGCAGGATATCCGCTCCGGAAAGCTCGTTGCCAACGAAGAAGAGCTTGCCTTTTAAGAGGCTTTCAAGATAGTCAAAATTAGAGACCAAATTGGGAGTTATAAATGGCTTTGAGAGCTGATCTGCGATTCTACTAGTGATAGGTTTGATGAAGAAAGGTACTGGGGCGCCTTTAATCATCGAGACCACCAGCGCCAGTAGTAGATAGGGCTGCAAGCTACCTTCGGCGTAATGGAGCAAATGTCTAGAGGCGCCATTAGTTTTACATGTTTATCATCTACCTTGAATTCATAGACTCAGGAATGCCTATTACTTACTTGTATTGGAGATAATTATCAGCATCATCTGTGGGTGGCTTCAGTCTAGGCCCAAACCTATCAACAAGGTATTCGACGATGAACCCGCTCTCTGCGAGAGTTCGGCCATCTATAATGAGGACAGGGGCCTTTCCAAGAGGGTGGAACTCCTTTAGTTCCGCCGGGGCTTGTTTATCCTCTCTCCTATTTTCGAACGGATATTTTGTTACAATCTATACCATGTGACATGCGATTGAGGGCGTGTGAATTACCAACCTTTTGTACGCCTTCACCTCGTACTCAAGACCCAGCTCCTCAAGGAGCCAGACAATCCGCTGGGCCCGGGATTCATTGAGCCAGATCAAAGTAATTTTGGGCCCGGCTTGGGTGGAGCCCGTGGTCTCGGCTTCGGCCATGTTGAAGTATTCCAATCGATGAATGATATGGCTATGATATCACAAACTGTGGCGCTGGCTATAGCTAGGCGGTCGTTCGTCGGGGGCGATGCAGGGTAGGTATCACCAGTTGAGAACCGAATGCGAATGCTCTGTAAAATTATAAATCAATCGCACCCATCGAATCTGTCTTCGAATGTTGTATCAAAAAGTTGAAGGATTGAGTTAGGCAACAATTGAATCATGAATCGAAGCGCAAGTGTTAGCAAATGAGATCGATTTATAAGGTATATACAGACAGGCATGCTGACACACAAGGCTTGCAAGGTGGAAGCTTAAGCCTCGGCTCGCACGACATCATTAATCCGGACCATGGATTAATTTCTCGAACTCGGTTGGCGGACAACGGTTATGCCGTTTTAACGATGTTCATGTTCATTCATTACAGGTTGGCTCGGACTTGATTTGCACCGTGCTAGCCTCATACAGGTAAGTATGAGGTAGGTACATACATTTCCTAATAGCAGCATACACTTGTCAACGCAAAACCCCTTTGGTGAAGCACACCATGTGGTCTCGAGGCTGCCATTTGGATACGATACTAATACACTGCATGCAGAGACTAAATCTAAAAGCTCCGATGGGCTGTTTCTGATATGACGGTATATGTTTGGTGTATTTTGATTAAGTATGTGTGCATACAAGTACACTTACCTCATATGTACTTATTCAAGTACAGAGGTAATCAGGTAAGTACTTACATCCCGCCAGACCACAGAGCAAAGTATCTTTGCCGTATCCGCTGACAGATCTGGTTAGGCCATTGTCATGGGCCTGGTCATCCTGTCCGCTGAGGTTCCATAAGCAGAATCGGAGCCCAACAAGACCCCTTGCTTTTCAAAGCTGCAGAGGTTGTCACATCCTGCCTCCTTGCAGCAACCTAACGATGACTTGGGACACACCAGCTCCACAACCGCAAGCCCTTTACCGCAACTCGGCAATGGGTACCTAATCCAAGAGGTCCGCAGCGACACCGGGCTGAAAGCAATGAGCAGCCAACAGCGTCATTGTTACCCAAGGAAATGGAAGTCGGGCCACCACGGAAGCTTAAGGCCATGTGTGGGATTGCCATCACTTTGCACACGGCTTCTACCACGTTGGATAACGCTCTCCCGCCAATGGCTACTCGAAGGTGGTGGTGGGGGGACGGGAGCCGGTCCAATGGGAAACTTAGAGCTTCTTTCGGAAGACGCCATGTTGCTTGGAGACGGGTGATATGAATCCCCTTGCTTGCAACGTCACTTAATTGGACCGAATTCGAGTATATCGTCAGGCGATGGAATTCAGCTTCATGCGGACATACATATACACACCTTCATACTTACATATAACATACATACATGCATACAGATATACATGCATGTATGCATAGATACATACGTACACATTTACATACACAAGTACATAAGTACATACAATATATACATAGGCCAGGCTTGGGTACTGACTTTCTTACATTGTAAGTACCATATCCATCAGAGGGTAGAGCGGGTCAAGCCCAAGCAAATTTATGAAAGTTCGCTGATGTTACGGGCTAGGAAACCACGAAAGGGGAACTGGCGTAGTCGAGACTACGCTGGTTCTAGCAATGATATTCATTTGCCTGAATTTTATAGTTGAACATAAACTTTGCGACCCGCAGCAGGCGACCAACTTTGGTGGTTGGAGGAAGTCTTTCTTCCAGTTTTACTTTTATTTCTTTTTCCTTGATGTGTTTTTTTTTTTTTTTTTTTCGTCCGAAGTATGGCCATGTAACTTGACCTGCAGGTTCACACGACTCGTCCTTCCAAGGCATGCTAAACGCCCAGGACAGAAGGTATGTAGACATCATTGAGTAGGAAGGGGGGGGAGGTTTTTTTTTTGTTATGAAAAACTCGCCGTTGCAGGACTCGCCGAAACCATGAATTCCTCTCGTGACCCCGTGCTGATAATGGCAGTGATAGCTCTTTTTGTCCCAGAATTATCCTTCTGGAGAGAGACGGGGCATGAAGATGTAATCGATTACAAAGGAATGAGGGCAGGCTAGCACAATATCTTCCCCATTTGTGTGGTCCTGTCCATCCTGCGATAGCTTGCCGCTGCAGAAAACCTCCTCCTTGGCCACCTTTTCCTGCGGCCCTTGCACGGTGCGGATGTGTATCCGGGCATATGCACCATACTCGGATTTTCTTAGTCTCCCCAACTGCTCAGCTCGGTGTTTCGACACATCTTTGGTTGTTGGGTAGCGAAAGGTTCAGGAGTTTGAGCTTAGAAAAAAAGTCATGAAGCCGCGATTGCTTGACCATGTTTCAGTACTAGCTTGCTAGGCTAAACAGTGACGGGGAAAGTGGTCTGGGACGAAACCAAGCAAGATTTGGCTTAAAAGCATTCGTGTATCTGCAACCACGCCAGACTTGAATTGCCAGACATCCGATATCCGATTCCAATACCAGGGTTGGCCAACTTGCTGTGAGGGAGGTGAAGAGAGAAGTTCAACTCTCTGGTTCTCCTCTCCTCGGTATCTTCTCACTCTCGCTGCCGTTTCATCGTTTCGTTTCTATTCTATTACGATCGGGTTCCTTGAGCTTTTCGACAAGGTGGATACAAATAATAGCTGGCCACTTAACTTAACTTAAACGACTCTTAAGAAACGGTACCTACGGGACGCATGCTACCCCTACTTTCCACGATTGCGAGTCGAAAAGGAATGGGAAGTGAGGAGTAACAGGAAAATTCGAACGATCACACAGCCAGCCTAGAAGGATCGAATCCCTTCCTTGACCCTCACCGGGAGGGCCTACGCAACAAGCTTTCCGGACCGTCATGAATCGAATTTGGTCGAGGACCCTGTGTAGCCGTCGTTTTTAGGAGACTCCGCGATTTTAAAAAAAATATTTTATTTTTTTACTTTATCTTTTATTTCTTAGTATTTTGGGGGGAACCATCTCTACTCCCTCGGCCCTCCTTGAGAACTACTCTTTTCTTTTAGTATTTTCTTTGACTGTCCGGATTTTTAATTTGGGTTCGATCCCGAGACCTTTTAGACTCTCCTGTACAAGCCAGCTTAGATCGCCACTGGGCCTTCTTGGTGCCTTGCCTTGTTTACGAGGCCAGGCGAAGGGGAAAAAAAAAAAAAAACCTGTCTGCCCTCTATCCACCACCTCCTACCCGCGCAACCACCTAGACGCCGGCCAAAAGGCCATAGCTATCCTTTGCATGCTCAACATAACGAGGATAGATAGTCGCAAACGGTCAGAGGGATTTTCCGGATGCGTGGACTCTTCCATACACCATATCATTCCTTCGACCTCACAGACGACAGGAATTTCGAGTTGAGGAGGAGAAGCACAAGGAGGTGCTCGCTTGGGGTGTTTCAAAACCAAGATGGCCAACGACGTCATCCTAGACTCCAACTTCAAGAATCCGCCTAAACGCAGAGCCATGCGGGATCCGGCTGAAATGCTCAGGAGTCGGGAGCTATACAGGTATCTCTACCACTGCCGTGCTGTGCTGTTTATCTCGAACGGCATTCACAAATCATTTTTATTTTTCGAAGTATCGTCGACGTCTTTATTTCATTTCTACTTTTTTTTTTTTCTTTTCTTCATTTCATCTTCTTCTTCCCTTATTTTTTTCCCCCTTCCTCCTCTTTCTCTTTAATTTAATTGTTTTCTTTGTTTAATCAGACGCTACTTATTGTGCTGTTATGGAGGGTTGGTATGGTGGCTTTTGGCCGGGATTATGCGCTGACATGGGTCTAATTTCGCTACAGATATTACCAACCGCCTCGAACCGCTGCACCTTCCAGTAAGGTCAAGACTTCAGAGGACCCCTCCCTCACGGCCTATGCTCAGCTCACAGCCCTACGCCTCCAGAAACACCGGGCTATGATATCATTGATCGATTATGATACCCAATGGATTATTGGTGAAAGCACTCGGACGGTTGAACCCTATGACAATTCGGTTTGCACTCCAGGCGACGAATTATGGCTTGGAGGTTCAAACGTGATACTCCCAAGCAAAGGTGGAATATGTGTAACAACAGTTGACCTTCAACCTCCAAAGTTATCACGAACATCAACCGCCAAGGGCCGAGCTGGTGCCGTTCTACCCCCACAAGACCATGGAAAAGGTGTACAACATGACGATCTTCCTATCAATGAAATTGAAGATTTAAGCAGCCATCCAAAGTTTTTGGATTCTGCTTTTGTTACCGGCTCACCGTCACTACGGCATTATGCCGGGTGCCCGTTGCGAACAAAAAAAGGATATTATATTGGTTCCTTATGCGTCGTAGACACGAAGCCTGGTCGATTATCAGAACCCGACAAGAAATTTTTGAGATGGATGTCGGATACCGTTATGGATCACCTCCAAACGGTGGCTGAGAAGCAAGTATTGCATAAAGTACAACGAATGCAGACTTCACTGTCGGTTTTTGCTGATACTAGCACATTTGATCGGAAACGAACACTAAGGAAATCTACGGACCTACGGAAACGAAAAAGCAAGAGGACGTCAGAGTCACCTTTTAGTGAAACAACGACTTCAGCTCAAAAGGGGACAGGTGACGGAGGAAGTAAGCCCCTGGCTCCTCAATTGAAAGATTCTCCTGGAGATGGGAAACTTATCAACCCGGAACGACCTCCTTTAACAGATAGGAATTCATCGATGTCCTCGAATTCGTCGAGTGTTTTATCAAAGGATTCTGCTTATTCTCAGACATCTCTTGAATCAAACTCAGCATCGACACCCACCATTAGAGTTAACCCCTTAGAAACGGAACCGCAAACCCCAGAAGCAGCCTTCCAAAGTGTGTTTTCGCGAGCCTGCCGATTGATCCGAGACGCACTCCAAATTGAGGGCGTCGTAATAATCGACGCTGGCGACGGGTATCTAGACGACTCCGAAGAAAGCCAATCCTTACGGTCTCTGAGTAAAGTTGCCCAAGAAAACATGCTGTCAGAAGGTGCTACGCGAAATGGGTGCTCGTCTTACTTTCGCCAAATGGGAATACTTGGTCTCGATGTTCAACATGAAGAGAGCCATGAAAATGAAATCTTTCAAATTGGACCCCTAGGCAACCTATTTTTGGACGAATTGTTTGCCCACTATCCGGAAGGGAAAATATTCAGCTACGATGGAGACGGAACGATTAGTTCGGGGGACGACGAGTGTAGCAGCCAGGCAACTCTCTCACCGCCCGGGAGCGATGCAAATAGCTCGGTAGATGAAGAAAACTCGAACCTCAAGAAGCGACCGGAATACGTACGGGAAAACCTCTCGGCCTTCCTACCCAACAGCACGAGTTGTATATTTGTACCTCTATATGAATCCGCTAATACACCTTATGCATCCTGTTTTGTCTGGACTACGCAAACTAAAAAGGTCTTTTTGAAGGAGGAAATCGCATACTTGAAGACATTTTCACGGCTGATCATGTCGGAAGTCGTACGGCTCGACACGGTCTCAGCCGATCGCGCGAAGGGAGCGTTTATATCTAACATCTCGCACGAACTTCGGTCACCCCTGCATGGAATTTTGGCTTCTGCAGAGCTGCTCGACGATACTAGGCTAGATACCCTCCAGAGAGATTTCTTAACTGCAATTGAAAGCTGCGGGAGAACTCTTTTGGATACGCTAAACCATGTTCTCGATTTCTCCAAACTTAATAGGCTTCAGAACGACCGTAGGATCACGCAGGCAAGCCCTCTATCCGCTCCTGACAAGGTTGATACGCAGGTTGTTCAGGATGTCGATCTTGCAGCCGTAACCGAAGAGGTGGTAGAGGGGGTATTCGCAGGATTCGACTTCAGAGGAATAAACAGTCATATTGTTCTCGAGAATAGCAGTACGACGGATATAATCCCGCTCCAACCCGATGCGATAGGTAGTCCCAATGGCGAGTCATCAAGGCGAGCTTCTGCAAAGGGAACTAACCCGAAGAGAGATGTCGAAGTCATCATCGAGATCGACCCCCTAGACGACTGGCACTTTCGTACCGAGGTTGGTGGGTTTAGAAGGGTGGTTATGAATCTTGTGGGAAATGCTCTCAAATACACCGACAGAGGATATGTTCGAGTCAAATTAGAAGCTGAACCGTTCTACGAGGACGAAGCTGGCAAATCCACTCAAGAGCCCAAGACGAAAGTCGTGCTAACGGTTTCAGATTCCGGTCGTGGGATATCAAGGGATTTCCTCAAAACGAAACTGTATGTCCCTTTTAGCCAGGAGAATGCGATGAGTTCTGGCACTGGACTCGGTATGAGTATCGTTCGCCAGATCCTAGATATTCTTGGCGGAACAATCGATGTTAAATCAAAACTAGGGTTTGGGACTGAGGTGGTTGTTACCCTCTTACTTCATCGATCCACTTTCACGAATCCTACGCCGAGCCCAGGGAATCGAGAAGAAGGGCTTGAATTAATACCGAGAGCTAGAGCCGCCGCGTCGAAAAAGAGCATTGCTTTCCTAGGTTTCTCAGATGCAATACCTGCCCTGAGCTACATGAAGCGTTCCCTGATTAAGTGTTCACAGGATTGGTATGGGATGAACGTAATTGAAGAGGATAATGCGCAATCGTTGATGGAGTTCGCAGGCAAGGCAGATGTCCTACTTGCAAACGAAATATCACCACTCCTGTCACAGTTGGGTGTAAAGGGACATAAACCGCCTGTGATCATCCTATGTTCTAACGCTGCCCGAGTTGATATGGCAAACTTGACATTAGCGGATAAGGGTGGCATTATCGACTTCGCATCCAAACCTTGCGGGCCAAAGAAACTCGCAAAAGCCCTCCTCTTCTGCCTTACAAAAACACACAGCTCTAGGAGGTCATCCCATTCATCGAATTCTTCCGGTCGAACAGGAATATACCGTAGCTGGGGCTCTTTCTCACGACCGATGGGAGATCGTGAGAAAAATTTCATATCCTCAATCGAAGACGATGGCCACGCCTCAACCTCCGCCACTGGAGCTGTGAGAATATCACCACCGGTCCGATCTGGGAGCTCATCAAGTGAGCCCGTGGTTTACGTAGCCGGCGTTGGGCATATAGCACTAGCTGCAGGGTCAAGCGCTGTCCCAATGTCATCCTCTCCAGGGAGGCAGAAATCGATTCCCTTCCTCGAGGATTTCCATACCCTTCGATTAAAGGCTCAAGCCCAGACTCAAGCCTCGATGCAGAGCATATCTGGTATTATGCACCGTGATAGTAAGAACTTAACACCGATGGGCCACCCGATTTATTCTCACCACCCAGGTATCGTAGATGGGGCTTTAATAGGAGAGGGCATCGAAATCGATAGACCACCATTTGCATCACCAGTTATTGAAAAAGATAACCCATTGAGGCCAAAATCTTGGGCGCAATGGCAGAGCCTGGACGCCTCTGCAGACGATAACGCGTCACCGAATGCATCCCCGCCGGCCAAAATAACATCAGTCAGACCTGATGATATAGTTGAAGAGCTACGGCTACTATCCGGGACACCTTCTATCCTCCTAGTAGACGATAACCCTCTTACTATGAATGTACGTATGCGTAGGGGTACTGTTTCAGATATAGACACTTGGAGGATGCTAACTGTGTCTAGTTGATGACTGCATTCATTGCTAAGAAAGGATTCTTATTCAGCGAGGCTTCGAATGGTCTCCAAGCATTGGAAACCTTTAGAGGACGCGGTGGTGGATACGACATCGTTCTCATGGGTATGTACCCCTTCCTATCGATACTGGTGGGGTTTTGAGTTACTGATGGAAGGGACAGATCTCCAATTGCCTGTTATGTCCGGCCTAGAGGCAGTAAAGGCGATTCGGGACCTTGAGAGGACGGAAAATCGACTGAAACGAGCATTTATAATTGCACTGACCGGCTCCAGCAATGAAGCAGAAGCCCTGGCCGCCGGTTGCAACAAATTTTTCACAAAACCGATCAGATTATTAGACTTATCGAATCTTATTACGGAGTACCAACATACGCATCTCTCACATTTATTACAGGATTAGACGGCATAAGTACCACTCGAGATTGCATAACCTTCACGGGATTGAAAACACCCATCTCAAAATACTAACAAAGGCCCTTGGCTTGGCTTACCATTTATCCAAGCACGGTTGCTCTTCATATTACCTATTCTTATTCTATTTACTTCAATCTTCCCTCTTATTGTTGACTTCTTATATTATTATTATTATTATTATTATTCCTATTCCTATTCCTATTCCTATTATTCTTATTCTCATTCTTATTCTTATTCTCATTCTTATTCTTATTACTATTATCATTCACGGCATCATTTGTTCGTTTTCTTTGTATCATATTAGGGACAATTTTGCAATTGGGTTCATGGGACCGATTACCTTACATAGACAGATACTTTCTCAGAAGTTCCCAACTTGTCTGGCTTTAATTCTTCTTCTTGTTTCATTGTTTGTTTTGTTTTTATTTGGTTCATTGGCCATGGGCGTTATTACCATGCTCCTTTTTTGCAGTTCTTCCCTTTGGCTCCCTATGCCCCACCCCGTGATATCCTTCGCATCTCAGCAAGTTAGCCATATATATATAGATATGTTATATCGTTTTGTATTGATAAAAAAAAGGCAATACTACGTTCCTAAGAATTTTAAATACGTCATAGACTATCACACGTCTGCATAACCGTTTCTGGTAGGCACCCAAATAAGCGGACCACGCAGAAATCTGCAAGGATGACGTTTAAGAGATTATGTATGCACCATTTAGCAGCATCTCCATACCAATGCACAAAACCGGCTAGCTAGTTCGTCCCAGGGAAAGAACGTGTCCACGGATTCGGCCCAATGGTTTTTCTTAGCTCACTCTTTCCCTATGGTGCAGAGTTCTTCTTTTTTTTTCCAGATCACAACCTTAAATTAAGTAATGGGCTAGCGGGCGGCCCCCACACTTTGGATCGGACCCATGCATGATATTGATGTGAAGTAGTGATGATGCTGTGGTAATGAAATAGCTGTCTTCCCACAAACTAAGAGAAAAACTTGCAGTTGTCAACTTGCATACAATTTTTCCTTTTTGAAGACGGAACCGGCTCCTGCGGGGCAAGGTCGGGGGACATAAGAAACTCCACTTTCTCGCTTTTTCTACCGCTTGACCCCTTCTCCAGATTGCTGTTGAAGCTTACTCAGACGAAGGTCAAACGGGAACAAATCAAGGATTCTTATTTGTTGGAAATGGTGTCAACGGTGCAGCGCAGCTGCCCTGCGTGATGGTGTTCACGTTCCCCATCGATGCACCTCGTTCAATATGGCTCGAGACAACATAAAAAGTATCTCTGAAGCTCTTCTGCATTCTGTTTGTCCTTCGAATTCCCTATGAAGGCTGAAAACAGGTGAATGAGTTAGCTTCTGGCCGTCGGCTAACAAGAGGGAACGGGGAAAAAGGAATTAGAGAAAAGGGAAGAGACAGAGAACCCAACTATCCCTGTAAAAAAAAATGTTGTGTCGCGGAGTTGCACTAAAACCGCAGGAGGATTATAAATCAAGAGAATACTTTGCGGCAGTGGAAAAAAAATGTTAACCGCTACGACCGAAAATTTCGGGTCCTTTGAGAGGGAAAGTGAAGGCCGCCGGGGCATATGCGATGTCCTCCACTCCCCCTCCTCGGAAAGAGAAAAGGGTGTTCGGGTAGCCTAGGACATAAGAGGGGGGGGCGAAGAGGTGTCTGTAGGTATAATATGGATTGTGGTCAGTAGAATGCTTAGAGTTTTCCGTTCCCTCCCATCAATATTCCTAATTTCATCAGATCTTCCACTTTCTTTCTCTCTTCGTCTCTATCACTCCAAAACCCTCCTCTCTGTTCCTCTTTTGCTTTCTCTTATTCTCTTTTTCCTAAATATAAAAATCCTTTTAAGACATATAGAGTGGGAAAGTCGGAGCCACAGAAAAGCTGCTTTGTGTGAAGGGATTGGGAAAAGCCTGCAGCGTGTTGCCGTGTAATTGACGGTGTCGTCGTTGCATTGTCGTCGTTAAAAGGCTACCTAGCCAGCACTTAGGTACTTACCTATTAACATTAAGTACTTATATAATCAATATCTTAATAAGATATAGTATAGTCGTAAAAGGTAAGAGCTGAGATTGATCTTGGTTTCGTTTCGGTTGCAATTATGGATAAAACAAAAATTGGAGAATTAATTCATTTTTTTTAATATGCAAAGGGAGAGATATAAAAATGGTCAAGAGAGATTTCGAGACAGCCATGGTCAGCATGGGCTCGCGCGGGTTTAAATCAAAATCCGCCAAAGCAGACATGGACAATGGCGCCATCCTGACAAACATTTCGACTATTAGCAAGACTAATACCGTTATAATTGGTATGTATGTCGTTCCATCCCGATCTGGCCTTGCTGATTAATGTGGATATGAACAGGGAATGGCCCTTCTGCTCTGGCTTTGAGCTATCTCTTGCACGGGAACGAACCGTGGTATTCACCTTCCGAACCTCATCCGGATCCTGTCTTGCATAGGAAGCTCCTCAAGAAATTCGGACTTAATCCTCTATCAGACAGTCAACAGGATGTCAGGTTGTATGATATCCTTCGAACACCTAAGGACTGCAATGACATCACATCTCACTTCCCAGCTTCGGTTTCTATGTCATACTCGACTGCGGCACTGCCGTTAAATACTCTCTTGGATACCCTCCTTCGACCATTGGTGGATGTTGACATGGAGGAGTCTATGAGCCGAGTCGGCTGGAGAAAGACTGACTCTGATGTTGTTCCTCACGTCATACTGGGCGAAGAACCCAAGGCCGGTGGACAGTGGGCTGGTGATGAGGTATGGTTCGGGGATGAAGATGACGAGGAAAGTGATAATGGACTCAAGACTTTGAGGTATGGCTGTAAAGTCTGCGTATTACATCACAGCGTACAAACCGGTACTAACAATCAGGCTACGATAAACAGCTATGCAGACCTTCTTTCTCTTCCCGGATACTCCCTCGGTGATCACTACAAACAAAAATACCACACAGACATGGATCCGTATTATCGTCCGACGAGAAGACTAGTAGCAGAATATTACGCAACGTATCCCCGTAAGGTTGGGATCGAAGACGTTCTCTTTCCTGGCACCAGTGTTACGAATGTCGAAAGAATAAATGACAAGTCAGGCTTCAACTTCCTGGTATCGATTAAACTGAAATCAAACTCAAGCTCAACGTCACACGAGGCGCATGTTATCCGTTGTCGAAACGTGGTTCTCGGGACGGGCATATTTTCACATCGAATTCCTCCCCCACCTGTCTTCACACCTTTCTTCAAACGTAAGTTGGACTTGGAGTTGAAAGAGAGATCATGGGATAACAGTCCCGCGCCCGCAAACACATCAAAAACTGCACAGCTGCCACTTTTGGTAGTCGGATCTGGTTACACTGCAGCGGACGCCATTTTGTGTAACCAGGGGAAACGGCCTATTATTCATGTTTACAGATGGGACCCCGAAGATAGACCTTCGCCGTTACGGGGCTGCCATCCCCAAGCTTACCCAGGTTATGCTGGCGTCTATAGGCAAATGAAGGACGCTGTTTTGAAAAAAAAGTCGCCGACGGATGGAATCTACCAAGGGTTTCCTAATGCAGTAGTGGCGGAGACACGAGGAGATGGTACGGTCACGCTTTCTATAAAGTCAGAAGACGGAACGAACAAAGAGACTGTTATCCGAGTTGCCGATATTGAAGTTTGTATTGGTAGACGAGGGAGGTTGGATTACCTGGCGCCGGATCTCTGCGAGGAGATCGGTGTCCAAAACCTCGACTATAGCAACATGGAATCATTGAATAATACTCGAGAATCACCGTCCCCACTAGCTCTATCACGGACGGTAACGTCTTCGAGAAGATACTCGAGTCGGTCTCGGAAGCCAATGCTTCACCCGACGACATCCGATACCGCAGGGAAGGTTTGGGTACGGTACAGCAGCCTACGGGAAAGAGTTGAACAAAATATTGAGGTCACCACTAATGTGTTTATTATTGGAAGCCTCACGGGTGACTCGCTGGTACGATTCGCGATGGGGGGCTGCGTTTATTCCGCTGGCAGAATCATCTCCGACAATGCCCCAATTATAGATTCTTCTGACTCGTCGACAATGATGTCCGAGACGTCATCGATGTCGGAATCTGAAGATCCGCAAAAGTTGTCCGAGGGGAAGGCTAGGAGGAGGAAGTCCAAGTGCGTGGTAGTATAAAGTTTGACAAATAAGAAGAAGAAGAAAGAAACATATATACAAGAGAGGCCAATATCTAGCTAGATAGACAATGGTTTATCATTTTGCATCTAAACGGAGTCTTCTATAGTTAGGCGCAGTTGTCGGGTTTAAAATTTGGGGTCTGGCTACCAGGAAAGGGCTGGGGTTTGAAATAACTTATGCATGTATTATTTCTGTACTAATTAATTGAGAACGTACCGATAAAAAGTATAACTGATATTAGTATTGGTCATTGAACGTATATTACACCATGGAGTTAGTTAGCCCAATTAATTTGTAACCGTGGTACAAAACGTGGAAGTCATCATAAAAATAAATTCGTTATTGGCCCTGAGAGTTTCGTCTCAAACTCTCGCAAAGATATCTTATGCTACGTACGTATGCTTAGTTTGGGCCTTCGGGCATCCTTCCAAAACTTCTTCGAGAGTGGATACTTCCAGCTCCGATTTCTTGATACCTAGCAGATCGCCACCACTCTTCAAGGCGCCCTCATCCGTGAGCGATAGGCCACGTGCTTTTTCTAAGTGTCGCCTGCTCATTTTTTCGACGTACAATGCTCGGTTCCATTGCTTTTCCCTCAAACCACCTGACACAGGCGCGTCTAAATCCATGGCATCACCTTCGCCATTCTCGCCGAAAACATCAATTGCCTGTTTCTTGAGCTCAGCGACAACTCGGTGCAATTCCTTAACTTGCACTGCTGCGAACTCCGTATCTTCGCCAAAGGATTTTATATCATTAGCCGTGCTGTTCGGGTCGAGCAGGAAGGCAAGAGGGCTATCGTCTGTTGAAGTAGGATTCAGAAGACTACGTAAGGATCTCAAGACTTTATCATTGCGTGATACATCGGCTTTGAGAAATCTATGGAGAGCTGTTGTTTCTTGGAGTTGACGGCGAGTTTGTGCGAGGGATTCGGGGGTTACGTCTTTTTCCGGGTTGATGGAAGTGGCTTTGATCAGGTTTATGTTCTATAACATACCATTAACATAAAGTCTCATGATATAGAGAGAGCGCATGACTTGGTACTTGCATCGTGATGCCTCAATCTCATCCAGTCTCTTATATCTGGTGGGACTGAGAATATATTACGTAGAACGTACACCTCGAATTGATCATAAGCTTTGTCAACCTTGCTCTCCATGAGCATTTCTAGCATGTGCAGGCCCTGCTGGATCTCATTCATGGCCACATCGTCAAAAAGCTCCTTCCCGTCCTCGTCAGTTTCAGCGATGGAGCCTTCGGCGACGTAGCCTAAAGCCGAGGGACCGGATGAACGGAGGTAATTTTCAAGCTGCTGGACAGTGCCGTATACAGACTCGTTAGCAGCATTGATGATATCGTCGACAACTTCCTGGGAGAGGGAGCGGGTTAGAATAAGTGCTAGTGGAAATGATGGCGGGAAGGGAAACGTACGAGCGGGGTGAATGTGAGATGCTCGGTAATGAGGCTGGTGGTCTTTGGATCGATGCCACTCATCTCCACGGCCTGGGGTTCATGATCAAGGGAGGAATGAGAGTTGTGGTTTACAATTGGTTGAATGTTGATTGACGCGCCAACTTAAGCTCCCAGCCCGCAGCTCCTGAAAACAACACGATACACACATATGAACGAAAACTAAATTTAAAGCTGCTTATCCGTCATGCGTCCGTCATGCATCGCATCGAACCAGGACTCACATTCACCGGCCAGAGCGCACAAAAATACCAATGCGGCCTGGATTAAATCCCGCAATCCATGGTTACACTTCCTCCTCTCCTTCTGGAAACTTGTCGATTTTCGATTGATCGATAGGTTTGTTTCTCATTGGTAAGACATCACTGCAATATAATATCATATCAGTCTGCATCATGCGAGCGGGAAAAGGTTAAATCTCCCATGACTGACTATATATTGATCAAGCATGGGCAAGTACTGGCCGACTGAAATCGAATCAAACAGCTACTAACTTAAGCTTGCCTGTTTGCTCATGTGGGCTTGCGCGCATGCGGGTTCAATAAAATTAGATCGCATTTCGCCGTGGGATAATTGCCTATATATTCAAGCATCCAGCTACTACATAGTAGCTGCAGGAGTCTAGAAGGAAATGCCTAATAAGAAAAGTCAAGTCGACTGTCGAAACGAGTCCTATATGTTCCTGCTTCTATAGCTGGCTGCCGAAAATAAGGCCGACGTCACTCTTTCAAAAGAAATAAACAAGTGGCCTGGCCGTCTCAAAGAACACAAGTCCTCGAATATCCAGGCGCAGGCTGGTGACCGGGAAGGGAGGCCGAACAGGCTAGGGATGTACAGTATGTATGTATGTATGTACTTACATGCGCAGGTACCTGCTTATAATGATGCACAGCTATACTTGTTTTCACAGCCAGGAAAACGGAAGCACCGGGTATGTATTAGTATTGCTAATTATTGCCAGGCACCTGTAGTGCTTACAGTGTACTATATCACTCGATGCACCGACATAAGGGACGATGTACCCCATCGCCGGATTACATTGCAGGACGTGTGTGTGAGCATCATCATCACCATCATCATCGGATCACCGGATCGTGGTGGTTGCTTCACAGATTTATCTCAAAGATTCCGAACTTGAACAATATACAATATAGGATTGAGGTCGGAGTAGAAGAAAGACATGGGAATTCTAACAGCCGACATTTAATTTCGTCCCATCTTCTCTCGTTTTGAGGTCACAGGAGCATACCGATGTTTCAGGGCAGTTCGGCTCAGAGTCCAGGGGATAGGAATGGGGCTAGACCATCCTGATCTCATAGTGTAGCCGAACGCATCAACCTTCTGGCCGTGCCTTTCCTCCGTGTGTATTAAGAATCAATCGTCATCATTGAATCCAAGATCTCATATTTCAAATATCTATGTCAATAGCAATATCATTCATGTTTATTATTTTATTTTATTTTATTTTTTATAGTATTTCCCATCTCGTTCCCTTTTCCCCATCCTCTTCCTTCCCCGCCTTCAAATTATGTTTCCTTGTATCTATATACAACAAACAGGTGCTTACTATTAATATTGTATTGTGATTGTTTGGATGATTGTTTGGAAACAGGTGAAGTCGTTGATAGCTATTCCATTTCGTCCTATTAGTTGCCTAGCTAGCTTGGGTTTCAACCGCATAGGCCTGGCGACACAACCCCGACCACAACCACGGCCACAACTTCCGCGACCGCAACCACAACCACAACCTCAACCACAACTACAACCACAGCTGCCCCATTCCTGTTCCCACCCACACCACACCACACACACCACAAACACCACACCACCATCAGCACCACCCACCTCGAGGCACGGCAGAGACTGATATCTACTCGATCGAGACGGATGACGGACGGTATGTAAGTACAACACTCGTTAGATGCGAAAACAGGAGCTCCCGTAGCCGATCCCTTGCATGCATGCCTGGTTTGGTTCTGAACAATACTTGACTCTGAAAGGACAAACTTTCCTGCATTCGTTATCGACTCGACCCGCTCCGAATGCCCCTGCCCGATCGCTTGCTTCTCTGGAACTTTGAAGCTCGTGCTCTTTTTGAACTGAACTCGTGCCCGTGCCCGTGCCTGTTGCCTGTGCTTGTGCTCCACCGGCAGGATTTTGATCCCAGCAACCCTTGACTTGGGCTCCAATTCACGAAACGTTCCGGCTGAAAAGGCTGCATTTCCAAAGACTCCACCAGATATATTTTTTTTGATATTCAGGTACATACCGTACATTATCACAGTGCGTCTTCCACCCACACATTGTCAACAGTTACGGCACCAACGATCACCTTCTACATAGATTAAAGGAAAGAGGAAAAAAGAAGGAAAAAAGGAAAAAAAAAGGGAAATTGCTTGCTCAAGCTTGATAACGACCTCGCCTTCGGGAGAATAACAATAACCAAGGCTTAGCGGTTTGTCCCATAGTACCTTTGGGGAATTGAGCAGCCGCAGTGCACGGCGAAGAAATTCCTTCCCCTACACTCTCCGTCACCATACATTATCAGAAACCTCCTACATACGTCGTAGGGGCTAGCTACCATTTTCGCAGCCCCAAAAGAAATATCACTAGCTCTATTTCCATCCTGCTCCCCATTCGAAGCAAGGGAGCAAAAGGAAAAACTAATCACAAGCGACCAGCCATCCTAGTGTTCTCGAAGTTTACCCTTTTCTGCTCAGAAAAGGTCTTTGGGTTTTGAGGTTTGTTCATAATGGAGGTAAGAGAATCCATCAGTCTCCCATTTCTTCCTCGCCATTCCCCTACCCCCTTCGCTCCCCAGAGGCACGATTTACCTGTAATATTCGCCTACCAAAGAAACAAGCGTACCCTTTTGTGGTGGATTAGAGGAGAAATATCTCTCAAAAGATTTTTGTGGCTTATTTTTCCTTTTGCCTTTTTCCTTTTTCCTTTTTTTCCTATTTTTTTCCCTTCCTCTTTCTGTTTCTTGCTGTCGAATTCGAGGTTCTCGTTTCTGCTGTCTCAAACCGGGGCCGTCATTCTCCGTACTGTTGCATGTTGCATTATTCCTCCTTCTGTGCGTTGATCAGGTAGCTACTTACCTACCTACCACCATCCTGTCCGGCGCCAGCTCGACCACATTTTTCTACCCATGATATATCGCGAAAGCCATTTCTTTGCAATACAACGGTTTTCAAACCACCCTAAAGCTGTACCGTTGCATTGTTTCCGTTTTGCATAGAAATCAAAGGTTTCTTTAAAAATATCGACTCCGAACGGCATCTCCAAGCGGGAGGTGATCTTTGGCGACCACCAGGCCAATAGAACACCGGCCATTCTGCTGGGTTGCTCAGCCTACTCGAGATCTATATCATCGTGGGAGAATATTCTACATTTCAGTTTTGAGCAGCATTGGTGTCGTGTCTACTCAGGTATGAAAATTCTCACATCATTTTCAACCCGCATTTATGGTCCTCGCCTCCTAAACCTCGCTATCGTCTACACCCGTTCGCTTCGTTTTATGGGATGTTTGGATATAAATACTAATATAAGAAGCCGATAGTTGCTAGCTGCTTTCCTTTTCCAGAGCTTCTATTCTTCGAAACCAGCTTCTGCTAGCCGCGCACCTCCCCATACCCTACTGTTTAATCATCAGCCCCTCATAAGAAAACCCGAGTTTTACATGACCTAGAATACCCTCCCCAAATCACTTACTTACCATATACCCTTAGTCGTTTCTCGATTTTCTGCTACGTTTGATACCCTCCAACATTAGACATTAGACGGACTTCCAGCTGCTCGAGGCTTGATTCTTGCGAAAGAATATTTACCTTCAGCTTCATACACACCCACCCGGTTTCCTTGCGCTTCTTCTTTATAGCCTGTTGTTGATTTTAATTTCCTTGTTCTGTCCTCTTCCCATCGGTGGCTCGTCGTTTTCTCTAGCCGCCCCCATCCACCGTTACCCTGATATTAACGAATAGGTTGGTATTACGGGTGCTACCCCTTGAGCATTTTCACGACTGCTGTATACTTGCAGTCTATCCTTACAACGTTGTAGGACCTACTCTTTCTTTCAAGGACGTTACGCTACCTCCATTTTCCCTTTTACGATTGATCCACTTGTGATTTATTTCCATTCATTCGTTCATTCTTTTTTTTGAAGCCCCTTTCTTCTTGCAATTTTATCGCAGGTGTTATCATTTCCGTCTACATCATCGCTCACTCTATTTTACATCAATCTTTCGTTCAGCCGGCGCGCGGTGTAATCTACTTTTTTCTCTTTCTTTTCGCGACTCCGTTCACCATGACAGGTGGTTCTCGTCCTCAGAAACTCAATTACTCACTGGAACGATGGATGCAGGATCCTTCTCCTCCTTTACAGTCTCCGACACCCTCCAAAGTTTCCATGCAGAATGGTCCTATTTCAAGAGTGCGAGGGGCCCCACGGCCGAGGTTGCTGCTACAGGGACAGAGAAGGTGAGATGTACAACTCCATGCCTCCTATATAAAATGTATCCCCTTCTAACTAGTATTTCCGAAACATAGGAGTGGAAAATCTTCCATAAGCTCCGTTGTTTTTCACAAAATGCCACCGACAGAGACTTTATTCCTCGAGTCTACAACAAGGATACAGAAAGAGCCAGTAAAGTAAGGCCCCCCAAATTATTCCAAGAATATATTATATTCACAATCAAACCGAAAACAAAATCAACGTACTCACGAGAGTGGAAGCCTAACATGGAAGCCTCTAATGGACAGCTCCTTTATGGATTTCCAAGTATGGGATTTCCCAGGTCAGATTGACTATAATGATGGTACCTTCGACCTAGAAACCCTTTTTGGCGATACGGGAGCTCTCATTTATGTCATCGACGCCCAAGACGAATACCTCGAGGCTCTCACCCGGCTCCATCAAACAATCGAGGCAATCCAGCGTCATAATCCGGCTATAAACATCGAAGTGTTCATCCACAAAGTCGACGGTCTCTCCGATGATTTTAAGCTTGACACCCAGCGTGATATTGTCCAGAGGACAACCGATGAGCTTGCAGACATGGGTCTCGATGGTGTACATATTAACTACCATCTAACCAGCATTTACGACCATAGCATCTTTGAAGCCTTCAGCAAAGTTATCCAGAAGCTACTCCCAGAGCTAGGAACTTTGGAAAATCTGCTTAACGGACTAGTCAGCAATTGTCGAATAGAAAAGGCATTTTTGTTTGACGTGTTGAGTAAGATTTATGTAGCTACCGATAGTTCACCGGTTGATGTCCAGAGTTATGAGATTTGCTCGGATTATATTGATGTTGTGCTAGATATGACAGAAATATATGGGTACGTATCTTCCTCCTTGCCCTTCTTATTCTTCTATCTCCTGTGCCTTTGACTTCTCTGGCACCAGATATATCAGATGTGTGGTTTCGGTTACCTTACGTTACATGCACATGCATGTTGTGGGGTAACTGTAGTGGGGTGATAAGAATGGGGGGTTGTGAATGCACGTGGACTGATAAAAAGGCTGAACCTTTAGATATGATCGCGGCGAGCTAGAAGTTAGCACAGTCGAGGAAACAAAGAGTTCTATCGGAAGTTCAGAAGACTGGTCGCTCCCTGACCAGTCTAGCGTCATGAAACTACAGAATGGAATGGTGCTTTTCCTACGAGAGATCAATAAGTATGAAACACCCTTCCACCTTCTCCCGACGGCCCCTCCGTCACCACCATTAACACTACCATCATAACCCCCTCCCCAAACTTCACTGTGGCTGCGCTGACTTGATGGTTCTTCTCACTATGTTTCTCCTTCATGCAGATTCCTAGCCCTCATTTGCATCATGCGTAAGGAAAGCTTCGAGAAACGCGGACTGATCGATTACAACGTCCAGGTCTTCCAACAGGCCCTGGAAAAGGTATTCGAGCTCCACCGGTAGAAACATGGAGGGAGATCAATCCTAAAGCTTGACCGCGACGGGTGTTCCCTGTGTATTATCAAACCTAGAAGAAGAAAAGAAGAAAACCGGCGCGGAGAGGCAAGGAGTACCCAGAAGAGGGAAACTAGGCTTGACAACGAAGGGGAACGCGACGAGAATCAGTTGGAAAACGAACCCGGGACGATGTGGGAAGCGAGCAGCGGAATGGAAGGAAACGAAAATTAATATTAGGAAATAAATAGCGGTAAAATAAGCACTTGTCTAAAATACTTAGTACCTAATAATGTATGTACAACAATTTTAGGAACTGAAAAACTACCTAGTTTACCCCTGATATTGATTTTGCCGATGTAGAAACCTAGCCTTTCGCTTCAATAGCCTCCTTGATTCCTGAAAGCCTAGCGCAAGAAACAAAACAGCTATGAACCCCCGAGTGATCCTTCTTTAGCTTCTTCGTGGAACAGCCGAAAAATACCCTGCCCTGTCTCCCAGACTATGCTTTGTCGAGAGTACGTGGTGGCCATGGCTGTGGTTTGGCTAGTCTCGTATTGCGGACGCGGTCCACACTTTGTGGTTTGGTGTGGTTGTGTTGATGGCTGGCAGTAGCTGTATGTACACAGTTTGGTTACGAGACTGGTGTATGTAGTGCTATAGCCAACCATTCGCTGGTTTGACATGGATGTCAGTCAAGGGAGAAAAGGGAACCATGGGCTTGAGCTGGGGCTGGGCTTGACCTCCAGTTGCTTTTCCCTTCCATTCCCAGAGACCTTCCCCGCAGATATCGCCAGATCTGTATTCAACCCTTTCCTTTCCCCCCATTTCGAAGATGAATACCCCAAGTCCTTCCCAGAGGCCCTTACCACCGGCTCCACCGAGGCTCTTTGTTCTGGGACCAGGAACACACCACACACACACACCAACCTAACGGTGGATGCGGTTCATGATGGACCGGTGTGGGGATATGATGAAGGATCCGGGTCCGGATCCGAAACAACTTCAACAGCACTGCGCCGTGGGACCAGCTCACCGGCCAGGCAGCTTTAATATTCGCCATCGCCATCGCCATTCCCACCACCAGCACCGGGGACGTCATAGCATTCGGTGCCCAATCCAATTTGCTCTCCAGCCTATCAAGCTTCTATCTGAGACTTTCCCTTCCTCTGCCTTCTCTCAGGGATCAATCTCTCTTGTTTCCATATCGTTCAAGCTCCGGATCCTCTTGTGCACCCGGCTCGTGTAACACGACCATTGCATGCATATCCAGGCCCCATCCAACGCCTCGGCCCAGCTCCGAGGAAGAGGGTCCATACCCAGTATGACGCCGTTGCCATTCAACCTTTACTTCTTTGGGTTTAATCTCTTTTCCCTCTCGACTCTCGGAAGTTCAGCACGATCTCTTATTTAAACCCACCCCTATCTCCTCCATATCTCTCTCCCTCCCTCGTTCCCTCGCTCCCTCGCTCCTTCTTTCTTTCCGCTTCTTCATACAGCTTCTCAACAGTCCGTGAACGTGACCACTTTGTGGAAACTTTTTTTTGTGACCCCCACCACCAACAAGACATTCCCGAAGGCCCTGACATCCTTCCTAAAGCAATAAAATATCCTTCGTTCCCTTTCCTACTTCCCTCCGCAATAGCCTTGAAGCAGGACAGCTCCATATTGAATCGGTACGATGGTGCCCCTTCCAACAGGTGTAAACGAGTTTCCCCCGCTAACAAGCCACCATTATAGAAACCCGGCCCTCCTGTATCCGCGGTTCAATCTCGACTCGTTCCCATAAGCGGCGACCTTGCCAAAGTAAGTGGACGCGTCCAGCCTTTCCCATCTCTCCTCCAAAGAATCTGCGAAGCTGAGTGGTAGCAACAGTTTTAGCGTCTTCGGATCCCCAACTGCCATGCCGTCCACCGATTTTGACACTCGCCCACCACCCAGCTCTGATAAAGGAATCGATAAACCTTCATCGCCGTCCGCTGCAGCTAGCCCAACAGTGGTATCTGCCCAGGGTAACAGAGCTGGGCGAAACGCACAAGCTTCTTCCGAGCAAGGCTATAGGGGGAGCGAGACTGGCTCTGCGGAGATGGCCGAAGATGAAGAAAAACATGTGCCCCAGTCACCATATGTCGAATACAACCGGTCTGATACCTCAACCTATTCTTGGGAAATAGCTTTTGCAAAGCCAGACGAAACATTATCCGATCGCTCCGAGAGGATCAAAAAGGTGGTGGAGAATTCGAATAATCTGGGAAAGCTGGCGGGGTGTGAAGGATTATAATAGGTCATAGCCTTAGGCTAAGGGGGTTCCCCTTTGGTCCCACCCCCTCCTCCGTTGTTCGGCATGATATTCTTGATACCTTTCTTTCTTTCTTTCCTTCTTTCTTCCCCCCTAAATGCTATCCGGCGTACTATCTGTCATACTTTCTGCGGTGTCATTTCCCTTCCAGTATCCTCGATCTTCATCAGCATTTTGTTCATTGGGGTTCTTTTTCATAGAGTGGTATTTCTCTCCTTTTCGAGGGAAAAAGAAAGCGAAGAGACGACAGAGGGTAGAGTAGTTCATCGTAGTTAGTGATTCTATTTGATCGAAACAAATTGTATTAGTACCCCATCTTCTTACAATGCATCTTTGGTTTTTTGATTTGGAGTATTCAAAAGGGCTGTTTTTTTTTATAGAAAATCCAACACTTACCGAATTGATATGCAGGGCTGCAGATAATCATGCATGCAATATGCATGGCTTCGAAGCGCCCACATTTCGCTTACACTCCCGTAGTCGCTGTGCCCTTGCCTTGCGTGCGGGGTTCGATGGTAGTGGTAAATATGACTACATATTCTTGAAGCCTCGTTGTAACTAGCCCGTTGTGTATAAGAAGGGTCGAAAGGAAGTTTTGAAGTCAATGGTTTCCTTCTCTGTATTTTTGTATTGAGACCTCAGTGACCCGCGCGCCGCTACCGCAATTTCATCTCGCAGGGTTTAATTAATACTTTTATGTAGGTGCACTTCCTTAAGGCAATATCCGATTCGTCGAATATATACTCATCAGAAAGGTTTCCTTTCTTCCCGTAGATTTTGGCTTTTTCTTCTGCCGTGTGTCCTCGATATCCCCTGGGTCAGGATGGCATAAGTGAGCGAAAGAACAGTGCATACGCTTTGCCCCCCGGATAAGCCCCAGTTAAATGCATTGTTCGTCAGCATCAAGCAAAATACATTTTGTACTGCGATTGTGTTTACTTTTTCGTCGAAGGTTATCCCATCGCCGCCGGAGAAATATCCCAATTTCGAGGAAGCCCGATAGGCCGACGGGCCATTTCCACCCGGGAGTGGTCAAAAATTCGGAAGCATGTGAATGTCGAGGACTATGGGGGGAATAGATATAAAAAGATAAAATAAAATAAAAAAGGGGGGGACTCCTATGGGCTGCTACGTAAACGCAGGTGCTGGTCATACGATTCATGCCATTGTCCAATGCCATATACCGACTAGGATCACAGAGATTCGGCTCTTTCGGATTTTTTGGGTACGCATGGCGAAAGGGTTTCTTGTTTCCCTTCCCTAACCGGTCGAAAAGTCGGAACGTCGAAGATTTGGAATATCGGCTCGAAAATCATCAGATCCGGTGGCATGCTAGACGATAAGGGCGCCTTTTAAACAGGACGTGATCGCAAGGGGTGGAGGACCTAAGCTGGCTTCTGGAATAGACCCGGAGGGGAGAGGGATGTTCTAAGCTCTGTGCAAGCTAGACATGAGTTCCAGAGGACAATATAAGCTGGTAGCTAATTCAGAAGCTAGCTGACCCAGAAGATATGAGCCTTATTACATTTGGTATTCATTGGCGAAGCAAAAGGAAAAAGAAAGAAAAGAAAGAAAAAAGAGAGAGTGAGAGAGTGAGAGAAAGAATTTTCGGAGGAGGGAGTAAAACGAGATCAAAGAGAAAAAGAAGAAGCTAGTGAAGCTCGGGTATCCTTGTGGTCCAGTAGCGTGTCGTGTCGTCGGGATGCAAGCGCGTCGAAGGTGGATCTGTCGAGTATTTACGACTGCGGTGGAAAGGCGGGTAGGATGAGGGAAAGCTGATGATGATGATGATGATGGTAGTGGAGGTTAAGTTAAAAGGGCTTTTTTGTTGCCGGGTTGAAGGGGTTCGGCATATTTCTCCAGATCCTTTTCGTTTGGAGTGTGCCCTCGAAGGAGCCACAGGGTGCAGGTGAGGAGATACAATCCGAAGATGTATACGAGCCAAAAAGGCAAGGCGGCGAGGAAAATTAAGGATATGAGAAAAATGTCTGGAACCTTACAGACGATGTCGAGGAACGAGGGTGGATAGAAGCTGCGCGGTGGTCAGGAATAAGGAAGACGAAGGGAGGAAGTAGGGATCGATCTGTCACATACACGAACCCCATTTTCCGTTCTGCAACCAAGAATTCGGGTCAATGGTTCTGAGAGCGAACTAGCTTAAGCATTTTAATTAGTACTTAAGTAGTTATGCCGAGGATAAAAAGTGCTTTGTCTGGATGATATCAAGGAGTGGCTTGAGGGACCCACAACAAGCCAAGGCGTAGCTACATGCAATGCACCAACCTTGATTAGAATTATCGCAGGCCCAACCTTGGGAGATTTGTCGATATTAAATTTTTGTTTGGGGGTGAGGATAACGAGGATAACGAGGAAAACGAGAGGACGGAAGAGAAGAGGAGATGGGGGATGGGAGATGGGAGATGGGAGATCTAGAAGGGGGAGGGGGAGAGGGGGAGGGAGGAGATGAATACCTTACGTTATACCCTCAGAACCTCAGATCAGAGATCAAGTCAGTAATATCAACTATATAAGTACTGCTTCTAATTAACCACCAACAATTTAAATTATAAAATAGCAAATATTTTCATGTATTTGAGTACCAAGTACTTACATATGTACTAGGAATCCTTCCAATTAGAAGTTAGATGTATGTATTATATACTACCTAAGTAGTAAGTATATTTGTAAAACAGCAGGTATGCATATGTTGGGTCTATGCATGGCCACGTCGAGATTGATATATATCTCAGGATCGATCAAGACGAAGAACCGATACCTGGAATTAAGTAACCCTATAAGGTTCTTGTAATATCTCGAGTAGACAGATCAGTAGTTTAGAATATTAATATACCCCACTTTTTTTTTTTTTTTTTTTTGAAGAGGATTGTATTTTGAGGCTTAAGCCGTTTGTGGTAGATTGGATAACGCAACGGTAGACACACACACACTTACTAGCTTATATACAACCCTGCAGCCCAGACACTTTAAATACCTATAAACTTAGTATATATATGAAGATCTAGAGAGAAGAAGAATTCTAGAAATGAAGGGATGAAGGCATGACGGAATGCCAGAGCGAATGCCACTTAGAAGGACTTATATATAGGTATGTAGGTGCCCCCTTGCTTGTCGTACTTATTAAGAGGCATAGCTAGCAAAGCAGTCTCAAAAATACAACATTTGCAACGCCGATATCGATAGGTACTTAAGTGGGTTGGTACTTGCATACGTAGCTAGTATATTCTATTCTATCTGTTCAGACAAAATATTGGTTTATCTAAGTATCTTATCTTTACCATTGAAGGAAGTAGCAATAGGTGCTTGTATATATATACCTATAGCCAAGTATTTATAGCTTGGTTGCTTTTACTTATCTCCATAAAAAGTATATACTGTACTTCTACATCATTAGGGCCTGTGTAACATTCGAACATCGTACCCTCGCTACACACACCTAAGTAGAGTACTTCAAGTGTGTAAATACTTCAAGTATTCAAGTATAAGGCGAGTAAGTATAAGCACGGGAAAGGGGAGCTCGGTCTAAGTGTTTGAGAGCTCTATAATTCTCGGAATTTCCCTTTAAAATTTGTGGCACAACATGCAGCCTTTTATGTCCTTATTATAAACATGTCGGGATCCGAAGGTAACACTCCCTTTTTTTTCTTTTCTTTTTTTTCCCCCCCGCATGTATTGCCGTGGCACAGGTTCGATACATTTGAAAACAAAGAAAGGAAAGGAAAGGGGGGGGAATAGGAAGTAGATAAAGAAAGTAAAGAAAACGAAATTTAAAACGAGAGGAAAGGAGAAGATCTTAAGAGAAGAGAAAAGAAAAGAGGGGGAGGAAAGAAGTATACTATAGTATATCAATCAAAGAATAAAAGCAAATTCTGACCAGTGATGCTCACGCACCACCCAGTTTAAGTATATACTCGTAGAAATCACTTTTTTTGAACTATTGCCTCGCCTTGAGTTTGGAGCTAACAATGAATGTGTCATTCCCAATACAGTTCCAGCTCACCAAACAATTACATGCATGCGGTTGGTATTTCGTATTTATAAAGGAGAGAGAGAAAAAAGAGAAAACCCCAGCTATTCATCATCAATATTGATCCCGGAAATATCCTTGAGCAACCTCCTGTCCTCTTCCGTCAGCTCCCCATGCGCCTCTTCCCATTTTCGAACCGGATCTTCGTCATTTACCGCTATCGAATGAAGTCCCAAGTCGATATGGCTACCAGGGGTCGTTCCAGGAACTACCCGCCCCAACGCCGGCCTTGGACTTCGTCGATTCTTCGCAGCCTCCTCTTCCTCTGCCTTCAACCTCTCAACTTTTTCCATTCTCCTTCTCCTTCTTGTCGCCAAATCATCCGCTTCCTGCCAATTCAAAAAGTCCGTCTCATCCCAGTACAAAATATTACATCCAAGAATAGCTGCTCCCCTCCAGTTCCTGGCATTTGGATCCGCGCATATTCTATAAGCACTCGTCTCCTCTTGCCAAGTGTTCTCTTGCTCCGTCCGACCCCAGCCATATTGCGCCGTCCGTGTGAAATAGTCTTTCTTCGCTTCAATCGACATGGCATGTACGATCTTACGGACAGGTTCTCCGGATGACCCCAGTGGATCGAATACCGAAATTGCGCCATTGTTTGCACCAACGATCACAGCTAGAGATGTAACCGAGACACAAGTAATCTTAGGCGTCCCTGGAATCTTGCATACCCGGATAGGTGTTAGGAGGTCACTCGTCCTCTTGGTCGGGCTTCCTCTAATATTGAATACTAAGGCCCTCCCGTGGTTTGTGCCGACCGCAAATAATCGTGCGTTTCCGCCAACGGTATTATCATTTGGGGACACTGGCATCGCTCTCGCCAGAAAGGAATCATCCATAGCCAAAGCCGTGATGTTCTGTGGATTTTTACCTTGATCGAAAATCTCTTCTCCAGATTTAGGTATCCGAAGACGAGTCTTTGCCCAGTCGTCGGCTGAGCCAGCAAAAGCCTGACTTCCAAGGATCTCGGTCTCCGGTACATCCGGCTTCTTCTCAGTGAAAAGAGTATTTAAACGGTATCTGAATCCCTGAACCCTTCGCTCTTCGGTGCTTGTGGTGCTGAATGATACGATATTGTAACCTCCAAAATCCACCTCCATTATCCACGGTAATTTGAGAGGCTGAATGTTTTCATTGTCTCCAACAATAAGCCCCGTATCCCGGTAGAGGTCATCCAGATAGAATCCTGATATCGGCCTCTCTACCCTAGTTCCCTCGAGCATGGTCCAGTGGCCCTGAACGTGCGCCGCAATTCGCTTCATCTCTTCCTCTCGCCCTGCGTTTCGCTCGGTCTTGTAGGTAGCCGCTAGTTCTGCTCGTATTCTCATCCAAGCAGCATGCCGTTCGACATGATCCATGATGCTAAGGTCGTCTCCAATCGGGCCATTCTCAATTTCTGTGTCCGCACGTTGCAAATCCGCTTCATCCTCCTCTTCCTCCGTAAGCCCATTATCCTCTGGGTCTGGCCGCGACCTGGGATCCCCAGAAAAGGTCCATATCTCTCCCACGATGTTCTGAACAACACACCACGGCCGGCCAAGTGCCTTCTTCTCCGGGGTATAGTCGTTGTCAACTTTGACGCTAACGAGTGCACACCTCGGGGAAATCCTCCACTTTGCCATACGAGATGTCTCGAGAGCTCGATGTATTTGATGCCCAGGGGCAAGAGGAAACGTGTCCACCGAAAGCATGTGAACATCTCCTTCGCTTGTAATGTAAACGAGGCCGACGCCATATTCTGAAAAAATTCCACTGGCTTCTGGTACTCTAACAGGTTTATATTTTCCCTCGAGATGATTCTGTGGATCATTCGAAGCAAGAATCCTTGAAACCTGGTCCCCGCCTTTCTGCTCCGCCGCCTCTCTCTTTGCGCGAGCAGCGGCTTGTTCCTCTTCAGTCATCTCCTCTAATCCTACGCCTGGGATGGCACCGTATCCGGCCAAATCCGCAATCCATACGCCAGTCCCAATCCCGACAATTGCTTGTGCTGGTTCATGTGCAATGGGATAATCCATACACTCACCAGTCCCAAGTCTAAAGCCACAGAGGATATTAACCCTATTCTCGCTCCATCTGCGGCCAATCACAGCAAAACTCCCAGCACCATTTTGGTGCACATCCACGATTTCCATAACATCGAAAGACGTCGCAAGTGTGTGCTGCGATTTCTCGTATCTTGTAAAGACCATAGTCCCACTGTCTTCTTCGGTCTTGAACTGCCCGTTCCCAGGGGACCAAACACTCGCCTGTCCATTTCCTAAATTACAGCTCCTGAATGAAGGAATTGGATGATAATCAGGCGGTGAGCCGTTGGTTTTTTCGTTGGGTTTCAAGGGCTCCTTATCAAAGTTCGCGAAAAGATGTGTGATCGGTGGCTGTATCAAGTGCATCATTGACATGATCACACTCTTAGGAATGGTCTTAAGGTGAGTAGATTTAAATTGTGGCTCGACATATGTGCTGCTAGTGTTACGATTTCCAGCTTCACGGAGTTCTGGGCGAGCTTTGTTAAGGTTACGGAGAAGACGAGAGCGTAGGATGGCTTCGGTGCGCCAGTGGTTCGTTTCAAGGTCGTCCGGGTGCAGCTTGGCCTGGGCCGGATCGGGCGGGGCCGTGAGGGGTGTGAATTGGCCCTTTGAATCTGGAAACCATTGGAGGAAGAGGAGTCTCCATGTATGGGGTGATGATATAAGTTTGTGAAAGTAATGGTTCGTCAGTGTCAATGACAACAGTGATGGTGGATCGAGGTAGGCGATTATGTGCCGCAGTATTTCTGAGAGATACGGTGATATCGAATTTAGCTCATGTTTCGGCGACTCCTTAGCTGGAAATGAGATAGAGCGTGTGTACGAGCACACTTACCTGTGGGGATCTTGTAGATATAGGTCTCTCTTGGCGGCCCCTTGGACCGAGTCCTCATCATGTCAGCCATCTTGGGAGTTCTTTCTCTAGGAAGTTTCCACGGCGATCTAAGACAATAATAGTGTGAAGATGAAGATGGCAATGACAATGAAATGGTCTTTCTCCTATCCTATTTTATTTTTTCTTCTATATTCTCTTTTTTTTATGTTTTATTTCTTCCTCCCCGTTGAGGATAAGGCAAGTCGTCGATGAAGTTTGGTTCTGAGTAAGGACGTATGACGGGATCTGACAGGTTTGCAGGGCGAGAAGCAGTCTAAAAGTACGCGAATGCGAGCGGGAAAACGGTCGGGTATCGAGACATGTAGCAAACGGAAAGATGAAACAGGATGATTCGTGATGACTCGAACGAAGCAGCAGCGTTCGAGTCAATCGACAGTAGAGAATGAGGTGGTGAGCAATACCTAGCTTCGACTGAAGAGAGGATGGAAAAGAGGCGTGGATCCTGGAGACCTGAGGTTTGGTTTGGTGGGGGAGCTGACACATAACTCCCAAATGAGGGGAGCCTGCATGCTGCTGCAGCTGCTTAGCGCATTCACCCACTCATTCATCAATGGCAGCCCCCCAGCTCTATACTAGATCGAGCATGTTCACGGTTAAGCATGCTGGTATATGTGTATGCACTTAAGGTCCTGCTGGTAAGGAAGGAAGGGCTAAGTAAGACCTTATGATGTGGATCAGATTGCTATAAAAGTACATACAGGAGAAGGGAAGTTCAATCAAGGGCGCTGCAGGAGGCTTTTTTCTCTTCCGTCTATTCAAAAGACAAGGTGCAAGCTATGCCATTTTGTACAGAAACCCAGTCCAACGATAGAATGATACTAACTAGGATACCAGAAATAAGAACCTGAGGAAGTGTGAGTGAAATAAGGGTGATATGAAGGGGGAGAACGAAACGATAAAAAATAAGAAAATAAAAAAAGTACGCTTGCGAGCAGCCGGGGTTGCAGTGCAGAGTGAAATTCGAAATCAGGACGAGTAAATTCGCTTCATAACTTCATGACTCCATGGGACCGAGAAGGACAAGAAAAAGAACAAAAAGAAGAGGAAGAAAGTAAATATCAACTACCAATTGATGCAGTCCCTCTAACGACCGATACGCTGTATCGGAAGGATTAATGACTGTAGTTGTAGCTGCAAGAGAATATAAATAACCAAGATAGCAGCCGAACTGAGGTCTCAACCGGAGAGGCTCATTTCTTCAACTCGTCCATTTCGTTGATCTCATTGTAACTGCCGTGGTTATCAGGCAAGAAGCCATCAGCTCCATTGTTCTGCTGCTGTTCTTTCTTCTCCTTATGCTTTTTCGTCATACTTCGGACCAGTTTAGCCACCTTCATCTTGGTGGAAACAGTATGCCGAAGTCTGTCGCCCGGATCTCCTTCACCAGGTCCCAAGGCCCGACCGCGGTTGCCAGAGTTGGTACGGCTCCATGAGGTACCGCCGTCGGCTGGTCCAGTTGGTGACAACGGAGCTCCTCCGGGACCAGCACACGCCGGGTCATTGCAGGCAGTGTTCTTTTTGAGAGTGATGGGGGGATCCGAGGTGGTTTCGGGCGAGCAGTACTCGTTCGGATCGGAGACACATGGGAGGTATGGAGGTGACTCGAACTCCGAATGGCCGCAGTTTACATAGATGTACTTTCTGTACCTGCACATTGTTCCAGAGGAGGGTTCGGATGTCAGGGGTGGTGGGTAGGAGGAATATGTTTCGACGAGAGGTGGGTGAGTAAATTTTATCGGCGCGAGGTGTGTCGTGTGTGGATGTCGTGTGCGTGGTGTGTTCTGGGTTCTGTGTTCTGTGCAAACGAAGTAGTACAGAAGGAGGAGGAGGAGGAGGAGGAGGAGGAGAGAGGAAGAAGAAGATGATGATGATGATGAAGAAAAAGAAGAGAAGGAAGATGGAAAATAAGAATAGGAATAAGGATGAGAAGGAGAAGGGGAATGGGAAGAATCAGACCCTTTCGATAATCGATCAAGTACTGAGTAGGTACTTATTTAAAAGGGGAGGGGGGTTAGGAGGAGGACGATAGGAAGAGTATGGAAGGGAGTGGAGAGTAGGTAGGTATTTAAGGACTGGAGTACTATAGTACTCTACTTACTTAATGAAAGCACTTACCTACTTACATACTTACCTAAGTACCTACCAAGCTGCCTTCTTTGGCTTTTATCCCTCACCGTCCTGCTCCTGTTAACAGCTACCTACTACCAAGCCATTTAGATTTACAAACAAGCTCCGATTCCTCTGTCGATTTTGGCCGACTAATCAGATGGCCGCCTCGAACACTCCTCGTTACAGGTTACAGGTTACAGATATCCCAAACTCTCGCCCACCCAAGAAAGGATGATTATTATTGCTATTATTATTATTATTATTATTATGGAGCTGCTCCTCTGCTCAGGGTTCGTGCAAAAGCAAGCTTCGGACGAACGATTCGGTTACAAACCAAATCAAATCAAATCAAACCAGACATGCCACCCACCGCGCTTCACTATTTGCAGCCAGATGGGTCTGCAAGGACAACCTCCAAGGGAACCAGCTGCTGGAATGAGATCAAGGGACGGGAATGTTTCATCGGAAATTTCTTCGGCATCGTTATGATCTAGGGCGCGATCGAGGTTTTCATCACCTAGGTGTACTACCTACAAACGTACAAACATACAAACAGACTACATACATACACAGGTGCCTGGTACCGGCCTGGGTACTTTGCGTGCTCGTCGTCCCGTTAATTCGTGATATTTCGATGGATGGATGTATGTCTCGCACCGTGCATGAACATTCATGCTGGCAAAAACCCGTTCCACTTCCTGGATTGGAGCCGGTATCGCGAACCGCTCGCTGGGCATGCTGTGGGGTGAGAACCTCGAGGATTTTTTTTCTTCCAGGGTTACACCGCAGCCTGTTCCTGCCGCCAAACCGACCCACTGACATGTGCGTATGCATGGGGCTGGAATAATTATGTACCGAACCAAATTCATACAATCGATCATACGAAGTACTATAAGTACACTTGCTTACTTTCTTACCTAGGTAAGTATTAAGTAAGTACATACATATATACATACATACGTATATTTAACAGCCAGGGGGGCGGTATTGCAAATTTCAATATCGATTCCAGTTTACCGGTGCCAGGACATATGCAAACCCGTTGGAAATCATATCGCAAAGAATCGGGTAAATTGATAACGACCTGACCAGCTAAGCCAAGGAACGAACGAAACGACCAATTATAGCGCCATGTAACTCCTAGGCGAAGTACATGTACTTTTTATATACAGATGTATGTATGTATCCACCTGGAGGACTAGGTAGTAAAAGCCACTCGACCTTCCAGGGCTGAACATTCAAACGAGCTAGCACTGTGTGACTTCCGCCCAATATTATCTCATTCATCCTACCCCGGCTAGGCATGCCAATGAAATCTCAAATCTCACACCCGCCATAATTTTTTGCAGACCACTTTGCAGATCCATATATAATACCACCCCTGGAGCTGAAGATAAGATTCAATGTCGACATCGGGTCCAACTTTCATAAATGAAGTTGAAATATTCCACAACCGATCGCTCCAATTCATCAATTGATAATGGGTTTACTGATCCATCTATCTATGGGTGATATGAAGCCGTATATATAAAAAATTACACGAGTCAAACCGCTGCCTATTCGTGGGGTACATATCAAGCTCCATTGAATTCAACAAACAGACATCTAAATGCTTCAGCCACACTATCGAATCTTTATATAGGTACTGAGATGGTTAAGGATGCCCTCTTGGCCCTACAACAACCAAAACCTACATCATATCAGAAACCTGAATCCCTTTGCCGCGGCCTCTCCAGGCAAACCTTGCTCCTCACGTCTCTCCACCTGGCCCTCCGCAGTCAGCCCTGTCTCGCTAAGATCCCCTTCTTGATCTAGCTTCTTATTGAGCCTGACAAGTATCATTCGAAGTACTGTAGCAAATATGATGCCCAAGACTGAGGTTCCACAATTAACGCCCATAGCAATGGCTGAATTCGGCATATACGGTCAGCTTTCAATGGCTCTAACTACTAGGGCTCAGGTAGTTTACTTGCCGTATCTCGGAGCCGAGGGTTCAGTGTACATGTACGCCGTCCAGATTGAAGATGCATTGGAGACCGCATTAATCGCTGCGAGGGCAGCAGCCCGCTTTGTAACCGGCCGTGGCAATGTTGCAGATATCCAAGAGAGGGCACAGATGTACCCCCCATAGATACTCGCTGGCATAAGCATCATTGCGACTAGACCTATCGTTAGCATTTGCGCTAAGATTCGGGGCCAGAAACCGGCAATTACCATAACGTGCAGCAATATTCAACGTAGAAGCTGCCAGGATAAACGCTACTACCGATATCTAGACACAAATTCAACCAATTGGGTCTATTTTCAGTTGCCTCCACGGCCGCGGAACACCTGCACTCCGTGGCCAAATCTCGGAGCAGAACTTACAGCAAGTGGGATGACGATATGGAAGTACCGCTCTCCCTTTTTATCCGCATGCCAGGCATTACCAAGCACGACGATCGTTGCGAGTATCTTAACGGAAATTAGCCACCCAATACCCATCGAAGGCCTCAGGCCCCAGATCTAGGGCAACTTACATATGGTGGAGTCGTCAAGAGAAGGGTCTCTATTTTCCCGAATCCAAGTGTTTGGACGACAATCGGGAAAAAGTTAGTAATAGAACCCGATGCGACGCAGCATGTCACGAGAACCATAAGGATATACATCTTGATATCCGTGAATGCGAGTTTAAGGCCGTGGAAAACTTTCTGGGCTTCACTCCCAGACCAATCCTCTTCTCCAATGTCTCGTTCTAGGACCCGTGGGTCAATGAATTAGTTATCACACACTCGCATTATGTTTCAGGCCACTCACCAAGTCTCCAGCAGGCGAGTTGCCGCTCCTGCTCGGAAAGCCATTTTGTCGTTTTTGGGAAGTCGGGGATGACAATCCAGATGAAGAATGCGATAAACACCTACGGAAGTCAGCCGTTTGTCAAGTCCCACGGATAAAGCATCAAAATATGAAAGCACCATACAGTAATAGAACCCTCAAGAATAAAGAGCCATCTCCACGCCGAAATTCCTGCTTTACCATCCAGGCCGTCCGTTATTCCAGCAGAAATTAACCCTGACACCGCACCACTTATCAAGCTACCCGAATATAAAATTGCGGTTCTCAACGATAATTCTTTACGAGTATACCAACTCGATAAATAGAACAAACATCCCGGGAAATAAGAAGCTTCGATGAAACCTAAGAAGAACCGACAGACGAGAAGACCGGAGTAGTTTTGGACTGCGCCAGTCGCGCCGCTAATAGCCCCCCAAACCATCATGACGACGGTGAAGTATATGGATGGACGTCCAATCTTATCTAGAAACAGATTCGAACTTCGTTTTCAACAAGATTAGTCTTAATATTTTCTACGGTCGTGACTTATAGATTCTACTTACGGAACCTGCATTAAGATATAGCCTACGAAAAGGATCGATACGGCAGTATTGAATTGTGAGGAAGTTAGGCCTAATTCATCCCCCATACCAGCAACCTGAGCAGCTAAATTTCGATTAGAAATAAAACAAGAACAGTAAAAAAGTGGTTAGCAGCCATACTAATAACAGTATCAGATGTTCCAACGGATGGAAATATAGAATGTAGTAGAACCTACCAGGGATATTGTTTCTGTCTAGGTAGTTCATGATATATATTAAAATGATCATTGGAAGCAGTCTAAGATCAATCCTGCGCTTGAGCTTAATTTCAAGTTCTTCGATCTCTTCGTCTGAAAGACCCTTAAGCAGTGGCGGCCTCTCATTGATATCTCTTCGTGAAACGATACTGGTAGTAGTACGAAGGGTCGCACCACCGGCGATACTAGCACCGTCATCAATACCCCTGGGCTCTGCGGTGCTGTCATTATTGTCCGTTTTTCGGGTCAATATTCCTTGCATTTCGGAGTAATCGTTATAAAATAGAGTATCTATTGCTCTGGATTTAATATTAGCAGATAATAGAGTATTTGGCCAGGGTAATATCGCAATATTTTTATCACTCTCACATAAGCTAGAAGGCAAAGGCGGAAGGTAGGGATGGAGAGGGTATTAGAGGGTCGTACGTTTAAGCTAAGGCATGCATGCGCATGTGGTTCGCCAATTACCAGTGTCAGTATTTGCAATCACAATTGCAGTCGAGGTATATATTCGTTTATAAAAGGGCAATCACAGGTCGAACGAAGTCTCCAAAGTTTCTTAGGCTTCGAGGTATATATCGATATGACCAAATAACAGTTAAGCTTCTCTTGGGAGGCAGCCAAGCAGTTTTATTTTATTTTTTTTAAATCAGCATTGTCGGTTGCGGGATACCTTTGAAATGCGAAAGAGGAGAACTCTGACCTCGAAAACCGGATTGGTGAAGATGGTGGCTAAATCAACGCCAAGCGCAGCATGGAGATTTTAACCGTACTGCTGATCTGGTTGAAAAATGTTCGAAACTGCCCAGATATAACATAATGACGCCGGTCAAATACCGGCTACCCCAAGTGGAGGCGAGCGGAGAACGTGACGTTACATTACATTACATACTTACTTACTCACTTACTTAAGCATGTAGCACAATAAGTAAGTTGTTTATGCGGGTCGACATTTCTTTGGTCATGGAATTTGTATTTGTCGCCTGCAGCTGTCGAAACGTCACTTTCGATGGGCCTCCTAGCTAGCTGACATCTCACCTTCGACACCGTCATGATATATACTTATGTATGCATATACTGACTACTTACTTAACTAAGTAATTAGGTACCTGGGTAAATACTTGTAGGTAGGTAGGTAGGTAAGTAGGCATATTTATATATCATGATCATGTTACGCTACGGCCTACCGAGAAATACCACACGCAACACTTTGTTAAACCGAGTTGGTAGTAGAATGCGAACGAGAAAACTCCCGTAGATGAGTAGTTAGTACTTAGTAACTATGCCTTCGCCCTGAACATGTACGTGTGCCGAGGTGGTAAGTTTGAAGGTTGTTAATATTATAAGGTGCCTCAGTACTGCAGTACGGTAGCCGGCAGTCGTAGCTCTACCTGGAACAATGGAGGCCTTTATATCTCGGTGGCCTTGTTTTTAAGTAAGTACCTAGTATTTACCTACTTGGTACTTAGGTAAGTAGCTATGCCTCCACTTTTATTCTCCCTCTCCCTCTTCTTTCTTCAATCCCTTCTTCCAACACACCAACCACCTAATTCAATTCCATCAGTGCCCAGCAGAGGCCTAGTCTATTGATATCGGCATCAATATCTTTCTCCTAAACGGAACGTGGCATCAAGCACGACAGCATCCTAAAACCGTTCGCTCCTGTTCTTATCAGAACCGACCCTAGCAGACCCCTCAATGGCCATGGAGGAAGAAGATCCCAGACGTATTTCCTTCTATAGGGTTGCAATCAAAATTGATGGAGCTGAAGTTAGGCTTCATAAAGCTAATGTCAAGTTGAAATTGTGAGTTTACAGTCCTTTTTACATGTAGGAACGTCTTAAAATGCAGTATACCAGTACCGAAGTACTTAGACCCACTCTAGCACAATATGGGCCAATGAATCAGCGCTAGCACTTATTTAAGTATTGCAACTGACCTAGTTATGCGTAGATGTGGTCAAGATAAATACTCCCAGACTCTCAAAGTATTCTGGACAGCAGACAGATTCAGAGACCAAACCCATAAAGCTTCCAACCCTCCAACTACCATGAGATACCGCTCGCACTTTTTGCCCCACGGAAACTCCCCCCCCCTAAGACCTCAAGCACGTGACGAACCCGTTAAATAAAAAGTCCCGTCTAAATGCAGCGTCTACTCTAGTCTTGTGTTGCAGACGCGGCGTCTACTCTTTGATCATCGCTAACTTCAATGCTATAACATGCAGTATGCTTACGGACTGGAGATGGACGGAGGTGTCATCATATCAGGTGCCGCCGGTTCGAAAAATGGCTTTACGCTAATCACAAGACGCTCTGTAAGTCAGAGTCCAACTACATCTCTCCCAGCTATACCCACGAGTTAGTATGGTTCGGCTTATCTTCATCTCGATGACAGGACATCGCTGCTATCAGGCAAGAAACCTCCGGTCCTGCTGTGGACGGGCGACGGTTGGTGCTAATCGAAAACTGGTGCTACCATGGGAAATTTCCACCCGGGTGGATTGATATCCCGCACATAAACCCAGATACGATCTCCGGTTTCGTCACCTTTGAATTCCGTCCGTTTTATAGCCATGAAAACTTGTCGTGGGAGGAAAAATGGGAAACGAAGTTTCCAAGAATAATTTGCATCCACAACGACTGGTCAAGCTTCTGGTGGGAAGGGTTTTCAAACATCAATGTCCCTCTATCTCGAATTGCCGGGAACCCAACGGCGACACAGTCTACAGCAACATTGATTACCTCTCGCTTCGCTTCATACCCCAGGCCAAACCCAGCTGAGGAGCGTGCTACGCAGACCTCCCCCAAAGCAAGACCCATCGACGACGGTGCAGCCCTCGGTGACAATCAAGCCCGCGACGATACCTTCAGCGACGTTCCTAGTGATATCCCTAGTGAGAGGCCTTCCACTCCGATTGAAAACTCTCTTACAATGGTCCCCGATGTTTCAGCAAAGTATGTTCCTACTATAGAAGAACTGCTCGAGGAGGCCAGCGACGTCTTCATCCGCGCAAAACTTTTGGAACTTAAGTACCCTGAAGATCTCTGGAACTACAGCCCGTAACCTAGTCTGACCAAACTCGGGTTTGTGCCTCATAAAGCCTGAGTGCACGAAGCAATCCATATATATGCTCCTGGGTCCATGCTCCACTTTTAAATTGATTTGACACAAGTTTCCCACTTAAGCCTTTCTTTCCCTCTTCCCCGCATCACCGTACCCCCTTCGACTCTTCGCACACCCCTCCTTATCAGACATTTTCCTATTTTCCGTTTTCTATCACCTTTCTTTATGTTTTCTTCCACAACCCAGAGGTATTCTCCGTCACTCTCGAGCAATCTTTGTTACTTTGTGGACTTCTCGATGCAAACCTTTCGTCCGTTTCTTGCCCACCCGCTCATCAAGAAAAATATAACTATGAACCCTGAAATTTAGTTTATTCGCCCCATTAAGTTTTCAACACAATCGTAAAAATATGGCTGTCAACCTTAAAACGGATAAGCAGGAAGACGACCCCCCGGTTTAATACGGTTTCGGCGAGAATTAAGAAGTATCTCGCAAACCCCTAACGCATTAATATGATATCTTTGGCCTATATCGATACATACCTAGGTACCTAGGTATATAAGTACTTATATCCTTTCCTTCAGTTCTGACTTATTAATATTATAATATGCCGCGTCTGGTATCGTGGTTAGCGTTTGCTAGCTCGCCGCACGCCTACAGCGCATGCCCATGCGAAACTAGCTCTCGTTGCGTCACCATGCTGGATTCGGCCACTACCCAAAAGGGACCAAGAAATAAATACCACAAAACCAACACAACCTTCTAAATAGTGGCATGTGTGCTTTTTCATTCGTGAAGGCTGAATCATATTAATATGTACATACAGGGAGGATCCTCTCTCCCAGAGAATCATAAAATAAGTGATACAAAGGTGGGCTCTATAGCTTCGGGGGCTTGGGCGGTCTTGGTACAACCTGTTGGTCAAGTACTCTATACAAATCGTCCTCATACATCTTCGTTCCAGCTGTCAACTCCGACGTCTGAATAGCCCCAACACTATCCGACCCAGTCGCCAAAACGCCCGAGGTACTCCACCCAAGTATTTGATAAGTCTCAGCTTCGATCCATCTAGTCTCTATATGTCTTGACTGCGACGATAGGGTCGAAGGAATATACTTCAACAGCCACACAACCCATTTATTCGCCGTTGCAAAATTCGCGGCTCGAGCGGGGTACCCCACATTCCAGGAGACTTCCAGACGGTTAACGGATTCGTGGACGGTTTCTGAGCAAAGGAATTTTTGAATACTAGCTGTGCCGTTCTCGGCTAGGAATGCTAGTTCGAAGCGATACATCGGAAATTTCGGTTTTAATTCTGGATCTTCGGATTCTGGCGACTCTAACTCGATATCGATAAGGTAGGCGTGGCGGAGGGTGAAGTAGCCTGGCAAGGGAATATTGGGAGGCTGCTTAGACATCAAGCTAGTCTCGGTTTCGACGAGATGGAGGGAGCGGATATGGTGTGGGAGGATAAACTCGTAGAGTTTGAGATCGACATAAGTTCGAACCTGAAGGGCGTTATAACCTGTAATTTCCTGGGTACCGGTACGAGCAATGATCAAAACGCCCTTGGGAATAATGCCTTTGTTGAGAATGTGGATCTGGGAGTCATTGGGCAGAATAACTCGATCACCACGTTTAAGGTCCTGAATTCGACGATAGTTCGACATCGATATACCGTTTAAACATTTCTTCCTATCGGTAAGTAGCCGTTTCAGTTGAGGCATTTGGAAGGAGCCCGTAGAATTCGATAGTGCCGTCGGAATAGTGGTAAAGTCATATGGGAACAAAACGGCCCCAGTAGGACAATGGAAGTCGTACCAGTCTCGCGTTTCGGTACCGGGGAGTTGAGTTCTTTTGCTGTCTTGACGAACGGGGAATCGTGCGTCACTTTCCGGGATTTTGAAGATATCTTTGATCTTACTTTCTTGGAGGGCCCTAAACTCGGAACTTCTAAAGAATGTATTTCGCCATTCTTGGGCTCCTTCCATGTAGAGGTAATTCTCCTCACCATGTTTTACGAATGTGAACTTTCTTTCTATCTTTCTAGGCATGGCTACGGTAGCTAAGATGAAAGATATGCAAAGGATGATGTTTTTTTGGATAAGGAGCGATGATGATGACGCAGTTTGGGAAGGTGAGATAAGCGAGGCAAGATGAAGTGGGCTGGACTGATGTGATGTGAGGTGATGTGAAGGTGGGGTGGGTGAGGTTGAGGTTGAGGTTAAGGCTACTGAAATGGTGGTATTAAGTACTCACCTAGGCACCTAAGTATCTAATACCTAGAAGCGGTACATCGGTGAAATTTACTAGCTGATAACCCGTATAAACTAGTCCGCCGTGGCATGGGCGCCTAGTAACCGATGAAATTCCATCAACCATAGTTATAGCATTAAAGTCGATAGGGTCATGTGCTGCGTTTTAAAGGCTCGTTTGTTGTGTTTTAAAATGGGGCATGGTATCGATAATTTTCTGTTTGGTTACGAGACTGAATTCTCTGAGCTTCTGTAGCTGTTGGGCGTGTGTGAATCGGCCTCGTTTCAATGTCAGATCTTCTGATTACTATAGTAGAACTTTATAGTAGACATTACGTGGTTGAGAAAATTCGTAGAGCTACAGACGTACAATTATCACTATTGTATAGACCAATACTTACTATCCTATGGAGTACGATCTAAGAAGGGGCCTAGACTTGGTAAAAAGAAATAGGTCGAGATATTTATGTGAAAAACAGTGTTTGCAGAGAGATGGTATATTAGAGGAAAGGAGAGTAGGGAGTAAAAGAATATGTTTGGCTTAGCTGCAAGAGGATATTCGACAAATCTTGAAGGGAGACAGGTGATGTACGTGGCAGGAATGATATCTTGACAAGATACGAGGAGCTCAAGGCCAGGGCTGCGACAAAGGCCGTAGTCGTAATTTGTGTAACCAGGTCCCAGCACTAGCATCGTCCCTCAAATGTCAAAGAATGGCAAGGAACAAATTCCCTTCTCAGCATGAATCGGTAACACCAACAACAAAGTACCCGCCTTGTGTACCCGTCATGATCTGAACGGCTTGATTTGGATCTTTTAGAATAAGACCTTGTTTAAACGCCGCTTTCATCGCGAGTTCCTTCGTTTCGTATCCCCGACCTTCAGGCTTTTTGATGCTTTTCAGGTTGACTTCCTCGAAGGCATGGACCGTGGTCCCAGAGTGGTCGATGTGAGGGTAAGCCATTGCCTTCGGCGGTTCCAAGAGCAGAACTTGACGTTTGCATCCGCGTTTATGTGACTTGTGCGTACAGCAGTTGGCAGGCAGTTGGGACATCGTTGCTTGGTAGTGGCACTTTTCTGGGGAACTCGTATCCTCCCTCTTGTCCTTCTTATCCTTCTTGTGTTTCTTGTCCTTCTTGTCCTTCTTGTCCTTCTTTCGCTTGTTTTCCTTCCTGTCCTCGCCCTCTTCGCGGAGGATTGGTTGGCCCAAAATATTGGTCTCGTTCATAGCTTGAAGTTTGATTCCAGTGGGTGAACCCAGCTTGGAATAGAACCTCCCGGTACTAGCGTCATACTACAGCACATGCTAACATTAACGATGGTTCATACTGACCCCGGTACTCAGGTTCGGTTATAGTCGTTTATTCAATGGGGTCTAGGTTGCCCAAAGACCCTGTAGATGTTGGGTAGGAGGGCGATTCTTGAGGGGAAAGATTAGGGCAAACTCACATAGACGTCAGTAAGATCTGGGGCAGCTGGCTCTTCTGGCTCTGGTTCCGGTTTCGGCTCCTGTTTTTTCTTTCTCTCGTCCTTGACGGTAACCGTCTTCGTTACGTCTCTTTCGATTAAAATACGGAAGCACATGGTTGCTTGCTGCCCTGGAGGAGAACGCTGTATTACCCGAGATCCTTCTGGAATATTGTCTTGCAAGGTTCGTGATAGGGTGCCTTGCTGGTAATGATGGGAAGGGGGGAAGATCGGATGGAAATACGAAGGATGAATTAGTTGTAGAAGTTACAAGAGGGGTAATCCGAGGGGTAATCCGAGGCGAGAGAAGGTGGAAGTGGGAATTTTATATCAGTGTTGATGAGGTCAGGATTACTACTAAATAAAAATTGCCTAGCATCTCCACTTTATTTTAAACAACAATAATAACCCATAGCTGAATTTTAGACTCGAGGACAGCCTCAAGCTTATGCTCCACGTACACGACGGGACCTTAGCGACAGTTGCACTACTGCTACTGTCGACCCTCTGGATAATGGCGAGCGAGAATAATAGGAAGAAAAAGAAGAGGACATGAAGGACCGAAATAACACCACCAACGACTGGCCCTCGTATATTCAGCTCAACCACGCTAAAACTTAATCCGATAGTAAAGTCGATTGGATCACATCTCGTCATCGACTTCGTCCGCTCTAAAACCCTGCGCCTGTGGCCATACTGCCAGATTCATGGATATCCGCAAGGGCCCTTGTGTGTCAGCATTGGGAATAATTTGACTTGCTGAGATTTAACGCATGGATCTATCAAAGAGCCCGGTCTAGAGGCAAGACGGGTGCGAGTTCACAAAGAGCCTTTCTAAGTCATAAGTCTTAATTCGAAGCTGACTAGTCTATTGGTATGAATGCGTTGTACATGTTGTATATTTTACACTTGTAACTCCCTAACTACAGAGAAAACTAGACTAACTACAGAGGTACTCTAGGTAAGTAAGTACTCACTCACTTACTTAGGTACTTACTAAGTACTTGCTTAACTTACTTGCTTAGCTAGTATGATATAGCGTTGATGAAGATAAGGAGGAAAAAAGAGGGAAGGAAGAAAGGGAGGGAGGGAAGGAAGGAAAGAGGTCTAACCAGAGACTTTGGAGTCTAGTAAGGCCAATTGGTCATTCGTTATGATCTGCTCCAGCTGCGTCTCCGGCTGTGGCTCCTCCACTTTCTGCCGCTTAGCTGGTGCTTCCTCCTTCGAATCCAGGGCCGCAGATTCAGAGTCGAGCTCGCGCTTAGACTCTTTGGCGCCTTTATTGGATGCCACATTGAGTTCCTTCTTTGATTTCTGCATGGCACCGTTCTCGTAAGCTTGCTGCGGGGTCGGTCTGACGTAGGGTTGGCATCTCCACCATGGTATCCGTAGAATTTTTGCATCAGCCCCGGGCCCACCTGCTTCTTTCATGATATCATCCCATTGCTCCGGTGTCTCTGGGGTGAGCTTCAGCTGCTCTTCGACTATTTTCTCCAAATCATCGGCTAGCTTGAGTATTTCATCAAACCTCTGGCCGGTTGCCTTGCCCAAAGTGTTCCGGATGTAGTGATATTCTTTTCTGGTAAAGACGGCATGCAGGAGCTTAAAGAGATGCGACTTGACGCATATCAAAGATGCGTTTTCCCGATACTGTTCCCTGGAAAGCTCTACGACTGGGTTACCTTCCCCGAAGGTGAGATCCCGGATGATGTGAAGGTACTGACGAACCATTATATCGACCCGCGGGAACCTTTCTTCGAAGCTAGCGGTGGAGGGCATAAAGACAGCGGGGTTGTAGAGATTTGTCTCAGCGCACATGACACCGTCGGCGCCGGTGATTTCCAAACAGGCCTCGATGTCAGCGCTGTAGAGGATGTTTCCGTTGGCAAATATGACGGTTTCCGGTGGAAGATTGTCCCGTAGGTATCGAATATAGCTCCAATCGGCCAAACCGGTATTGTGACTTTTTTGATCCCTCCGTCTGCCGTGGACGGTCAAGATGCTAGCACCAGCATCTAACACCATCTTTGCATATCCCAAAGTGGCCTCCTTTGTATCTAGAATACGGATTTTGGCGGTGACGGGGATATCAAGTTCCTTGTGGAGAGTGTTGATGAGTTTGTAGATGAGATCGGGCTGTTCCTGCAAAAAGGCACCATAATGGCCTTTTCTGGCGATGCCTTGGGGGCATCCTAAGTTCAAATCAACGGCATCACAATGATGCTGGGCGATTTTGGCAGCAGCTAGGAGATGTTGAGGATCGTTGGCACAGAATTGGATCAAGAAAGGTCTGTCGGATTTGTGGTCTCCATCGTAGGGAAGAGCGGGTTGATTGTGATTGGTGGAGGTAGAAGAGATCGGAGTTGAAGTTGAAGTTAGAGTTGAAGTTGAAGTTGGAGATGGGGTGGAAGAAGAAGTTGGAGCGTAGCGAAGGGATTGACGTCTGTAGGATTCTGTTTCTGCGAATAATCGGGCATGCAACATGGGCGAGTATGCGGCATCGGCATTATATTTACGTGAGAGGATCCGCCAAGCCTGAACAGAAGGAGAGAAAAGTAAGTCGGTTGCAAAGGGAGGAGGGTAGTTAGGTAATAGGTAGACAGGCAAGTAGTTACCAATTCACTGGCGTCTACCATGGGAGCAACGATACGTTTGGGAGAGCCGATGCTTTGATAGAAGGCCCTGCCGTGTAGCTTGCAACCGGGACGCTTTGGAGAAGGAGGCTCGACGGTGGTTGTCATGGTGGCGGTTGTCGTGGTGGTGGTGGTGGTGGTGGTGGTGGTGGTGGCCAGCTGCAGCCGGCGGAGGAGGGGACGAAAGGGACGAATGGTGAAAAGAATAAAGCAAAATCTAAAATAAAATAAAATATAAAATGTATTTTATACCAGAAGTATCATATGTCATATCATATCATCGCAGATGCATCGAGATGTAGAGTAAATGTAAAATTTAGTTTAATTTATAAAATATTCAAACTAGTATCTAATAAAAGGACTAAACTGTATTAGGCAGAGAGATTGATTGATTGATTAGTCACATGAGTGCGCGATGACAACACGTCTGAAACGCGTCATCTTAGATTGGATTAGATGACTCCCCTTTCCTTTCCCTTTCCCCTTCCCTTTCCCCTTCTCCTTGGCATCCCCCCTTCCCCTCTTCGCGTCTGCTTAAATACATTGTACCTTCCCCTCGACGCGTCTTCTTCGTGATCACACTTTTTTTTTCAATTTAATTTGGTTTTTTTCATTGATTTTACTGTATTATTTTATTTTTTCGCGTCTGCAGTGAGAGGACTAATACTATCCATCCATCCATCCATCCATCGCTCACTACTGGTCCTACTTAAGTACTTAAGGAAGTAAGTTCAGTAAGCCCTGTCAAGTAGACTTTACCTTTACCTTTACCTTTACCTTTACCTTTACCTTTACCTTTACCTTTACCTTTACCTTTACCTTACTTTTAATTCCAATTTGACTGTTACCTTCCACTTCCCCGTCTTCGTATACGCCTCGTAACCATAAGTCATGCTTTCCCTCCAATTGCTAACCCGTCTTCGTGAACACACCTGCAGCTCTTCAGTACCTTAGCTACCTATGTACCTGAGTGTCCAATAAGTACTATTATGCCCTTCTGAAACAGCTTTTGAAGCTGCTACCGAATTGCCTAACGATAACTCACCGTCAACACAAACCTGTGTCAACACATCCCGCTCTCTCTGGAACCTTCTGGCCGAACAATCCATCGATACCTTACCTCCCAATGCAATTGGTTCTGACGACCTTGTAGTCTGTATTCTCCTCCACCCCCGGGAGGAGGACAAGTCGGGACGGGATAGGATAGGAACAGGACCGGACAGGACAGGGCAGGACAGGGCAGGGCAAGGCAAGACAGTAGGGTAGCCGGATAAGAAGCTGCTGCAGAAGCGACTCTTTCTCTCCCTATCCCTCTCTGTTAACCTAACTTTCGCCTCGCCTTGGGAAGGGGCGCCTTTTCCCCCAGACAACTGTTCGCACTAATATCAAAGGTTGTCTCCAACAGCCCTGGCTGCTGCCCCTTGTCATTCCACCCTTGTGACAAAACTTCAACGTTCATTTACTCTTAATTTCCTCCGACTTTGGGATTTGGCTCTTTCTCGGTTTCGCTTCTTCTTTTATATATATTTTTCATTTTTATATTTTTGTTCTTTTCTATCTTTATTGCTTGTCTTCCTTCCTTCCTTCCTTTCTTTCTTTCTTTATATATTTTTTTTCTATAATACGCTTTTTTGTATTTCATTTTTGTTTTTCCCTAAAAAAAAAAAATAAGTCTTCGAGGTGCTGTTGGGTTTTCTGCATGCAAGGGACTTGGGATAGTTTTCTTGGTTTGAACGAATATATTCGACCCACTGCAGCCAACATAACTTGACTTCTATGCTTCGTTGAGCTGTCGATTATTTCATCCGTTTGAGATATGGAGGACTCATGGCAGAATCCATCTCAGTCTTATGGGTAAGCTGCATTTCCTCGTCCCCTTCTTTCCTTGCAATTGTTCAAAATCTAACCTATTCTATCTTATATTTGATCCTGAATAAACTGGCATAGATATACAACTTTGACACCAAAAGCTCCCCATGTGTCAGGCATCCATGGTTCCCCTTCCAAATCGGACACATCGGGTCTACGTTGGCATAACTCGGTGGCTGAGGATTACAACCCGATGGGTGATTTTAAAAAGAATGCATCACTAGTAGGTATGGTGGAAACTCGGATCAACCATCCGGACCAACTAGTAGCTCAAAGGTGCCCGAGTACAGGAGTATCAAATGCTCATATCAAGAAGAGGAAGCCGTCGGCTCCAACTTCGATCGCATCAAGCCCCGCAAAATCAATTATTCCTAGCGGTGGCGCCTTTGACCCTATTCCGCCGCTCGGAAACCAGGTAGCCTCGCAAGGGATTCCTCCCACCAAAAGACGGCGTGGTCGACCGCCAAAGAACCCCCCTTCGCAAACTTATGTTTCTACGATCGAGTTCATACAGGAGTCAGGTATCGGTGGTGAAGCGGAGTCGCATCATAAGCCCCGTCACTCCCCGGGCCTGCACGCTCTAGATACCTTTGTGAACTTTCCGGAATCCCATTTGCCCAATGTAAACATGGAATCTTTTAACGATGCCGATTTTCAATCAAATAAATACTGGGATGCATCTTTCCCCGGGTCTTTTTTGTCGGACAGCCATATTCCTCAGAGCCTCACAGCCGTGCCTAGCGATATCGACCTAGCCTCCGCGGCATCGACGTTCGATTGGTCAAACGTGCCCACCACCATGGGTACCGCTATTACAAACGGGATGATAGATCCTTTGCGACCCCTCTCAATGCACTCATTGGGCGAAAGTATCTTCCCTCACCATCCTCATCCCGATAGTATCAACTTTTCGTTCGCTCAGGACCCATCGTCTGCAAGTGATATTATCTCGCCTGGTTCCGTGAATCCAAACCTCATCTTTTCCAACCAAGACATGGGTAAATCGTATGGTGACGACATTGGATTTCGCCCATACCACCAACAAAACCTGCAGCAACAGGAAGAGTTGGCTGGTCAGCGAAAAAGACAGAGCAAGGCTGCTCTTGCGAATGCTCGATTTCAACCCTCTACTAGTAAGCCTATCAGGAAGAGAGCTTTGACCGAAAGTGCCTTTATTCAGTCTAGCGGGAGGGGAAAACCGTCTGGTGTACCCGTGCACCCCAGCCCAAGGAAGCAAATGGGCGCGTTCCTGAGCAAGACGAGGTCCACCATCCAGGACGAAAATACCACACCATCTCCAACGGTAGACGGGATTTCTAGAAAGGTCACTCCTGGAAGCAGTGGGTCGAAAAATGGTAGCGCGAAGACTAGAACTACAGTAAACTTCTCAATTTCCCCCGGAGGAAGAGCAAAGGCAGAAAAGGTTCTTATCGAGGACCGGCGTCTGCATCTCGAGCATTCGGATTCTGAAGGCGATAATCATGGGGAATATGATACCGACTCTTCAACGGACGAAGATGACTTCGATCCCAACTCCAGCTACTCAATGTCCGCAAGACGTCTAGCCGGTTCGAGGGCCCAACGCCGTGGCTCGGTTTCATCCTTGAACCGGTCCATGGAGCGACCGAAGCTTGCGCGTTTCAAAACCACCCCGTCGGGTTCGTTCTCGTCTTCATCCCGGTTTTTGATGTCAGGTGAATTTGCATCCGATAGTTTCGGCCGCGAGAGCAATCCATTCTTGCCACCAAGCTTTTCCATGTCCAGCTCTAGAAAAAGTCCTCAAAAGAGGAGCCCTCATAAGAAGGAGCCAAGATGCCACAGCCGCAATCCAAGTATCTACAGCATCAAGTCTTCAATAGGAGCTCCTAATGCTATCAACCTGGGCCCAATGCGAGAAGAAGACGAGTATTCCGAGGCAGAGACAGTCATCGATGGGCCTACCCTTACTTCTCAAGGTGATGCTATACTCGCCCTAAAGCAAGCCGTGGCCCGCCGAAACACCTATTGCGTACCAGGTACTTATCACCATTTTATTTTATTTTTACTACCCACCTTCTCGCTGACGGTTCGATTGCTAACTTGCGCAAAGGAGGTGTCTCAAGAAGGCCACCGTCATCATACGGCACATCTCGTCCTTCTACCAGGCACACCAACATACTCCCTTCCTCACCCCCCATGCAGCAGCAGCATCATCCTTATGGGTTTTCTACCCCGCAAACTGTGAGATCGGGTTATTCCTCGGATGCCTTCAACATATCACCGACAACAGTTACCGATCCTGATTGTCTTACCCCAACCACATACGGTGGGCGTTCACGCTGCGGTGGACATGACTTCGCTATGGACATTCGTTGCAGTTGTGTATCCACGGGTTCTCCGGAGATGCCTGTATTACAATGGTGAATAGCCTTTCTAATATGCGCTGCAATGCTTGAGAGTTCAATAGACAAGTAGAAAGAAGAACGACGTACTGATTCGAGGTTCCTTTGTCTTTTTCTAGCAACGCTTGCTTCAAGTGGGTTCATGTTCAATGCGAGGGATACGAGCATAAGCCCATCCCATCGAGTCTCATTTGTTCCTTTTGCAAGGGTGGCTGGCAAGGTCCACAAGCCCAGCGTGTTTTTCGAAAACCGTCACTCCCTCAGACTATTTCGCCACCAACCACCCGAAGTTTCAATGGCTGAAGCAAGATACCTCGGATGATATATTCTTCTTACCTTTATTTTCTACCAAAGCTTTCCTTTTTGTTGCCCCGAGTAGTTAATCATTCTAGTCTCAACTCGGTATTTGCTGCTTTGATCTTGGCCCTATCCCTCGTCACCTCCGGAATATATGTTCATTACGCACACCTTTTTTTGATATCCCGCTGGCGTTTTGTATTTCGAAAAAAACCAAAAACATGGTATTTGTTGCCCCTTCTACTTTTTTCCTATCCTTCGACAGCTTATTTATTTTACGACCTGACCTTGGGCTTTTCTTCTTTCTATTTGTGTTCCGATATCATTCTTTCTTTGATTGATTATCCCTACTTGCAATGCTTGTTTCATCCATCAAATTCATCAATAGCCCCGGTTCTCCACGTTTATTTTTGCGAATCTGTTTCTTCCAAAAAAACTCCCACTACCACTCCTGCATCTTCACACGTTTTTCATCATTTCATATAGACGGAGCAATATTTCCTATTCACATTCACGTTTATGGTTTTTGTCTTCCACCGCTCCTAACGAATCGATATCCTTCACGTACTCTTTCAATTATCCCTTCTTTACATTCGCCCTTTACTTTCTTTAATGTCACTTTATTAATTGTGTAGTTACATTTATGGTCAGGTTTCAAGTGGGTGTTCCAAGCTCTGTAGCCAGCTACCCCACGTCCCCAGATTATGTATCGATATGAGAGGGGAGGAAAACTCCCCTTTTTTTTTGGAATGACACTTTAATTACAATCTTCCAAGAAAACTTTCAATTTGAGGAGGCTAAAACTATTCCTCTAACCCTGATTCCAAGGAAGAATCCTTAAGGAATCAGAGTTGACATTCTGAATTACTATCGTTAAGGGAACAGAACTCTGGGGCAACAATCATCGACCAAAGTCGGATACCATAATACCCCACCGATTGCCCTCGGCTCCACGCTCTAGAGCTTCAACTCCGCCAATATCCCTCAAGACTCGAATGTTTCCCTGCCATCTTCTCTCTCCCTGCCTAGATTTATCACGCCACTCTTTGATGATGTCCAGTGTGCCAACTTCCACTTCCCGTTGCACTTCTTTCCGTGCCGAAGACAACTTTTCGTTTTCGTTCGCCATTCCACCGGGAATACTCCGCTCATCCTCAAAAAACGAAAAGTCGTCTTTTGACATCTCGAAAAAAATCTGAGTATCCATCTCCGCCACTGGGGCAGTGATATCATAGAACCCCATCTCCTCAGATTTCGGTTCCTCCATCTCCAAAACCAACATTTTGAGATTCGTCTCCAAGAGTTTTGTCAGGAAGTTTATCAGCGAACCCAATGTTGTTGCATTAGCTATGGCAGGAACCTCCGTCAGAGCTAAGGTCTTCAAATGGGGTACCCTAGAAATATCCAAAAGATCTGTATCCTTGCACCCAGAAGATCTTGTTAATAAAATGGCATCTCGATGGATTCGAAGGCTTCGTAGCTTTCGAAACCCATAATATGTTATGGCAGTTGTAATATCCTTAATTTCCTTTCTTCTTGGTATATTCGGTCGTTGTGTGATGGTGCTACAATCTAATGTCCTTAATCTCGTCGAATTTAAAACTTGACTGACACCATGAGAGCTCATCTTGTTATTCGATATATGGAGGTGCGTAAGGCCTTTGTCTCTAACTGGAGGTAGGTTACCTTCTGCATCAGGTAGCGAAGTTTCCAGAGTCCTAGACTCCCGACGTTGTAGTTTCCTCGCAGTCATCCACTCTTCCTCATCCCCAAACTCAGTATCAGATTCATCATCGGACTCATGAGCAACGGGCACCCGGATATCGGAACCCGTATTGTCCATCGCGACTTCGAATTCTGGTGGCATAAAACACCAATCTAGTAAATACCGGGCTAGACCGTCTGTAAGCAAATTTCCAGTAACATCCAAGCGCTCGATTTTGACTTGAAGTCTACGGGCAAGGAGCTCCATGGACCGGTCGGATAGCTTCAACCATCTCAGTTTTAAAGACTTAAGATTCCTTAACGAACCAACAGCCGAAAGAACATCCGGATGACCAGCACTGGTGGTTCGCGATAGATCGAGGACCCCAAGACCCGGTGTGAGATTTGTAAATAACTTTATCAACGACGTTGGCGTGGTATTTGTGAGGTTTGAGACGTTTAGGTGATAGAGGTTGTGATGGGGAAGGTATCCCTTGATGGATGGTTTTCGCAGCAAAGAGGCATGGTCAACGAATGTGATTCCCGGCAGAAGAAGCCTTCGGAGGTCTGGAAGAAGAACCAAAAGATTTGGGAACCATGTATCTGGGAGACTAGTGTAGATGCTAGCAATGCATTTTTCAAGGTTCAGAGTATGTGTTTGGGAAAGGGCAGCCGGAGAGGTATGTGGAAGGGCCTTTAGAAATAGTAGAAAGCTTGCTATGAAGTCATTAGGTAGGTATCAATATAATACATAGTCGGTACCGTATCTATTTGATGACTTACCGAGATGGCTCTTTTCTCCAAATCCAAAACACTCTGCAGGTTCTCCCCAGAGTTCAGAGTTAATTGCATGATTCCAAGTCCAAGAAACAAGAGCGCAGTTAAACAAATCTTCTCGTCTGATGTACGGTGCGATAATGACGATTGGGTTGTGAGATGTCGCAGCTTCATAGGTGGGTAGTGACCCCGGGTCGGCTGTCTCAAAATGACGGGTCATTTCGAATTCCGCCAAATGCAAGATTATTCTGTCGGAAACACAGAAAAGGTTGGCAAAGACCGGTTGAAGATAGTAAACTTAAGATAATATATGACCGAAGCTTGAATATACTATATATTGATACTTGATATACCTGTTCAAGTATGTACTTAAGCACCTAAGTAGGTATGTACCTAACCTATGCAGCTGTCTGTGTTGGCGATGATGTTGGTTTGTCGCAAGTAAAATCGATTCGAAGGCTTCGAGCTATCGATCGATCAAGCTCAGTTCGGACACTGAGCGGCCGTCTAGGGGTTCTATATGATCTTCCCGTGTGCCCCAAGTCATCGACCAAGAGACAGGGCCACCCGCGAGGCATCTTTGATGGTCCTGGCACCCTTTTTACATGTATCGCTGCTCGTAAATTGTGGGCTCATAGGCCCATGATTAGCTGCGCCTCTAGCTCTCTAGCGCCGAAATACCGACCTTAACCAAGTACGTTTAAATTTACCGGACTTGAGCACCTAGATTAACTTGTGTCTGTACCACTTGTAAGTACAAGCATATTGGATTTAGATACTACTTGTTAGATACTTTCGATTCTAAAACGTCAGATACATACTTGAGTACGTAGGTACTTTGACCGGCACCAGTCTTATTTACACCCTTATGAAGTACTGACTCGCTTATATAGCTTCGCCGATATGGTGACCTCATGACTCGGAAATTGCAAGAGACGTACATGTACATGTACCGTCAAAACCACAGGGACGTGACAGGGGACGCCCAGGGGTTTTCAGGTCCTTAAGTTAAATGAAAGGAAAGAGCCTCCTGTTTATGATTTTCAAGCGTTCAAATTTAAAAAACCTCATTGCTAGTCCTCCTTCAAGTTATTTCACGCACTCGAAGGTGTGCTCCGACCCAATGTCCGCAGCAGCCTCCTCTTATTCCTCTCCCGTGCTTCCAACAAAGCCTCGATGCACTGTCCGACCGCATCGAGATCTCCCAAGAGTGAAATATGTCCCCTGTCACAGTGGACTCGCTTTTCACAAGTATATCCATCAGGAAGCATAGCCTCTCGCGAGAGAACAACCCCGTCTGGGTCACAAACATTAGACACAATTCTACAAAGAGAAGGGATAGTTGAACAGCGTACCTCCGGCTCCGAAGACTAAGTCACTATAGTCGCTATTTTTTATGCCTTCCAACCCATTAACCCTAGCAGCCTTGACAGTTGGTGTCGTTTTGGAGTACAGGACTGCACATGGAGGGTATTGTTCTGCTAGTGCAGGCTGAAATGCGAGCTCAGACCTAAACTTCTTGGTCTCTCTTAAAGTCCTATCCAGGTAAGGAATGGTAACGGATAGTGGGAGAGTGCAGCTGTTTTGCGGGTTCGATGCGGCGGGTGTGGACATACTAGGCGCTGCGGCACCAGCGCCTGTCGCTGCGATTTCTTGAACCTCGTTCGCATTCCCGTGTGGCTCCGAAATGAGACCGTCAGAGGGAGCTACAATGAGATTATTTTGCGACGACGCTGTCCCATCGTCCCTTGCCGTTTTTTTCCGGGAGGTTCCGTCTAAGAGCAACCCTGGAGAAGACGGTGCCCATCGACTTAATTTTTCCCGGACATCCTTTCCCTCGCGGAAAACTGTTGCCATCGCACCTGATGCCGTACTTAAAATCCCAACCGACGTGGGTTTATTCGTTAAAGACACACAAGGACTGAGGTTGTATTGCTGCCACATAACCGGGTCATATAAGTCAAAGTCGATCAAACCACCAGTTTTGCGGTCCATAAAAACCTGTCCATCTTCTGGCAAAAAGACGAACGTTGAGCGAAACGAGAAATTTGCCTAGAGGTCGCCCATCATTAGACCGGCATGATATCTATGTTAGGATTGGGGAGAATACTTGAGCATTGAGCACGTCCTTATTGAAAGCAACAGAGTCGCCATTGCGCAGGGGGCCTAGGACATTGACACATCGCTGGGGGACACCTGCGTATAAGACACCTCCGCATTTGAACAAATCAGGCCGTCGATTTATCGCGTGCCTAGTTATTAGCCCGCCTAAGCTGTGAGCAATGACGAATGGCCCATCCTCATGCCATAGATCACCAATACTACTAGGATGTTCCGATTTGGATGCCATCCGATTGCAGGGTAAATTTGCCATGAAGAGCACTAGCTTTTCCGAGTTTAGATGGGGGCTCAACCTCCAGTCGTATGCGAAAACATGAAGCCGTACATTCGGGTTCGAGCGTAGTTTTTTCATTAGCCTACGACTGATATCAACACCCGCGAGATGAGAAAGCATATCAGTGGCGACGACTTTTTCCTCCATCAGAAGTTCTGCCTCAGGGTCGAGGGGGACTTCGAGGTCGACACTTTGTAAATTAAACCCGACTTTCACCGGGATCCAAAGGGTTTTTCCAATCCGCCTTTCGCCCATCAGCGAGGTTTTAACTTTCTTCAATATTGATCCTCTGTATCCACCCATGATCACAACATCGCCAGAAAGCTTGTCTAGAGGGTGGGTGGGCGCAGCGGCAACCGCCACCAGGCTCCCTGATGTAGCTTTCTTTACTATAGCAGGAGCATTAAACGTGAAGCTATCCTTGATATCAGGCAGTAGAGAATCTTTTATGGCTTTGTATCTTGCATTCTTTTGCTCTCGTACATCAAGAAACCGCGTATCAGACCCAATGGAAGATGTACGGGAGAGAGCTCTCCTGATAGAACTAGAATCCGAGTTACTTCGCCGTAGACCACTTAGGCGGGCCGATGCTGGATCAAAATTTGAGCCTGGAACCGTACCAGTACTTGAATTCACAGAAGAATTCTGGGGAGCCTCTGGGGATGAACTGAAAATGTGTAGGTTGGATTGTGGTTTCCGAGATGCAAGTGCATTACAGGTAGAATTGGAAGCCTGCAAAGAGCCATTTGTTGTAAAATGATTTGATACTCCAGCGGCAGCTTTTGCCAGAGAGTCGATCAACAACGAACCTGCTCGTTTGGACCGGGTAATGCCCTTTTCTTTATCCATTCCGTCTTTGCTGTTGGATCCAAATGATGGTAGCTGAGGTAGCTGCAACGATGGCAAGCTGAAAGTTGGAAGCTTAGATACCCACTTTTCGTGGTCTCCATGTTCTTTGGATGCATGGTCGGCGTTTCCGAGAGATGAAGCTCTTGGACGAAACAGCTTCGTTTGGGCTAACACTCCAAGACCTCCAGCTTTACCTTGGGAAGCAAAGAATGTCTTCCTCGGGGGTTGTGGGGAATCGATGATAGGACTATCCAGATTCTGTTCTAAATTAACAGAAGATGATGGCAAGGGCGGATGAACCCCGGATAAAGCAGCATTTTGATAAGTTGACTGGCTTCTTGAGATGGATAGAGAAAGGATGCTCGGGACATCGTCTCTAGGAAGGTTGTCCAAAAGAATATCTTCTTCATAATCGTCACTGCTGTTTTCTTTATTATCTGATTGGCTTATCTCAGCGGTACTTGTCGTATTTTTCTGGGTTTGACTATGGCGATGATGATGGTGATGATGATGATGATGATGATGATGATGGTGATGCTGTCGAGGGTGGTGTTCGGATTCAAATTCGCGTGGTCGATGGTGCTTGTGTTGTTTGGTGTTATTGTCTGAGACTTGTGAAGACATCATATTCCGGCTGCACAAATCCGAATTGGCGGAACGGCCGGCTTAGCATGGATGAAGATTGAAGAAGAGGAGAGAGAAGAATAAGAATAAGAATAACTCAAAATGCTGATACCTGTCGAGACAAGAACTTAGATCCAACAAGACCACTTGATGTTCGAAAGTTGATTTTAAAAATTAAGGAAGGCCGAGGGGATGGGAAGGAAGGGAAGGAGAAAACGAACCGATTGATGTTCGACTCGGTCCCGTCGCGCAAGAGACATAAATACTTAGGTTAGGTACTTAGTAGGGATGTAATTATCATAATTCCCAGGTCAAAGGTTGACTTAAATCCCTCTAGGTTTCTTACGAATACGTGAGATCGAGAGCAGACCAAAGGCGCAGCAGCAGGCCCGATAACCTCATATCGGCGCTGGCGCTGGCCTGTTCTGTCAGTTAATGGCAGCCTTGACGAAGGCCGCATGCAGTAAAAGCTCAATGTCAACAGCTTACCCAATGCAAACCAATTGCAATTGGCTTGAAATTTGCGGGATCCGGATATCGAACCATCCGGCGGGATCAAACACGAAGTACTGGATGTATGTACATGTGAATGAACGATCGATTGTGTCAGCACTACTTGCTTAAGTATCTTAAGTATATTATATACGATGCGAGTAAATTTGAGTAAATTGGGAATTACCAGGGAAAAGGCGGAGACGCTAAATTATAAAAAGTCAACGTGCATATTGCCCAGAGAGCTTAAACCATCAACTGCATACCCATATCCTCCTCCTCTACCACCCGGCTATTAAATCCTGCTTCGAAGCTTCTTGTCGGGTAAGTCTCACTTCTGTACTTAATCATCACTTTGACTTCACACTTAAGTACTTACATACTTAAGTACTTACTTACTTACTTACATTGCATTAGGTATAGGCCGCTTCGGGTCAAGCCTCAGCCCTACGGTCGGCAGGCACATGGACTGGCCTTTTTTTAGAACATTCGTCGCATGCCATCTACACCTTTCCCGGCATGCACTTGGGGAACCGGTGCAAGTAGTACCTACCCAGGTACTTATAGTATAATGTTAGGAAAAATATATCTGATGTTGATGTAGCCATCGCGCCGGATAACAGATCAACCTCTGGTCTCCTGGCCTTGGCTGCGTTTAATTTCGAGGTTTCGGATATGTACTGTGTAAAGTACATACATACGTACACAGTAGTTACACTGCCTCAATGCCCATGCCCCGGCATGCCCTGGGACTCTTTGATAGTCGCTTACGTAGGTTTGAGCTGCCCGAGTCTCCTGCCACGGTCTTAGTCGCTGACAGTTGACCCGATTTAGCACCCCAAGAAATACCAAGGGGGCCATGCTGAGTCTCGGGGCCTGCGAATGAAGTACTTACATGTACTTACATTATATATGCGAGTATTCAGGTATCCAAGTACCTACTTGAGTACTTATCTCCCAGTTAATGAGTATGTGGTACATCCTGTCTGGAGTAAACACCACCACCACCACCACCACCACCACCACCACCACCACGGCCATGGCCGCCCCTTGGTTAAACCCTTTTCAGACCCAACATGCATGGTTCGGACTGGTTCAGGTCGCTGCGAGCTTAACCACCAAGAAGCTGGACGGAGAGCATTTATTTCATTCCTATCACCCTCTCTTTTCTTTCACTTCTCCCTTTTCTAAATTTCCAGACCTCTTCAACCTCGATTTCAGATTCCAGCTCCTAACTTTCAGTCACTCGTTGCTTCTAATACCGTCAACCCGCCCCCCTGAAACGACACCGCCGTAAAACCAAACTTTGCTCCTTGTATTTGTTCGTTCGCGTTCGAGCATGAGGTTTGAGATCCCGAGCCTCTTGTGGGGAGGGATAGTGGTGTTGTTGACCCGAACCGCCGCCGCTATTGAGCTTGACATCGACAGTTATGGTGCGCAACATTGATACACCAGTTGAACCCAAATTTCCTCAATCTACATGCTTACATTCGCCCTGCACCTATAGATTCGATCAAATCAGCGACAAAGATCATAGCACAGGAACTAGCCGATGGGTACTGGATTCCTGGTGACGTGCACGGAGTGCCACACCCGCCTTATTATTGGTGGCTACATGGTGCCATTCTAGGCGGAATAGGTATGTATAGTTACTATTGTTTAAAGGATGAAGGCTAACCGAGCAATGAATAGTTGACTATTGGGCCATGACTGGGGATACCAGATTTAACGCCAACGTTACTATTGGTATGTTACCTATACACCGGTCACACTCTTTCATTGTTCTTCCGTATACTAATGCTAGACCATCTGTGCAGGTTGGCTCCGAGGAGTTTCTCCTAGTTTAGATCTCCAGCCTGACGAACAGTCCTTCAGTGAAGGTAGTTAACCAACCAACCTGAAACGGGACTGCCACGTTAATATCACGTTATGAATAGGAAACGATGATCAGGGGTTCTGGTCCATCATGAGTATCGATGCTACCGAGCGAGCCTTCCCGGAAACTGAGAACCAGAAGGAAATGCATGCCGGATTCCTCGAGATCACGCAGTACGTACAAGCGATAGGCTACCACTCGCCGCGCTATCATCGCGCCAACATCGCCACTAACTACCCTCTGTAGGACAGTTCAAAACCTCCAAGCCGGCCGTTGGGACGACAAAACGTGTGGAGGGGGTCTGAGATGGCAGATCAATCCCACCAACGATGGCTTTCTCTACAAGAATACGATTTCGAATGGTGAGATCTCCCCCCTTCTTCCTCTTCCCCTTTTCGAATTTACTAACATTGGGCTTTATATAGGCCTTTTCTTCCAGCAGAGTATGTCCTTTTTCAAAAACAAACAAGTGAATGAATAGATAAAGGAAATAGAGGAAATAGAGGAAATAAAGGAAACGAGGAAATAAAAGCTGGTTCGCATTGCTGATTATGGCGTAGGTGCGCGGCTTGCTAGATATACAAAGAACCAAACTTATGCGGACTGGGCCGAACGGACCTACAAATGGCTACGCGAGGTAAAAATTGTCCGGGACGACTTCTATGTTACCGATGGGGCATGGCTTCCGGACTGTAAAAAGTTCACGGAAAAACGGTGGTCATACAACTACGGGACGCTGCTCGCCGGTTGCGCTGCCATGTATAATTTCACCGATGGGGGCGCATACTGGAAGGAGCAAATCGACAGTCTTCTTACCGCCACATATGCAACCTTCTTCGATGCAGAGTCGGGTGCCATCAAGGAAATTCAATGTCAAGACAGCGATTCCTGTAACGCCGATCAGCCTTCCTTTAAGGCATACCTTGCAAGGCATGATGGCATTCAATCATCTTGTGGAGAGACCTAGCTGACCGGTTTGACATAATAGATGGATGGGATACACCGCTCAGGTTGCCCCTTACACCTACAACGACATCATGCCTCGGCTCAGGAAAAACGCCCAGTTAGCTGCTGCGACCTGTACTGGTGGAGCTAGTGGGACTGCCTGCGGGTTAAAATGGAACACTGGACCTAAATTTGATGGTATCATGGGCCTCGGTGAACAGTTGAGCGCGCTTGAGGTCATTCAGAATACAGCCCCCTTTGTAGCCCCGGTAGGCTACCTGGTGGATATAGACAACGGAGGAGTTTCTAAGTCGAACCCGAATGGAACAGGTACCCGGGGTGGTGTGCACAACCGAAACTCCCAGTATCTCCCGTATCGGTTGAGAAACTACGACATCACTCTCGCAGATCGTGTAGGTGCCGCTATCATTACGCTCGTTATTGTCGTTGTTTTTGCCCTCGGTGCGAGGTTCACAATGATTCATTAGGTCTGTATTTGGTTAGCTGTATGTGGATGTGGATATATTACATTGGTGATTTTACTTGTTATATTGGTCATATCGGACGGGTACCATATCGGATTTAGCATTCGCACCTTTCATGTTACTTCTGCATGGAAAGACAGAGGTGTTCCAGGTTGTTTTGTCACTTTCATTTGCGGATACAAGGCATTTCTTGTGATCTTAATATATTGCTCTGGAGTTGGTTGGTTTTCTTTACCGCTTTTTGCTTCATTCCCATGCACCCATCTTTTTCTTCTTCTTCACTTTATTTATATTCCCGCTCATCTACACCTTTCGGCAGCTGGATAGGTATGCTTTGTATACTTTCACCCCCATCAGTGTGCTCCTGGACATAGACTTAGGCTTGTTTGCAAATTTGGAACTGTCAGTTGTGTAAAATATTTCTGGGCTAAGCTAGGGCTATAGGTGGCCAGCATAAAAAAGACCTCGGAGCAGCAGATAAACCCCATTCTGTTTGATATAATACGTTGCTTTATATATACCTGTACTGGTACATTGATAGTACTTGAATCCATGTAATCCGTTCTTAAACATTATCTACCAGCACATACCTCCTTAGGTATGTGCCAGAAGGAGGGGTTATTGATACCGTAGAGGTGGAATTTTACTAATAATTCGGATTCGAACGGTATTGAAAAACACTACTTTTCTAGCACAGTTATACTAGTCTGACTAATATTGATTCAGCCTTGTCAACCCAACGCACCCGCAGAGAGGAAAAAAAAACACCCCAAGATCGCGATCAGTTGAAGCCAAACCCCAACAATGAGTTTATATCTCGAGGCTGCTACGATTCTCGAGTCGCCGCAAACTACGTCCCTCAAGGCGATTATATACAATCCCTCGAAACCATTCAAATCACCACAACCCAAACTATATGCTCTCATTGTCGAGACCCTAAAATTTCAGGACATCCTAAAGGAAGTCGTGGAAAATTCTGGTATTTTAAAGCTAGAGCGAAAGGTATTCTGCGTTTCTCATGGCGACAAGACACCATTTCCGGCCGTATCATAAGTAGCCCTCGGTGCTGACTACGATTTTGAACAGCTGACACCCCTTCTATCAATTTTGTTAACACACGACCTCCTCCTTACGAAATCAGGGATCGCTACATCCAGTGGTCCTCTCAAAGATGCTCTTCTACGTCACAAGGCGCGGTTGAACGCGGAATTTACACGTGCTAGACTTAGACGTGGGCATGCAGACATAAAGTCTCTCATTGGAGCCGTCAATGCAGAGCATAGCCGCGAATCAGAAGATGGGGTTACAAAAACCGCGACTGGTCTTACGTCATTTAACCCTCGATGGGTTCGTGTGAACGCCCTACAAACGACCCTAGAAGACTCGCTCTCGTCTCCGACTTTCCACGCATTCCAAGAAGTCGGCAGCGTAAGCGATATGTTTTTCTTCGACGTTGTGCGGAAGACTTACTACCGGAAGGCCGAGATTTTGCCCAACATTCTTGCAATACACCCGTCCCACGATATAACATCAAGCGAACTGTACAAGTCAGGGAAGATTATTCTACAATCTGCTTCCTCATGTTTGCCAGCTATCATGCTGGATCCGCCAAAGGGCTCGATGGTTGTTGATGGTTGTGCCGCCCCGGGAAACAAGACGACACACCTCGCGGCACTAGTCGGCAGTAGCGGGAAGATATTTGCAGTGGAGAGGGATAGGAGGCGTGCGGATATACTTGAGATGATGATAACGAAGGCTGGGGCGGAAGGGATCGTAACAACGCTTAAAGCAACCGATTTTACGACGATAATGGAAGGACACCCCGCTTGGCAAGCTAGCTACATCCTACTCGACCCTTCATGCTCCGGCAGCGGTATACTGCAAAGGGTTGATTGGGATATATCGAAATTGAATTTGCCATCTAGCGATACTACCTCCAGCCACCCGTCCAAGAAGAAGCGAAAGAGGGACGAGACACTACCGAATGGTTCTGCTTCCCAGCCTGAAGAACGAGAGACAAAACAACTTGAAGAGGAGATTCAAGATGATGATACTTCTAGAGAAAGATTGCAGTCGCTTTCTGATTTCCAAGTTGCAATAATTCTCCACGCATTTTTATTTCCAAATGCGAGGAGGATTACATATTCTACATGCAGCGTACATGCTGAGGAGAACGAACATGTCGTGGCCCGTGTGCTGAATAGCGAGATTGCGAAGGAAAGAGGCTGGAGAGTTCAGAGCAGAGACGAAAACCCGCTCTCCACCTGGCATAGGCGAGGTTTGGTTGGAGAGCTCTCCGACCTTAAGAGTAGCTTAGAGGAGCAACGGAGGGTTGCAGATGGGTGTATCCGGGTCCATAGGACGGATAGCCTAGGGGGTGGCTTCTTTGTAACCTGTTTCACGAGACAGGTGGATGACAAAGGTCAATTTGGTGGGGGTATAGGAAACTTGGATATAGTCCCTGCCCAGGAGGACAAATCTCGCTCCCAGGTGTTGGGGGACACGACGGAAGTCGAGAATCAAGAATGGAATGGGCTTTCGGATGAAGGGCCCAATGAGGCTGTATCCGCAGTTGATATCGCTGACGGTGACCCGCGATCAGGGAAGAGACAAAAACGAAAGCCAGGCAAGGCCCAGCAAGGAAGAACGGAGAAGACAAACAGACAGTTTCAGAAGGGCAGGAAAGGGTGGTCGTAGGGTTACACAGCATCGTCTCTAATGTCTAGATAGAATATGAAATCCCTGCGTACTGGTACAATGGGGCTGGGTATAGGGTCAACCACTTACCAAGGAAGCAAAGCCATGCGAAAAGCTGTTGGGGGGTTTCCTCGATTTGAATTTGAGGATTTGGGTGGAATCCTTAAATCATCACCTAAATTCTCGTCGACATATTACCATGGAACCCTTCGGAGCGACAACTGTCAGTATGGGATATATATAATGGCTCACAGCCTGTGGTGATATCTCTACGAGGGTAGAAAGCAATCAGGTCCCATGGGCTGACAGGATCCCAGCTATCAGGATTGTACATGTATCACTCTGTGATTTCTGAGATCTAGTCCATCCCTAGCCCCGAAACTAACCTGACATCCTTGCTGTGTACCAATCACCAGATCAGACCGGCGGGATGTATAATCTCCAAGTTACCGTACAATGCAACCTATCAGAAGCCAATAGACAGTATAACTCTACCAGCCATCACATATACTTTCTGACCTGAGTAGCTTTATAAGTAAATACCTCTTATACACTATTCCCCAGACTAACACTATTTGCACGGGAGTTCACCAAAAAAGGCATTAGCTCTCTTTATTCTTGTTTTTTTATTTTATGTTCTGTTAGATAAGTACTTATATATACACAGTAAATATATGGTATATAGATAGACCTATATATAGAGGTGTTAGTTGTGCGTCCCGGTTCGGACCAGGTCTAGGTTTGTTTAAAGTTGGGACCAATTGCAATATCCGCTTATCTTGATGCTCGAATGTAACCTCGAAACCAGCTTTAGTTTTTGTTACAATTGATGTATGCGGGAATGGATCAAGGCAAATACGGGTCATGGCTAATGACGACTAGCTTGATATTATTGCGTGGACCGTCGGCCTGGACATGACCTGACTTTTGTCTACTGACAGATGCACGCCTACGGGTATCGATAAGGTCGAGCTTGCCAGGTCAGAAGTACTAGTATGCGGGGCTAAAGTGAGGCGTCCTCTGTACCGACAAGGCGAATTGTATCACATCACATTGGATATACTTACTTACATACATTTTTCAAATGCAGCCAATTGATGTATATTCGGATCGATGTTTGGGAACCAATCTAGTTCCTTGGCTTTAAAACATTCCATGGAAGCATCACGCAGACTTTGAAGGAAGGAAGGAAGGAAGGAAGGATTGTATACGACAGGGTATCAGACTCGATCCAAATAGTCAGGTCCGCACCCCACACACACATCTGTGCCACGGTAGAAGAGACTTTCTTGATTGGTGTCTCCTAACGGTTTCAGTCGTTTGCTCACTGTCACTTGCTTTTTTAGTCAGGGCATCCCTTTTTTTTTTTTTTTTTTTTTTTTTTCCTGTCAAAGATCCAAATTTGGGCACCTGCACGTCTTGGCTTGCGTGCTCGGTCTGAGGTGTGCCAGGAGCACTTATACGCAGTACTGTAAAAGATGATGAAAGTTATAATTAAGGGTATCTGTATCGATTCGACGATTGTGAAATGGACAGTCGAGTCTGAGAGATGGAAGAGAGTAAATTTATAAAATGAAAATGAAAATGAAAATGAAAATGAGAATGAAATACCTACGAAGACAGGAATCCGAAGCCATGCATCGTCTCATTTCGAATCTCGGCCCTGTCATGAATAGGGACAGCAGCTTCGGGTTCAGGCTGTGCATGCACGCCAGCCAAACCGAGCCAATTGAGTAATTAAAGCTAAGTAGGTACTTGAGTACTACATTATACTACATATACTATACTACATAGTAAGTAGTTTTTAGTTGCGGGTCCCTTTGCAATTGATTCGGGATTCGGGATTCGGGATTAATGTTCGGGACCCTGTCAGAGAAAGGAAAAGAAAGGGAGGAACGTTCTATCATAATTAGTATGCATTCCCTCCTACGTGTATATACTGAAGTAAGTACTTGAATAGTAAATAGTACTTACTCTTTACTTCTATCTCTATTTCTATTTTATTTTTATTTATTTAATTTCTATTTTTCTATTCGATACAATACAATTGAATACAATACAATACAATACAGATTGGTTCGGATTGCATTGTGCTGGACCGTGGTATTCTTTTATTTTTTATTTTTATTTTTATTTTTATTTTTATTATTTTTATTTTATTTTATTTTATTTTATTTTTAATTTCTGCCCCTTCCCTCGCTCTCGCTCTCGCTCCCTCTCCCTCTTCCGCTTCCACTCTCTCCCTCTCTCTCTCTCTCTCTCTCTTTCGAACTCCGAAATAACCCAACCCCCCCAAAAAAAACTAAATTGTCGCCACCTACGCATGTCACCTGCGTAGCTTCTTCTTCTTCTTCTTCTTCTTCCTCCTCTTCTTCTTCTTCCTTTTCTTCTTCCCCCCTCTTCTTCTTCCTATTCTTCCTTTTCTTGTTTTCCAGATCTTCCCTATTTTCACTATTCCTTTCGCTATCGCGGTTGTATTGCCCCCCCCCCCCCCCAGATCGAGCCAAACCCACCTCGGCTCTCTTACATACGCACCCGCTTCCTCGATATTATGTTCCTGGCGTCGCCCTTTTGATTGCTGCATCTGTGCCTTTTCTTTCACTCTTTAGGTCCCTTCGATTTCTTTCCCTATTTTCTTCATTCTCATCAGGAGTCCCGACAGCGTCGAATTTTCCCTACTCGTTTCTACGATTTTCGTTCAATTCCCGGAATCGCCTTTCGTTCGCTCCCCCCCTTTTTCCTTCCTTGTACCGCCACAGTCGTTTGTTTTTTTTCCTTTCTGCCTCCTTACCCGCAGAAGCCTTATTCCGACGACGTAGATAAGCACCGGTCGAGTGTTTCTCTTCTTTCTTTCCTTTCTTTCTTTCTTTCTTTCCGACGGTATCAAGGGCTGCCACCGAAAATAAGCATCAGTGCAAGATCTGATAGCGGACCACCCGTAGACTTCATCGGCCGAAAAAACAAGCGACTCGTCGACAGCCTTCAACCGCACCCCGAATTAATATCACATACGACTGATTTAGCCATCGTTGGATCTAGATATTCGACATTCGCTCAGTCAGGGAGGAATCCATATATATATATATATATTCTTTCCTGTCAATACGCATTGCGATTACTGCTGTACCGGAGGGCGGGGGGTTTTTACGCTCGCACGCCATTAATTTCCCAGGGCTAGGGACGGTCCCGGCAACCCGACATTATTGGATCCTATCATTCGATTCTGGACGAAAGAAAAGGTTCCAGAGGGGATATATACTTACTTACTTACTTACTTACTTACTTACTTACTTACTTAATTACTTCCTTACTCGAGTACTTAATCATAATTAAAAGGGCTTTTGGACCCGGGCGACCCGTTTGACAGGTGTTCTGAGCGGGAATTGGTGATACCGTCTGCTTTGCGTTCTCCCAATTCCCATTGTTTTACCAAGTAAGTGTCCCCATTCCCATTCCCATCCCCATCCCCATCCCCATCCCGCTTCTGCTTCTGCTTCTTCTACTTCTTTTTTTTATTTTTTTATTTTTATAAATTTTTTTATTTTTTCATATTTTATATTTTATATTTTATATTTTATATATATTTTTTTTCATATTATCATTATATGCTTAAGTACATATTTTCCCATATTCTCCCTCAACATCATCAATATCTCACCACAAAACTTCACAACTTCCCTCTCTGTCACAAGCATGCAAGAATTATAACTCTGCACTATCATCACCATCACACACATACCACACAACAACAACATTAGTACCATCCTCATCATATCCTCCTTACCCCCCCCCCCCCCCCCCAAATCGGGTCCTTGCCTGTCCATTTCTTTCTTTACTTTTGTTGCCTTCCACGGGTGCCATATCGTACCAATGAATTTGCAACTGCGCACCCGCTAGCCCTAAGACTTCATCGTGGGTTCGGAATCTCCTCGTTCTTCTAACTCGCCCCCTCCCCCCTTCTCGTATCATTCTCATCTCCTTGTAAGCACAAATTATTCGGTCGCTAGTTCCCCCATGGCCGTGCGTGCACCCTCAGCTGAATCCTCAAATCTCACCGTCCAAGCAGCTTCTTTCGATACCTAGTACTAACAGGTTGCCAACTCTAGTTTGACCAAGCCGGTTATTTCTCCTTCGAACCCTTTTGCCTTTGATTTAGATATAGAGATATCCACTTGACGGGTATAGACAGACGTACACCGATATACATTTCCTATCGTTTCACCTTCAAGCTTGAATACGCTAAGGACCAACAGAAGCTATAATGGCAACCCTCGTCCAATCCACTACAACAAATAGCTTTCAACCTCAACCCACCATCCCCTCTTCTGCCTCCCAATCACTTAACAACATGACTTTCAATACGCAACCGCATAACAATTTTCAACGGAACATGTCGTTTCCTCAGGCCCAGTCCGGTGGAAATGCAATCAATGGTTACCGTGGGATCGCCACGGCTCCCGTTGCTCCATATGCCTTCAAGTCGACCCCTAATCTGACGACGAATGATCCAAAATTCCAGCCGAACAAACAGGAGGTACGAGCGAGCGCAGGTTTTGATAACCAACCGCGCCAAAGACAGCCCACGCCTCATACCAACACTGCGATCCAACAAATCCCATCGAATACAGCCCTCAACCACCCGCACCAGCAAACGCAGAGCAGTGTAAGGCCGAATCCCACAGTTCACGGAGGCGGCCCTTCTCATACACCGACGGCCCTGCCGGCAGCCTCACGACCACCCGCAGATAGGTATCGTCGAAATGTTAAACGATCGGAAAGCTTTGGTCATGGTGGTGTTGGGGACAGCTTACCTCAGGCACCGGTGGATGCCCTATCCAACATGAGCATTTACAGCAATCCAGGTAAAGCCAGCAGCAGTCCAGCACTACCTCTGTCGGGTTCAAATTCAGCATCCGCATTTGGTAGTCGAACCTATGCCGAGGCAGTGGCGGTGGGTGTAAAACCAGTATATGCAACTGGGGACCGGGCGTTTAGCAAGGACGACACCCTGGCGTTGAAGCAAACTAATGCTCGCAGCAAACTTCAGCAAAAAGAATTGATGGATAGGAGGAGATCGATCGGCGCTTTTGATCTCAATACACAGGTCGGGAACTCCGCTGGCGGGTTACATAACGGCAATCCTTTCATGTTTAATCAACCGAACTTCTTTCAACCAACTCCACCAAGGTCTCCTGCCACGGAGAACTCGTCTCCTGCTACACTCACATCACCTGGGAATCCCTTCCACCGTAGAGAAAGCTCTGACAGTATCTCTTCTAAGAATTCCTCGAATGGTTCACAAACACATAAGGTTAGCAATATTATCCATGTCCTCTTCCTCCCTCCCTTCCTTCCTTCCTTCCTTCCTTCCTTCCTTCCTTCCTTCCCTCCTTTATTACCATAATTATCATCATTGTTATCATTATTAGTAAGGGGAGTAGTATCGATAATCATAATAATAACCATAATAACCATAATAACCATAATAATCATAATGATAATAATGATAATATTCTTATTATTATTATTATTATTATTATTGTTGTTGTTATTATTGTTGTTGTTGTTTTTGTTGTTGATGCTGTTATTCTCCCTTTTATTCTTATTTTTTCTATTTTCCCCCCTACGCTTTGAATTGTGGTTGACAAAATCGAATAGGTAAAACAGCAGCAACAGCAAGTTACCAACTCAACCGCTACTGTGAAGCAAAATTCATCTATCGACTCGGTTTCGAGTTCTCGTGGTGCCTCCGATGCCAAAAAGAGATCTACCAACCCGTCGCCTCTTTCGAAACCTGTGACAATGAGCCCCGACCCAAACAAGCCAGAAGGAGTCAAAGAGCCAGAGCCAGAGCCAGAGATAACACCAGTCCGGCCAAGGACTGGAGGCAGCGTTGCTGCAGATAGACTTGCTGCACTGCAAGCTGAATCTCGCAAGGGATTTAAATCGAGACTACGTAGGGCATTTTCCTTTGGAAGCGCTGCGGAACTCAAGCAGGCAGCTGCCCTGAGCGCAGAAGATCGACAGCGTCTTAGGCAAGAACGAGAAGATGCAGAACAAATGAAAATAGCCGAGCGGCAGGAAGCCGGTGGACTAGGAAACTCAATCTATTCCAATAACCAAGGTGGTATCTTTTCTGGCTCCACGGACAATCTCTCGATCTCCTCCACAGCTTCTTCCGCATCTGTAATGTTAAGAAAAATGGGCAAGGGGATGAAGCGAGGATCCAGAAGCTTCGTTGGGCTTTTTCGACCAAAATCTGTTATTGGCGTTGAAGCGGCATCTGGACCAATCGCCACACCCGTAGCCATCGAGCCAGCCACGGCCCAAGTGAGCATGGTTACTGTCGAAGCAGAGAGGGAGAGAGTCAATGTCAATGCGAGCCCCTTAGAACACACCGGGGGCGGAACAGGGTTCCCAAAATTGGAACGTAATTCACTCGACGCCGGAAGACAGGAACCGGGCACATCTACCGAGGCAGCTTCTAGACGAAGCATAGTTGGCGGGGAAAGGGAACGGGCCGAAGTATTGGCAGCTGTTAAAAAGGGCATTCTTAAACAACCTGGCAGCTCCTCGCCAGTCGTTAAACCCACAACTGAGCTCCCTGCCGACTTACAGCTTCCCCAAATTCCCATAATATCTTCACAACCTACTACTCCAGATGTCCCCGATAACAAGGAGACAAATGAAGACTACTTTCTAGCACCGAACACAGCTCCAAAGTACACGGTCCCAAAGAGTCCCTCATCGAGTGCAATCTCCGCACCCGTCACTAACCAGGAAATCACCAAAGCAAGGGCCTCTGTATCCTTTAGCCAAAAGCTGACATTCTACGAAACATGGACCAGTGGGGAATACGACCGACGAGGAGAAATCTCTACTTGCAATAAGTTAACCCCTGCACTAGCTCAGCAAATCAAGGAAGAGCTTAACACATTCAAAATGGTAAAAACCCCCCCGGGCCGATTTTCTTCGCGTGTCTGGCTAATTTTCGAATCATAGGAAATGGAGGTTCACGAGAGCTCTAGAGTCTATACTCACTTCTTTTAATGACCCGTTCTATCAAATTAATCGCTTTTCATTGGCACGGAACCGGCGCAATCCATTTTTAGGGCATTCCATTTTATGGCCCTTTTAGTATCTCCCAACTCAGCAAAGGTGATTCGAGATGTTTCATGACCAGCATACTGCCGCTCTACGTTTCTCAGCAACCCGATTTCCTTCTTTCCACCCAACGCCCCCAAGTCCTCCCCGGCAACATTTTATTATTACTTCCAGCGTCTGCAAACTCTGCATCATTTTCTTACAGTGTACCCTTAAGTTCGCCTCAACAGAATGGAGACAACCAGAACCTTCCTCGCCTCCCTTACTTTCAGGCCTTGGCTTCGACCTCGAACCTAATATCCTAACATCCGAACTGTACAGTTATCACCACACCCTCTCCTTATATATTTCCTTAGATATTTCCTTATCTTATAATCACATGCTATACTAAACTTTACTTTCCTTGTTCCCATTTCTTTCTTTGCGTTTGTATTCTCCATATCGCGCCTTTAATCCGTCAAACCTGGTTTCTTTTGTCATTGAGGGGAGTTAGTTTCTTTTCTTTCGTTTCTTTTCTGTTCACATCGGACTGCTCTAAAAAGATTTCCCTTTTTCTTCTTTCCTAATAATACGATTTGTGGTTCTATATAATTAGCATTCGGTCTCCTGCCCTATTGCATTGATACTTCCTGCGGTCATTCGTGTTGGGAAACAGATAAAAATGTGGGCGGGTATTTTGTAATGACATCTCCTTTTGATCGTATTCAAGAATCGTAATCAATCAATCAAGCAATAGTACCCTTATTTTTGGGCTTTGTTTCATACCCAACTGTAGCTACTGTGCTAGAAGAGGGTCATATATTAATACGGTGTTAATACAGTTCTGTCGCCGTAACGCAGCATTATGACGTCCACTCCACGAAACGGTATAATAGATGGAAGATTTTGGTCTCGTAGACCAGACAACCAAGCGGGACCAGAGAATTGCAATTGTTAGTAATTCGGATCGGGACGATATTGAAAAACACCAACTTTCGTCGCACAGTATCTACTGATCTAATAGTTGTTGATGACCCAGCTTGGAGTGTCCTTTGGCCCCATGCATGGACTGACGCCTGTCTTTATGGACCCGCTAGCACACTATAATAAACCGATTGCCTTGAAATTGCATTAGCACTTCTATAATTTACCTGTTGAGGTTGCATCAAATAGGCATGCCATCCCATATATATAAGCAAATCTCCAGTAGCTAAATTTATAAAAGTATACTTCCTAAATACCACTACAACTCAATTGGTGCCATATAACCAACCCGTAGTAAAACCATATGATAAAAATCTGGTGCCCATGGCGGCGCCCAGGACTCTTTGTGAGAAGATGCCCAGCAATCACTATCATAGCTTTTAGGGGTAAACCAATTCGCTTAATAATACATCAATTCGATCAATTAAAGGAACTCACACTGCTAAGATCGTGCAGCTCTTCGAAAAAAAGGTAAAGGGGGGGATACACAAAAGGCTATAGTTGATACGGGGCGCATCAATCGATGAAAGGTAAACAAGAAAATATTACCCAAAGGCTAGAAAGGGTCGAAAATAGCTCATCGTGGACTCAAATGTATTGTTGCTAAAGCCACTGCTATTTTGGCTTTGTACTCAACGGGATGGGTGGAGGCGGTGAATTAGGGTTTCCTAGAGCCTTAGGCTTTGGAGGCGGCGGCGGTTTTTTCTTCCCGGCGGCTGAGACCAATTCCAGAGAATTGGTGCCTCCTTGGGTGGCACTAGATACGTCTAGGCTATATTTCGAACTGGCTTTCGAACTGGCTTTCGAAATACGAGAGGCCGAGTCTCCCCATTTAGATTGTGGTCCATCTTTGAGGGTTCCATGCTCAGCTAATTTGTCGCGGGCGGAGTTATCTACAAGTCCTGCTGTTTCCAACTGTCTGTATCCTTTAGCGACTTGATCCCCATGTCTTTGGTGGAAGTTGCCTGCTGTTTTCGCCGCTGCTGTCGCATCCGAAAAAGATATACTTGTTGGATCTTTCCGAGCTTGTGATATGGTTGTTAAGGCAGCTTGTTTCTGGGCCCAAGTCGTTCCGCCAGCAGGTGCCTCCGCCGGAGAATCAACTGAGGAGGATGCCGAAGAAGACTTTGGCCCGGCAAACCAACCAGAAGGCTCGCTGATAGAAGTGGTGGGAACCCGAGAGGCTCCACGGGAAGGTGGCGTGGGTACGCTTCGCGAAGGCAGGGAGGGCGATTCAACGCCTATTCCCAGGCCAGGCACTGATACTCCCGCCCGACCAAGCCGCCCGGATGCTGAAAGAGCGGAAGAGGCAACGCCCAGTCCGGTTACAGTAGAAGGTAAGCTAGACGGATTATCTTGGGTACCGACAGGATTACTCGGTTGGCGGCCTGGGAGAGGGGGCGGTTGGCTTCGATTCGGAAGTGGAGGCGTAGGTCGACTGAGGGGCGGGAGAGGAAGCCCCGACGTGGTCCCAAACGCCCTCTTAGGAGGTTCTGGGAGCCCCGAAGTGCTGAGGCCAGTTTTGTCTACTTTAAAGCTTCGAGATTGGTGTGCCTCCCCTTCCTTAGTCGGCGGCTCGGGGGCAGCTAGCTTAGATTCACAGCTAAGGACAGGTCCTTGGATCGGGGGTGGAAGTGGAGCCTTTGGGTCCCGTTTAGGTGGCGCGCCAAAGGAATAAGGGTCTTTTAACGAGGTGAGCGGTCGAGAGGTGACTGTGGAAGGATCTTGAGATCCGCCCTTCGTGCCGTGGCCTGTCCAATTTGCCTGTACAACTTGTCAGAAGCTAGCTGCTATACATCGCGGACCAGAATACCTACCACTTGTTGCAGGCCCTTGAAGTTCTTGAAGCGCTCATTATCGCCAGATCTATGGCTCGAGCTCGCGCTCGAGGAGCTGGATGATTTGTCCGGATGCCATCCACCTGGACGGGTTATATAACTAATGTCAGCTAGATCAATTCGAATTCACCAGTAGTTGAACTAAGAGTAGGCGGAGCGGAGAATAAGGTACCTTTAGCGATTGACTTGAGCGAGTTCATAGCTATCTTAACGGATGTATATGTATATTGTATATTATTAGTATTAGCTTAGCTTAGGTATGCATCGCGATGGCCAGATCTAGATCCGGAGCGGAGCTTGAGCTATGATATATCTGGCTATTGCGGGATTACGTAACCAGACCAAAACGCCACAGATCGCCACGGTCACACAGGGGTGGTACAGCCACCAGCCACAAAGCAGCAACGACATCGCAACACAACAACACAATCCATTCAGGTTCGACAACCTCATCAACGCAACGCACATTATTTATACATCTTGACACTTACTATTCAAATCACAAGCTCAAGCTCAAACATCTGTTCCTTCTTCCTTTCCTCTTCCCTTCTTCAACTTCCCTTCCAGCCCCGACATGCTAAACTTATCACCAGGTTCATCATCACTAGGTTCTCCCAGATAAACTTCTTATCCTTACTATCTATCGACAACGACTACGTTCTCTCTTCCATCCCCGCTCTCTCTTCAATCAAACTCCTCACATTACTTCACAGAGCTATTATTTAGTATACGTTTTAGGTACCCCCGTACCTAGCTTCGCCACTTCTCCCACTTCTCGACTATCCCTCTTTAAGCAACATAGCCGAATCCAACACTTCGGCTTCATCCCCGATCCTTGCGTCGTGCGTCGCTAAATACGCACCTTCTTCCACCGTAAGAATCAAAGCAACAACATCACCTTGCCCCCAACGAATACCCACTAACTTGAACCAAAAACTAGGGCAAAATGGCTTCCGGAGCTGGTCCACAAAATCAGAGCGACCTTCCTCCGGTAATGAAAAGGTCACATCACATAAGAAGCCAGCGAGAGCGCTGGTCTGCTGATCTCCCATTCCCGGCATCGATGCCAACTGCACGACCCGATGATGCTCTTCCTCAACCTCACCCACCCAAGAAACGGGTTTGTTTGGCTCCCAGCAATTCCACCCATCTTCCGTCATCGGAAAATTCGTTCCTACAAGCCTCTCGTCAAAATTCTACAAGTAAGATATTTAGAAATTCAATATGTCCCTTCCCACATCGTTAACTGTTGATTATCGTAGGGCGAGTTCCGAGGCCATCCAGCACGGCCAGGGCCCCAAACCACAATCCCTCCTCGGCACCACCCAAAGATCATGCTACCGCCAGGCAGCTAAATATTAGAGACATTCTCGCCCAGCTAGAGGAATCCTACCAAAATCGAGGGGGCTCAACCATGTCCCAGGATCGTGCCGGAGCTCGTATCCACGAAATCGCACCCAATATTTCTAACCGTAAAGAAGCTCCTAAACCCGATACAAAGATCCGCCAACTAGGGAGGCATTTTTGGTCATCGAGCAAAGGTCCACGGGCTGAGGAGCCCACCCGTATGGGGCCATACCTCCATATAGGCGGCCCGTCAACCATGGAATCCAAATGCAAAAGCACCAATCAATTGGACTACCACGCCTACCGTCAGGCTACAAAACCAGCCAAGATATTTACTTACTGCGAAAAGTGCAAAGGGGTAGTCCCAAATTGCCCTTTGTGTGGACTCCTGGCAATGTTAGGGAGACCAGCTGTAAAGCGTCCAAGTCCTGAGGAAATGATCCGCGAAAACGCACAATACTATTCGAAGTTATTCAAATTCAACGAACAATCAAAGGTCCCGCCTAAGCCCCCGAAGAAAAGAAGGGAGCCAGTACAGCCTACAGCCTCTCGACTCTCCCTATATCCTGATGGGAAGCGACCTGATTGGGACACACTCCCCGAAAAGGGGCCCGAATATTCCACTTGGGATACTAATGACACCCCAACCCAGACATCTCTATGGGATCAGCCTATAGCAATGCCACCGGAACCGATTCCCGATGCCCACCAAGCGAAGAAACCATTGCTAGCCGCGCAGCGTCCGAGGGATAAAATATCTGAACCATTTTTACGCCAACGACCGGAAAGCAATACAGGTAAGGTTGTTTGCTTCAGATGTTGGAATTATGGACACATTTCAAAAAATTGCCCAGAGAGCTACGCTACTGATGTTGAAGAGCAAGAAATTCGACGCGTGCTAAAACCGTTCCCTCTGGTACCTGGTTGGGAAACAATTTTGCGGAGTAACGAATTGGACCCCATGACCGTCGAAGAAGCGCTGCGAATACAGACACTCCGGGAGCCCAAGATGTTGCCGAACAGCCAAACCTTTGGGGGGGAGCAGGAGCTCATTACCAATGGCACTGCACAACCACCTGCTCCGCTGAAAACCCATGCGCAAGCCGACATTCCTAACTGCAAGAATGCTGTCGCATTGGTCGTCACAGCGACGTCTCAAGTTGAGAATGAGTTGACGAACACCTCATTAGACTTTAGTTCAGGGTCCGAAAGCTTCAATATCATAGAAGTTGAGAATATTTCTGAATCACCAACACCTAGTTCTTCGTCGGATATCCCTAGTAACTCGTTTTTTAAACCGGATAATGCACGGTACAAACCAGTTGGCAAAGGGCCTCGGGAACAAAATATGATCAAACTATCACCAATTGGGAAGATCCCAAATGAAATAATTTCGACTATCATTCGGATGGTGCTTGAAGATGAAGACGTTGTCACCGGAAAGTCTATTTCAACCGTCTATGATGAAGAGTCCTCGCTTCAGAACCGAAACCTTCAACTGGATTCTATCCGCAAGATTAATACCCTGTGGAGATCTCTATGTCAAGCGGAATTATATCGATCCGTTCCAATGACCTCTCTTCGAACTTTGAGGCGGTTCGCTGAGTGCGTGGCTCACTACCCTGAATTATCGGGGTTTGTGAGGGAAATCAAAATTTATATTCCTTTTACGTCGGTTGATGGATGGACGCCTTCGGGTATCCCGCGAGGGAATGATGAAAGATACACAACCTCCACTTCGGCCAAGTGTTTGAGCTTAATAATTGCGGCCTGTCCAAATCTTTCACGCCTTGATGCTAGTTTCGCAGGCGTCTTGCAGTCCCTCTCTTATCTAACTAAAGCTCACAACGCAATTACCCACCTCTCCCTTGATGATTGGCTCCCAAGGAAAAACGATTTGAGGAACCTGGGAAAATCCGTTAACCGTTTCCCTAACTTACAGCTTCTCCAACTGGAAACCAGCCACGAGCCTTCAGCCGAATGGAAAAAAATTTCTACCGGTCCCAAAGATTTCCTAACCAGGGGAACCCTACTTACGTCGATCACCTTCAAAGATTTTCCTATACACGACGAGTTCCTCGAAAGGGCTCTGCCAAATTTCCCGTTACTTCGAACCCTGCAAATTGAACGCTGCTCTGGTGTCTCCCAGAAAGGTTTGTTACCATCAAGTTTAAAAAACAAAAACGAAGGTGATGCTGACCCTCCCCGAACAACGAAAACCAAATAGGCTTAGCAAAAGCTTTAATGGGTCTTGAAGATCCTCGTCTTACTACTCTTGCATTTATCGGATCAAAAGCGAAGGCCACCGAATGTCACATCGATGGTGACCCCCACCTATGCGAAGCAATCGCCTCCAAACTTGGATCGTGCCTCATCAACCTGAAACTTAGTTCCATCCCAGTCTGCGAGAATCTTGGATCTAGTGTTTCTAACTGGAGCCAACTTGAAAAATTGGTCATCGAAGGAGCGGAATTTCAAGGCTGTAGGTTAGATACAACCGAAGCTGATGTTCAAGAAGCGATGGCTGTTTCCGGTATCTTCAACCTACGGATCGACTCCTTTGTCTTCTTTGGTATGTCTCACCAACTTGCCGGCCTTCAGCCCGTCGAAACTAATTGGAATTCCATAGGTGAACGATGAATTATTACTTCTTCCCTTTTTTAAGAAACCCCCCACCATGTGCCCTGTAGCTTGTACTTATCCCATGAGCACTACTAGATCCCCTCCCCATTCCACAAATGTCGCATTTCGATTCAGTCCACGTAGACAGCGAAACGTGAATGGCTATCTCTGCTTTCATACCTTCCTAACTTCATCCTAATAATCTAAAGCTCTTTAGTCTTATCCAACATCCCCGTTACCTATACCTGTTTCTTTCCTGTTGGCACATGCGCTATATAGTACATGCCTTCCATCGAGAATCAAATCCTCTAGTTTTTTGCTGATTAAACCCGCGACAACATTTGTTTTCATGTTTCTGTTCTCGAACGGTCTGTTGGCTGCTAATGGTGTTTTTTTACCAAACTCTGTTGTAATTTAGTTATGGTTCCGGCATGCGATTCTGTGGCACAGTGCGCATCACTCGTGGCGAAATGCGGGTGTTCCGTTAACCCCATCCTTGCGCAACGGCTGTCCCAGTGCGGTTTAGCCTGTACCCACCATCCTTCGTTTCGAGATCCTTTCCCATAGCCAACAAAATCTGACGACAAACAATGTATTAAATGGGTATTAGCCTTCGCGCAGGTACTATTTTATACTACATACCAATACAGGCCACGACTTCGAATTCGAGAAGAATATCCATTCTGAGCGAGCTAATTATTCTTTTGGCGCTTGCCTCGATGGAATCTAGACGTAAGTACTCCGTATATGTACGTATTTCGCTCCGTTGGTAGGCACGGCACAGGAAAAAATCGATTGACTGCTCAATCTAAACGCCTTGGATTGGGTCTCGAGGAAAGGTACAGCGCTTGGACAGGTTCTACCAAGAAAGATGGCGCACTTATCTCGCTAACTCTGATAATAACTTGAGAAGATATTAGTATTGCGGCCAACGAAGTTCTCAAGCTCCATGCCCTTCCGGATAAATAATCAAAAGTCCGAGTTGATCCATCTATTGGCTCGATCCACAGAAGCCCAAGATGTTGGGCTGGAATAAAAAGCAAAAAGCACAGCTGTTTGATTCGGCATCAGCCGGATTGTTCTCGTCCGGCCACACGGCGCCTAATCATCGACTGCTGTTGGCTGGAGGCACTGCTGATGTTCGCACTTGCAGGGACGAACAATGCCCCATTGTCCACTTCCTCCTCCACCAATGCAGTGCATCGCCCTCAACTGGTCTGGGCCATATCCATGCCCATGCCCATGTCCCATGTCCCGCTTTTCCTGTCTCTCATCGTGCTGTGTACAGAGTACTATGTGCCATGTACGAAGCGGTATTACTATGCAAGTGCAACCGCTCAGCCAATGGCAACCTTCAGAGCTAGTGTGTCGACCATCAGTCCAAAGTCAGCTGTTCCAGTCCTTCTCCCTTCTCTGTGCAATCTCTTCTTCCTCATCCCAAGCCCAGCTGCGATACTACAAGTACCCCCGACAATCCCCATTGTATGCTTCAGACATTTTCTTGTCTGCAGGGTGGATATTATTTTCTTCGGGACCTGATCTGACAGCCGGCTGCCATTCGATTCAGTCGACCCGCAGCTGACGGCGCACTGGGTTTTGATTCCCTTCGTTTCACAAAACCAACCGCCGCCGCCATCGTCCCTCTCGTCTCGTCAGCTACAAGGAAAGTTCCGAGGCCGCCTGGTAGAAGTACCAAGGAACATCGCGTAGGCCTCGTTCCTTCATCTTTGTCGCTGGCCGACAGATTCCGCGTTTTCGACACTAAATCTCAGCTCCTTGTGGAACCTGGAACAACACATCTTGACCCTTCCTCCCATGTACATGTGTCGACGTTCCTCCTTGGTGTTTCCTGTTCCATTATAACTCAATATATCGAGACGCAATCGAGACTTAAATCAGCAACTATTTCACAATGCGGTTATTCCAGTGCATTTTGTTCTTGTTTCTATCTCATTTAGGTAGGATATATACCGTATTCAAGCACTATTTTTCAGTATTATGCAAAGGCTAATTGCTGGTTATTTTATCAATTAGCGAGGCTCGTGTGCTCGCAGTCCAATTACTGCGACCCAGGTGGAAAGTTCTGCGCCTCTGTTGTTATGCCACTAACAACCGCTCATGACGATGATGGCTATATGCTCATCAGGGTTACCGGTGCTGCGGCAAAAGGTTGGACAGCTATAGGAATTGGAAATAGGATGGCTGGTTCTTTAATGTTTATTATATACCCGGGAACTGCTAGTGCCAATGTCACTGTGTCCCCAAGGCTGTCGAGGTAGCTATCTCTGTGGTATAACGCCCCTTGTCGAAATAAATTCGCTAACATACTCTATTATCACACCAGTGGACAAGTTGCCCCGCACTACTACCCCCAAACTGATGTTTCCATCTTGGAAGGGTCTGGTATAGTGGACGGTCAAATGACCGCACTTTTTACATGCAACAACTGTAAAAGATGGGCTGGCGGGCACTTGGATGTAACAAGCCATACATCAACCTGGATCTGGGCGCAAAACTCTGGACAACAACTTGAGAGTAGCTCTTTACAAGAAGATATTCAGCAACATGACGAAAATTCTTATGGTATTTTTACTCTAGACATGACGGTGGCTGTGGTCGATGACCCTAATCCCCCTGCTCCCATACCGTTGAACCCCGAGGCTTCAGGTTCTCTATATACCGTTCCAAACGAGCTTGCCAAAAAGCGACAGAACTACATCATAGCCCATGGTAGGATCCAAACTCGCAACTTTAGATCATATTATCGGCATTGTTAGCTAACCCTTTTTACATAGCGGTTGTTATGAGCGTCGCATTTGTTGTTCTGTTTCCCCTTGGTGGCATTATTATTCGCCTGCTTAGACATACCATTCGACAGGCGGTTTACGTTCACATTACCTTGCAGGTACTTAGTTTTTCATTGGCGATAGTAGGATTGGGTACTGGCGTCATGGCAAGCGCTACTCTCGAGTCGCACTTTCTTTACTCGCATCAGTTTATCGGTGTGGTCGTTATGGTCCTACTGTTCCTTCAGGTCATCCTCGGAGCCTCCCACCACATGATGTTCAAAGTAAAGGGGAAGCGAACATGGCTATCCTACGCTCATATCTGGCTAGGGAGGTCTGCTATCATCATGGGGATTGTCAACGGCGGCCTCGGCCTCCCACTTGCCAAGGCCAGCCTACCCCCGACAGCTATATATTCTGGTGTTGCTGCCATTATATTTGCTGTTTATCTGTTAGGCTACGGCGCCATCAAACTTTGGGAGCACAAGATGGGGATAGGTAAGAAGGATGGAGAGGAATCTAGGAGGCGGCAGGTGGCGGCAGCAAGGCACGCTGCAGACGGGTTTGATGGGTTTGAACTGCAAGAACCTGAAGACACGAAGCATTATGAGCCTTTTATCTACGAAGTTCCTGGGGTTTTCACCATTCCGCCAGCACCTCCAGAACCTCCTCAGGAAGTATACATTGACCCTTATTATAAAGGCGAATACCCACCGCAAACGTTCAGTCCACAACCAATGTATGCGACACCTCAATTGGACGAGTCTCCGCAAATCATGGCACAGCCGTATACAGGTGGGGACTCGCAGCATGATCTAGGAATATTCCACGACCTTAAACTCAAACATTGAGTTGGTGAACTCCATGTGCGCCTCCGGGTTTCTCTTCTTTCTCTTTCTTTCTTTCTATATGACAACTTAGCCGGCGTTACTCGGGGTTATCTTAATAATTATGTTAATACAATCGGCTTGGCGTTTGGGTTTCTTTACTACAACCTCCCCTTATCTAGCTATCAGATTCCCTTTGGGAATATGGGTTAACGGTGATTGTTAAGCAGCAAAGACGAGAATTCTCGTTCAGATCGTTTGTTTGAGTACGAACTTTATTGCGCGGGGATTGCTGTCTTTATGTATATATCTACTCTAACAGGCAGGCTCTAGCCGCTGGGAATTCAATAATTAATTCTAGTATCCATGACTATGCCTCCAATCACTAAAAAGGAAAAGGAAAGAAAAGGAAAGAAAATAAGGGAAGGAGAGAAAAAACCTATCCTCAACGCCGCCCGTACTAATGAAACATAATAGGGCTCCCATAAGTGTAGCCTTAGTGGAAAATTGGCGCGAGGGATGAGAAACATACTTCTAGTAATTGAGGAATGAAATACATATCTAGGTCCGTCATCGGGCCCTGGAGAAGACTGTGGCCGTTGCTATAATCGCGATCATAGTTCCAATAAAATAAATCGACAAATTGTCCGAGACGACGGTTTGATGTTCAGCGAAATCCTTTCGGTTGGCAAAAAAGAAGTATATTGCCGCGAAAAATATTCCAATAATGGGAAGTCTGTTTAACAGATGATACAAGAACCACTGAGTCCGCCTGTAGACAACCTAGTATTTAATCATTAACAGATTTGTGGGTCAAGATATCCTCGCGAAGAGACGTCGGAAGCGGGGGAAGAATTATAAATTAGGATTGCTACATACCAACTTCGCTGCTGCATTGACCGCATCCAGACTGTAACAAGTTTCAACCGCTCTCGAACACTCGTAGAAACCAAAACAAGATATTTTTCTCTTTCGTGAACGGGCAGTAGCGTAGCGACCCAGAAGGGAAAAATAGCTGGGTCCTGTGGAGGTTGTCCGTAGGCGTTAATAATCCTGTCTGTAAACCAACCAGTCGAGCTGGTTCGCATGGAATTGACGAATTCAAGTCCTTGTCGATGTAGTTCCTGGGTTGGTAGGTGGGATAAACTAGCGAGGGCTGTGGCGTTTCCGGGGGTCGCATCGAGAATTCGCTCCATCATCTCCATATTTTCTTCGTCTGCGTAGGCTATATCCTCAATCCTTTCCACCATGGCCATAGGATACCCGTCCTGCCATGTGTATGACACTATCTTGAATCTATATGTTCCAATGGTTTCTACTAGGCTCCGGCCATCTGGGAACATCTGTAAATCGGTTACATAGAGCATCGTGCCGTACCTAGTAAATGGAGCATCGAAATCCCCATCTGCCGATGGCACAGGGCCTCGCCGATGAGAAACCATACCGAAAGACCTACTACCGTTACTAATGACCTTCTGGAGCATCAGCCGGTACCGGGGCTCAAATATATGCAAGAACATTGGTACCCGAGGAAATGTCATGGCGCAAGCAAAGATCGGGACTTGATTTGTTTCATTTTGAGGGTCCTCTGCAGCTTGATCGTCTCTCGCTGCTACGTCGTCCGAAAATAAATATGATAGCAGTGTTCTCATGCGTCGGTTTGCCTTTTCTTCCACCACCGTTTGGTAGGGAGAGAGTGATCTACGACAGAATGGGCATAAATTTGAGCGATCTCTGACCTGTCTGAGACAGACCTGACAGAAGGTATGGCCGCATGAAGTTGTTATGGGCAATCGCAAAAAATTGTAACAGACTTGGCAGTCAAGTTCAGGGCGAATTCTTAAAAGGATACTGCCCACTATCTGCTGTTCCAGGAATTTCGTTTCGTCGGAGAGCCGTCCATCCATCTGGGTAGGAAAATCAGAGTTGAACGGTAAAAGACCCGCCTGCACCAACTCGTACGCCTCCAATAAGCTAACCGACGATTCAAGTAAGCAAAGCGCCGCTGGTGCGATGCCCAACTCCTCCCCGTGACCATCAACCTCAGCCAGTGAATTCCCATGCTTATCTAGTGAAGCGCTAACACTAGCCGATAAAGCAGTGTCGACTATCGCGAGGATATTTGCGAGAGTTATGTTCAGGTTGCAATCTGCGAGTGAGTGCTCCTGTCCTTTGCATGATTGAAATGGGCAGAGAAATCCCTTTCTTCTGTTTGGTTGATTTGGGTATGAGATATTCCTTCTATCGCGAAACGGGGGTAAACAGGAACGGCAAAGCGTTTCTCCACAGGGCAGTGCGAGAGGCTGCTGGAGAATCTTGTGGCACAATTCACACTGGAGCAGGCGCACAAATTCTCGGAGATGTTGATTGCCATTAAGACGGGATTTTGACTTAGACTCGAATCCAGGCGCTAATTCCAGTCTAGGTTCTGCTTGTGGTGCATTTCTGCTTACATTCCCTCCCGCAATGCTGTCGAGGTAACACGCTGAATCTGAGGCGCTCGGCCCGGTATTCGAATCGACATTCATTCAGGAAGGGCAATAACATGCCATGACTATCCTAGTGTGCAATCGGTTAGATAATACAAATACCCTTGAGGGAAGGCAGGGTCGAGATAGCCTAGCCGGACGTTTATTTAAGTTTGAAATATCGAGATTCAATTGGTAGCCGCCCCGCAGATTACTGATGTGATGTATCCAAAAGACTGTAAGGATATATCGATATGTGTTGAGGAGGTTGAAATTTTCCGCGACCGGTATTTGTCGACATGCATGCAGTATTTTATATGTAGAGTCGATGCGATGCAATGCGGAGAGGGCTCGGATACCGATTCAGTAAGCCAGTGCGGTGGTATGGCCTGTGAAGGCGATTGTTTAGGTAACATGTTGACACCCACTGATCGTAAATCTGGCTGTGAATCGGAGTTCCTTCGCGTGGCCAGCAGGGGCTGGCAGGAACCGTTGGCTCGGGATAGACCCCTGCCTGAGTCCGGGGCATAGATTCCCGGTCGCCCGTCGTCCGCCCTGATCATGACGTCTTCGATATTTCCTCATTCGCCCGACCCCTATGCGCCAGAAAATACGAACATGACAATATATCCCATCAAAAAAAAAGGGAAAGCTCACACCAGCCAAATGATAAATATGTACATTAATCCATTCATTTATCCAAATGATATGACACTCCCCCAAAGTAATGTTTGCAAGACGTGAACGGGGAATAATAAGAGGAGGGGAAAAGGGCAACTGCTTAGTACATGGCTATGGGGAAAGAACCCCCCCTCCCCAGAGGAATGAGGAGTAGATGTAACCAAGCAGGCGATTGCGGTATACCCCTCACGAGATATGCACCTGTGGGAGTGGGGGCGGCGCCGGCGGGGTGAACGCCGCGGATACGATGCCATTCGCCCCGCCCGTTTTAGGCGGAGCCTTCACGACCGTATCGACACACTTCCGTTCAAAAATTTCTAATATGAACCGTCTGACGGGGAGCCTGTATCTATATGACTCCAGAATTCGCAAGGCCTGGCAATATACCTCAGGAGATTGGAACAGATCAGGGTGGCTTTGCTTCAACCTAAAGTTTTGCGCTTCGTTAGCTGACTAATTTGGAATAAGCGGCGATCCCGGTCCCGTACTTTACAAGCTCTCTCGAGGCCTCGTTTGCTAGAATGTGATTGCTTAGATTCGTCATAGATATGAGAACCTTCTGGAGAAGTGCTTCATCAACTCCAGGGATAGAGTAGGTGGTGATTCGTCCACTCGGGTTTGTTTCGCCAGAGGCAAAATCCCAGGTTTGAAGCTTGGATTTCTCGTATTAGTTCATTATCAATTCACATTGTGTATCCAAGCTGAAGCTTACCGAAAGTAGATTATCCAGTCTCTTAGGAAGGCAATAGCCAATAAATTCACCCATGTCGGTGACTTTGGCATCCCAACCAAAACCATCTAAAACCTCGAGTCCGCTACTAGTGCGGGAGATCATCCCAATGACAAAAAATGCTGTTCCCTTCAAAGATAATACCTTAGACGCCTCGGCTATAGAGACAATATCCTCGACAATATCGGAATTCTCGATGAATGGTGCCCCCGAAGGCAAGGATCCAATGTTTCCAATAGCCCATAAACACCCCTTTACCTTAGTGACAATTTCGAAGTCCTCGTATTCATCGGCATTGTCCTTCACAAACATCGCAAATTCTTCGAAGTGCCCCTTTTCTTGGAGCAGTCTACAACCTTCTTCGGTTTTAGCGAGTTCACGATAGAAGTGGGGTGGAACATATCCAATGGAATCCGCGTCTGAAAACGAAGCTGGCTCTTGAGTGGCTCCAGATCTCTCACCATCGGAAAAAGCACGGGCAAGGGACGCTTCGACTTGGTCGACGTATACGTCATTTCTCCCCTACGCCCTCCGACCGGTTAATACAAAAGCCTTTGCGCGCACGAAAATAAAACTTAGAACTAGAACTTACATGAAACCAGTCATCCATCTCACGGTTAATATAGTCTAGTTCATTGAGGTAGTGGTATCCCACAGAGGTTGATAGGAATCTGACAGTAAGGACAAATATAAGTTTCCAACCAACATCTTTAGATAAGAATTATAGACAAACCTAAGTAAAAGCGGCGCGCCAATTTCCCCCAGATGATCGAGAGCCGGGCGGCATTGAACAACGTATTCAAGTGAAGTTCTGGCGTTGCATGCTTCCTCAAGTATCTTGACAGCAGTTTTACAAACTTCAACATCAGGGTCATATAGCTGCGTAACCAATAGGCGGATCGCCCATTGTGAGGTCTCTGTTGACTTTGTCGTCGTTACACTTGGGGGCATCAGAGGGTTCGGCGGGGGCGTTCGACAACCCTCGACCAAGCTACGCAAATGATTTGTCGCAAATAAACGCACGGCCTATATTTCAAAAAATAAATAAAAATATGGTTTAGCAATAGTCTCCAATCGAATCCTAGAATCCTAAATGTTCCAACATACCCGAGGCCCCGTAGTAAGAGCCTTTGACAAAATAATACGAGGGTGGCCATCACTATATTTTGTTTATTAGGTATGATCAGCAATTTGATTGTCGTGGGGTTTGAAAGCCATACGTCGTAAAGTCCATAGCAGATATGAAATAGAACATGAGGTCGTCCCTACTCCGGAGCTCGCTGATATGATAGAACATGTTGAACATCTTCCACCGTTCCATCATCCTATATTAGACATCATATTAAGTAGTGGCCACCATATAAGCACAGAGTCGACTTACGCAATCCCATTAGGGTCCGTGCTAAGAACGCCAAGGAACATAAAATAACCAGAACAAAGTGTTTCCTGCAACCTAGCCTTAGAAAACAAAGGCTCCGGGGACGTTATCCCACTCATAGGATCCAGCTGGGCTAAGCATTCTGCGATCTGGCGGAGTACTTTATGATCCGCTAAGTATTTGACCCCTTCAGGATTCTGAAGAAGAGTGTGGAAGAGAGAGCATCCTAATTTAACAAGTCGAAGATTTGGTTTTGTATTCTTAACCTCCGAGAATCGATATTTAAACGGCCGGAAAAAGGACATAAGTCGTTTCAGAAACTTGGTTCCCTTGAGCGCCTCATCCAAACGCTTGGGGTTCAACAACGAGCCCTGAACTAATTCTAAAAGAGCATCCATCTTCCATTTCGTGTGGTTTTTTGTGGTGAGAATCTATCCCTATTAGTAAAAGAAGGACAGGTGGAAATTGGTCTTGAATAAAGTACCTGAGAGTCTAGGATTAGGCTCCGGAAGTGCGGTTCGTCAATTTGCAAATTAAGCTTCAGCTTGACTTGCTCCACTTGCCTTGCGGAGCTGCCATCATCCAAAGATTGCCGGGTCGCATGGGTGCCCCCATGGTTGCCAGTCCGGTGGAGGGTTCTGTTTAAAGAATCGATTTGATAAACAGCAGAAGTAGCTGTTTTCCTCGCTATATTATCGAATTTAGAAGCGCAGCGAAACAAACTTGGAAGCATTTGCAGACGGGTGTTGAGATCTCGGGGTAGAAGACGATTCGAAAGCTTCAAGATCTCACCAACGAGAAGGGTGGACTTTCTCACGATAGCAGGGTCGCCATCCTCTTCTTCTAGTATTATCAAAAGAGACTGTTCTCCATTAGTGGCCTCTTTACAGGAGCGTGGTGCTCTACGGATACTTACATCCAGAAGGCCAGACTCAGAGAATATCGCAAGGAGAAGTGCGTTGAAATGGTCAACCAGATTAATCCTTTCTTTGTCTTCAATGATTGGCAAGGTCGACTCAAATACCTTCATATTTGCGACACGGCCGTATGCTAGCGAGTGGTCAGCACTTATAAACAAAGAGTATACTCGGCTTTGTGAAAGCTCACTAGTTAGTCGTCTTCCAGCGAGGAAGGTCGAGGACCATAATGGGGGCTTAATCCGAAAAATATCAAATAATAACTCTAACACGGTATCCTAGGCTATGTTAGAAGTGCGGGTTTGTATTTACCGGTTGGGCAGGTACAGAATCTTACTCTGACCCCAATATGGGGTATTTTCAGGGATTCCACTAGCGATTTAACTGTCCGCAAGCCATACATGGACAATGCGAGCACACCTACACTCCATTAGTCCGGTCGATATCAAGCTCGGCGAAAGAGTCCTGGAGCTACCTGGCCAAGATTTAAACACGGAACTTATCACTCTGGCGCAGGACCTTAGCTTATCATCGCTTATGGTGGCCTTGGCATACGAATCTGTGAAGGACGAGAAAACAATCTAGAGTAAATTTTGTCAGATTCCCCCATAGCGAAACACTGGAAAGAACAAGTTTCGGCGACTGACTTCAAGGTCATGGCCAGGTCGGATGTACTGTCTTGTCGTTGGCATATCAAGAAGGTAAAGAAAGGCAACGACAATACAATCAGATAGCTCCGCAGGGCCGTCAGCGAGCACCTGGGCCAATATCCTGACCGCACCGGCTGCAACAGCTAATGCAGGTTCAAAGATGACTGAATGCGATTAAATTAGTACGGAACCCTCTAACATACGCGGTCGATCAAGCCTTACGAATTTCTGCTAAAGTTTCTATGCACATAGCCCGGAGACGGTCGTCGCTCTGCTCTGCGCAAGAAACAAGGGCTCTAGCAACCGCCCTCGATACCTCTTTTGCACCACCGGGTATTTCGAGAAAGGCGCGCACGAATTTGAGGGCCTGTTCCCTCTCAACACTAGAGCGAGCATCAGGGCTTGTATGATCCTTCGCCAATGAGCTTTATCCAACTGTTAGCCTCTCTAAGCTATCGACAAGGGCCTACGGGAGTATATAACGTACTTGATTACGATGATATCCGTATTAAGCTCTTTGATTGTTTGCAGCGATCGAATATCGGCAATCGAATACCTAGCTACCCTATATCCCGCGGACACTACCTCACGACTTTCATGGGTTAACATGAACTGCACCCGCTTCCCAAAAGCGGACCATTCCAAGTCATATTTGAGAGACTGGTGCCGTTTGAGGAGATGCACAAGAGTGTTCGCTTTCTCGACGTAGATTTCTGGGCGCTGTCCCCTTTCTTCTAGAGACTGGAGTATTTCCGACAATGACCAGGTGGGCGATTCACTAGATAGTATTTCTTCGCTGATAGCAGTTCCTATTGGTGTGGCAATTCCGGGTGGGACTGGGAGCAGAGGTTCTCCACGAAATTTACTAGCCATCCGAGTCCTTGACTCAGATTGTTGCTTTAGATTCCGGGAGTGAATAATATCAACTTGACTGGTCAGCTGGTCAATCTTGACATTGGCTTCATTGAGAGCACGCTCAGCTTCTGCCCTGGCCTTTTTCGCATCCTTTGGCTTTTTCGAGTCCAGGACTAGAAGAAGATTCTCGGCACCGGCTTGTATTTTTCTCTCGATGGCGAGTCTTTTCTCAAGAGACTCTAATTGGCCGTTCCGTACGTCCATCGGAGAATTAGTTGTGAAGGTGGACGATAGCGGGGCTGAGATCATAGCCCGGGTTGTCGAATTGAAACTGGCAGGGCCTTCAACAGCATTCGGTCCTATCGAGGCAGCATTACCGGGAATTGGGCGAATGGTGGAGCTCGATCGTATGTTGGTCCCCCGATTAACGTTCGGGGTAAGCATCGCGTTACCACCCCCATGTTGAACGGAAAGAACCGGCGACTCGATGGCGCTTGATCTGGATTGGAGGTGGGTATTAAGCTGGCCGGGAACTCGGATATTGGTACTGTTATCATCGCTCATGCTGCTTCTCTGTTCATTGATATTGAGCATCATTGGACCGTTATCAAATCATTCGCGGGGCTAAGGATAACGAAAGCTAGAGTTAGGTAGGCATAACGGACGGCGCGTTGGGAGAAGGTGGGGCCCAATTGGAAGGGAGAAATTCGTAAAAGACCAAATTCAGCTAGGACGGGAAAGTGCAATGGCTAAAGACGATGGTTAGGAACAGGTAAACGATGGTATCAATTTGGTAGATCAGTTGGTTGGTCGAGCTCAGCTGGCAGATGGGAGGTGTCTGGCAGATGCGGTTAGTCCAAGCATGGTGGGTGCATTCCAGTTGATTAGTCAGTACTAAACCAGCCACAATATTCATCAGCCACAATGTTGAGAGATGCCACAGTGGCTGTCGTTGTTGTGGCTTTACAAGGCCAGGAAGGAATCTCGGAGATCGCCTGTTGAGCCGATGAACCACGGACTTGAACGAACACTAGAATGCTATCAATCCGCAGCTTTCGGTGACCTCCACGGCGGCGCTACGTAACTTCTGTTATCTAAGTACCTAGAAGAGTATCTACCTATCTCGAATTCCCCTTTCTGCCATATGAAAGGAATTTCAATCATGACATGATCAAATGAAATTTTCTCCTGGTCGGGTATAAATAAGAGCCAGTCGGAAGGTCTTTTGTATCAAACTAACTTAGCTTTGCGACCTCTCAGACACATCAAGCTAATTATAAAACACCAAGGTACAAATACCTAACATACCTTACTGCATCTCCTGCTTGGTATATAAACATATAAACATATAAATAGTATCTATCTCTACGTGCACTTCGAAGACTCTAGGAAACCCCTCTCACTCCGCTCGATATCGTTGCTTTTAATATATCTCGCCCCCAGGCCCCTTTGCTTTGCTTCATTCCGGCCAATTACTGGTATACACACAGTTCGACATCATAAACCCTATCACACAAATATAAACACATCGATAACTTCCTTGTGCAGCCATATGCAAAGATGGCATCACTAGCTGCTGCACGATATGGAAAGGTATCAAAACTCTCTCTCCATAAGATATTTTGTCGCCAGTTACTAATTCTACCGTTTCAAACTTTCAGGACAACGTCCGCGTTTACAAAGTCCACCGGGATGAAAAGAAACAGACACAGACCGTCACGGAAATGACCGTTTGCTGCCTGTTGGAAGGGGATATCGAGACATCCTACACCGAGGCCGACAACAAACCTGTCGTAGCCACTGATACCGTTAAAAACACCATTTACATTCTTGCCAAGCAAAACCCTGTAGACCCTCCGGAACTGTATGGTGCTATTCTAGCCGCACACTTTCCAGCAAAGTATAGTCATATTCATGCTGCTCACGTCAACATTATTGTTCACCGTTGGACTCGTATCAACGTCGATGGGAAGCCTCACCCTCACTCTTTCTTGCGAGACGGCGCCGAGACTCGAAACGTTGAGGTCACATTTCGCAGAAACGAAGGATTCACGATCACATCCAAGATCGGTGGTCTCCTCGTTCTTAAGAGCACTGGTTCCGCGTTCCACGGTTTCCACAGAGACGAATATACCACACTAAAGGAGACATGGGATCGCATCTTGAGTACAGAAGTTGACGCTCAATGGACTTGGAAACGATATCAGACCGTTGCCCAAGTAGAATCGGATGCTGCCACATTCGACAAAACATTTGAAGCCGCACGAAAAACCACCCTCAAGATCTTCGCCGAGGACAACAGTGCCAGTGTCCAGGCAACCATGTACAAGATGTGTGAGAATATCTTGGCCGAGGCCCCTAGAGTTGAAGCTGTTGAGTACACCTTGCCGAACAAGCACTACTTTGAGATTGGTAAGCCAAAAACATCATGGAATCAGATAATCGGTTAAAACTAGAACATGCTAATGCGGATTATAGACCTTAGTTGGCACAAAGGACTCAAGAATACAGGGAAGGATGCCGAAGTCTACGCACCTCAATCTGGTCCAAACGGCCTCATCAAGTGCCGAGTTGTTCGCAGGCCAGCCTCCAAGCTGTAGGAATCTGAGGGCTCCGAATCATTGAAAACCCTATATCAAAACTTGTACTCTCTCTGGAATCTGTAGATATAAGGACACCTATCTTTTTTTAATATGGGTAGCTACTGGCGTTTCATGTATTAGTTTCGTTGCCCTTTCTCAGAATCCTTCTTCCAGTTCTAAACCATTCTTTGTGTAACTGCCGCCCCGCTCGTTATTCCTAGGGAAATAATATAACGACAAGGTCTAGTCTGCTCTCCTTCAGTGGTGTGGCCACCAAAATACTCCGCGCGCGCGTAATTAGGGGACGCGAGCCCTATCATTATACTGCGAAAATCCCTATAGCAAATCGGAGGTAGATTTTACAATCTCGTAAAGTCAATAAAAACATACTTATGTACACATCCGTATCACCGGTCTGGGCGAATCAAAACACAAAGCTACTCTATCGCTAATGGCGGGCTTGCTTCCTGGTTATTATGGTTATTATTAGGCGCCCCAACAGGTCCGTAGGAGGGGCCGATTGGCCCCCTACGGTTGGACTTCGCTTCCATGACCATAATATTCTTCTTGTACGGGTGGTGCAATCCCTCGTAAACTAGTTTTATTATCATTATAATAATTATTATTGATTATTGATTAGCATGCCGTCCAACAGATATCGCGGTCCAATCTCCATAAACTTACCTTTTAATCTTGCCAACCTCACGTCCCTCAGTCTGTTTTTCGGTAGCATCCCACTAACTGCTCTCCTAAGGATTTCACCGCCTCCAAATTTCTGGAAAACTCGCTCCATGTTCATCTGTTTGAACCCTTTCCCGGGCCGTGTCGTATGCTTGTAATACATTTTTTGATCCCTCTTGTTGCCAGTGAGCCGGATGTCGTTACAACCAACTGCTACAACATAGTCTCCACAGTCGTCTAACGCGCGGAGCCAGATAAATTTAGTAACCGTTATTCTTTGCAAAGTACCGATTGGATGGGTGGTAGACCGTACTTGATGGATGGTATATTGGCTTGTGCTTGCCCATCAACGTCACCGCTATAGAAGTTGCAAGCCTTCCAAGGCTTCGAGAATCCGCACCGACATTGACAACATGCCACGCTCTCGAAAATGCCAGATTAGTCTATAAATATTGAACTGTTAGCTTGACTCTATGGTGGTGGTGGGGGAACTCGAAAGAGATAGAGCTACTCACTCGCCCAAGAACCTGCGACATTGTCGGGGTTTAGATTGGCTCTCCCCTCAAATGGGTCTTCGGGTGATAGGTTTGAGGTATTATAAGTTATGTATGGGAATCAATCGCTATATGATGTGGGTATTCATGTCGACGAATAAACAAGTTGTCGCATGCGATATTGGTATCTAAATTTAATTTTGGGGCTTTGCGGGTTGTAGTTAAGAGCGCCACATAAGAAAAAAACATGTGTGGCGCACACGAGGTGTATGCAATGGCTATTTCTAAGCAGGATGGTCGCACCACATACTTCAGGGCCTAGATTAGGTAAGTCAGAGTAGGTACTTAAGAAGCTAGAAGTACCTACCCAAGTACTTAAGTACTTACTTACTTACTTACCTACTTAACTTGCGAAAACTTATATCCATATCGATCACGATCAACACCGGTACTGTATTGGTCATGGGCATGGGAACTTGTGTCTCCATATCAATGCAGCTACAATATACCTACTTAGTACTCACCTAAACACTTTTAAACTAGGTATATATCGCTTACGGGTATTATTCTGCTATCGGAGAACAAATTTCGGATCAATATTGTATCGACATCACAGGGAAAACCCGGAATATACCTTGCTATATCAGTTCGGTTCCTAACTACGTGATAAGGAGGATCCAAAAA